TTACTTTAGTCGAGACTAGCTGGTACCCGCGACTTCGTTCGCGTGGAATTTGAAAAACGCTGCCTTAGTTGGTTCGATTCTCGGACCCGGTAAAATTTTAAAGGTTTTTCTGAGAGGAAAAATAGCCTATGTTACTCCTTACATAGACAGCTACCTGGTAATAAATTATTATCAAAATCGGTCCACCCGTTTTGAAGATGACAGATGACATGAAACAGACAGACATACAGACAAAAAACATTAAACTGGTTTTTAGGCATAGGTATCGTGCAAATAACCATGTCAGCATGAAAAAACCTATTATTTTGACATTACAAACAGACACTTCAATTTTATTTATTTGTATAGATGGCAGTAGTTTTTACTTGATTTAGTAAATAGAGCATATCGCAGCGCGGGAAAAGACGAGCCTTGGCTCACATTCACTACTCGGAATTGACGAGAGTGATTATTTTCAACCGAGATCAAAGACAAGGAGATTCTTAATTCAATTGTATTTTTTATGTATTTTACCTCAGAACTCGGTTGTTTATGAACGGATTTCGAAAATGTATTTATTAATTTATTTGGATGGGTATACAATTATCGTAAATTTCCGTGCGTTTGGGTGATCCTGCCATACATATTTTAGAAATCAAATATAGCTCACTTAGGACCCATATGTTTTGTTTCCCTGTTTAAAAGGGTATGCCAACTTATGCCTATTTTTAGTTCATTTTGTCTCCCGCTTTGCCAAGGAGATTGGATTTATTATTTTCCCAACTCCTCCAACTTTCTTCTTATTAATTTCGTAGCGGATTCCAAGACAGTTTTCATAGTTTTCCTGGGAATGCCTGAGTGTCATAACTCCGTCTATTCGTGGGTCACTGCTGTTGATCTTGGTACAGGAGTTACAGTGGTGGGCGTGTGGTAGAGATTAGTCCTTTTAGATTATTACTATTCATCATTATGTGTGTGCGTGAGATACTTTTAGATTTGACAATTCATTGTGTCAAAGACCTTCGCAAAATTAAAAGTTGTCACACTAGTTTGAAAGTAGTTCTGCAAGGATATAAACACTATATAAGTTGCAATGACATTAATCTATACAAATAAATAAAATTGAAATGTCTGTTTGTAATGTCAAAATTATAGGGGTTTTTCATGCTCACAGGGTCATTTGCACGATACTTATGCCTAAAACCCAGTTTTAATTTTTTTTTGTCTGTCTGCTTGTTTGTTCCGGGTAATCTTCTAAGCAGCTGGACCGATTTCAATAACATTTTACTACCAGATAGCTGTCTACATAAGGAATAACTTGGGCTTTTTTCCTCTTAGAAAAACCTTTTAAAATTTTGCCCGGTTCGGGCATCGAACCCACTAAGGCAGCGCTTTTCAACACCACCAGCTGGTATTTAAAAAATATTGTATAGCAAATCAGTACATAAACATTTACTGATTTACATTTCTAAATAATAGATGGCGCTTGTAGGTATTTTATAAAGAGCCAAATCCTATACAATTTAGATTAATAACATGATTGATTTATTTTCATTTCATTAAATATATCTAAGTTTTAAATAGGTATATCTTGCTTGTTGTGAACAGATTTTAACAGAACATGTTAAATTTCAATCGTCGTTCATCGTATCATTACAATACATTCATCGTATCGGACATTATCACAATTTGTAAACCGATTTCAATCATTCTTTTTTCAATAATTAAACAAATGCTTCTCAAGGTTGGACCTAGTTATATTTCATATTGAAAAAAAAAGGAACGAATAGTATAGCTTATTTACAACTAGCTTTTTCTTTTCAAATTTTGGTGATCGCAGTAAAAAGTAGCCTATGTCTTTCCTCAAAAATCAAAGTATGTTCATACAAAATATCATCTAAATCGGTTGAGCGGTTATTGATTTCCCATACAAAATTCCACTCCCCTTTTCACCCCCTTAAAGGATGTTTGCCGGGATAAAAACTACCCTATGTCCTTTCCCGGGACTCGGAAGATCTCTGCACCAATTTTTATCTAAATTGGTTCAGGGGTTTAAGCTTGAAGAGGTATCAGACAGACAGACGCACTTTCGCATTTCTAATATTAGTATGGAGTTATTCTAATATAAGAGCATTGAATTAAGATAATTATTTTGATTTAGTTCAAGGTATTATGATAAGAAAGGGACATAACAAACAAAAATATATAGTGTTTAGTTTCAATAATATATTATATTTTAACATCACGCTACTACGCTTTGGGTGGAGCAGTAACTACAAACTCGGTTTTAACATTTCTTAAATTTCACTCTAGGGTTGGTATTTATTACTGCAAATAGGATTGGGCAAACGAGAGGACGAGAGATACCTGACAAAAAAAATCCACATTATTTTATAAATTACGAAGCTCTAAACCATTTTAAAATCGGTTTTTAAGCACAATAATTAAAACTCGCAAATACAATCGCTGTGAAAGCTAGATATGTGAGAGGTACCTACAAAATGACAGTCACATTACACTAACTTTTTTTGTCGTGACCACAGATTACATAGACATTCCATCACGGTTGAATTGAAAAACATTTTTTACCACAAACCCTACCGGTCGTCTAACAGTGAGTCATCTAATGCTTTGGAGAGTGACATACGAGCTCCGGACAGTGACCAAAGAAAAACCGGTTCTAAGGATTAGAAAATGAAGAAGTTTACCAGCTCCTAGCTGATAACTTACTCGTGTTCGTTTTAGGGTTCCGTAGTACATCAGTTTATTTATACGTCTATTCGTTTCGCGGTTTATCTTAGTACTAGCTGTAAATATAATAATTCGACTGCACGGATGGCGTAGTGGTTTAAGCGGTCGCCACGCCGCTTTCTATTGCGCCGAGTGTTGTGGGTTCAAACCGCACATGGGATAACACTTTGTGTGATCCACAAATTGTTGTTCTGAGTCTGGGTGTACTTTGTGTCCGTTTCATGTGTGTTTGTAAAGTCCCCCGCGACACAGGATTTATTCCTAGTGCGTGAGTTTTTTTTTTTTAATTAATATGCATGGGTATATACCGTACCATTTAACCCGTAAAGAGGGAATGGTTTTTTTTTCAAACAGATATATTAAGGGTATGTAAACACATTTTTTTTGTGTATGAAAACTTTCCGTGTTGTGAAGGATTAAGAATACGGAGTGTCACCACTCCTAATCATCCTATGGGTTTCGTATAAACCGACCAAGGGAGCAAACTACGGAGGACGAAAGCACTGCAAAGAAAAGAAAAACTTGACACAATCCCTAAAACAACTCGACTGGCCAGCGTGGTATAGTAGGCCAAAACCTCCCTCCTAAAGAGAGGCCTATGGCCAGCAGTGGACTATTAAAGGCTGTTGATGGAGACTATTTGTTTGTTTGGTTGGTTGAACACACTAATCTCTAGAACTACTAGTTCAAATTACATTTTTCGAAAGGAGTTAAATTTCCCCGTTTTTGCAAAACATTTTTCATTGATGCCTTTTTGGTCGTACCCGAATTAACATATAGTCTATAGTCTTCCTCGATAAATGGGTTATCCAACACTAGAGAAAGAATTTTTCAATTCGAACCAGTAGTTCCTGAGATTAGCGCGTTCAACAAACTCTTCAGCTTATTATATTATCACAGGTCAATACGTTGTATGTACACCACGGTATATAATATATTCGGGTGTGCCATCGTTATGAAAATTTATCCGAGATTGTGTATTCAGTTTTAAATATACAAACGCTCATGGTTCTGAGTCTTCTGTAAAGTGTGAGACGATCAAATACTTACGAACACGACAAAATATCTTTAAGATGACAAAGTAATCGGTTAATATGCATAAAAAAATAAAATCCCAAGGAACATTCTCCTTTTTTCGGGTCCCGTACCTCAAAAGAAAAAAACTGAACCCTTATAGGATCACTTTGTTGTTCGTAAACTTCGTCTGTCTGACTTTATGTCCAGACGCTTTATCTCGGGAACGTGTATCGAGTTGAATTAAACCATATACGAGTATACATAATTATATGCTCAAGCCTGCAGTCCCTTAAAACTGTGCAAAATCAAACTTCTAAGTTAAGGTAAAATAAATAAAAAGTAAACAACCCTTTTAAAACAAGCTTTTTTTAAGTTATTCTCAGTGGGCCGTTTTATTTGATACTCATATTGTAGGAGTGCATTAAAAATAACTAGTCCGCCTTCTTTGGTGTTCCGCCATGTTGGATTTAGAATGACGTCATACAGCTAACTGTGCATTGACATCCAAACTACACGTGTACACTAAATTTCAGCTCAATCAGTTGAAGACATCTGCTTCAAAATTGAGTTGCAAGACTCCATCCGAACAAACATAGTTACATACATTGCAAGTTAATATAAAAAGCTTGTAAAAAAGATACGGCCGCGAAAAAAATGTACGCCTCAAAAAACGCATATTTCGACACCCTATGTTGACCTAGAACTATGAAATTTGGCAAGTAACATCGCCTTACTACAAGTAAGCAGTAGGTAAGCAACTGAACGGCACTTTTCGCGACCAGAAGACCGGCCTTTTTCTTGCACAGAGAATTCACGTCGACTTCTAGGAAAGCTACCAGTAGGTGATGATGCAGAGGAATTTAATGTTAATCTATATCAAGCATAAGCATAAAAATTTCCACAAATGTTCCTTGTGTAAAAGGATTTTTAAAATTTCCACCCCTAAGGCTGTAAAATGGGGGTTGGAATTTTTTATGAAACTTCGTTATTATAAATACCCCATATCTATACTAATATTATGGAGAGGAAAAGTTTGAAGTTGAAAAAAGTCTTTTAGTGTTGGATAGCCCTATTATCGAGGAATTATATATAGGGATATAACATCATGCTATGACCAGTAGGAGCCGAGTAGCCATGAAAAGTGTTGTGAAAAGACAAGCAGACGAAGTTGCGCGGATCAGCTAGTCATTAATAATTATGTAATCTTAATGTATACTTAATTAACTAATTCATTTGTGTTTTGTCGTTTTAAGGGAATGAATGTCCGGCTCGCCTTTGCCATAGTCTCGTCAGCCTGCTGGTCAGCGTTCCAACATGGGTACAACACAGGAGTCATGAACGCGCCACAAGCTGTAAGTAGCTTATAAATTGAATCTCACATCTTGACGGGCCTGAGGTTCGATTCCCACCCTGGACAAATAGTGTGTGAATAGTACGGTCATTTGTTCTGTATCTGGGTGTAATTTATTCATAATTATGTGGGTATGTATTTTATTTACATTCAGTCAAAAAAGTATCGGGAATGGATGATTTGTTTATGGTTCCAAATTCAAATTTATGTTGTTATTAGATTGGCACAACTGTTTTCCATTTTGGCGCGGAGTTTGAGTTGCATCTGTTACGAGATAGACCAAAATAATGTACTACGGAATTGTATATCTTAAAAATATCTACAAAAAAGTCTGGAATGTTATATGTCCATCTCCTAAGGATAACCCACAGTAACCATTTTTATCTTATAGATATTTCAATAAAATAATGGGTTATTTACGAAGCTAGATTAAACAATACATTATTGTTCCTTATCCAATTAAGTATGTTAGATACGTTGTGCATTTACTGTAGATCAAAATTGCTCTTTACAGCACATCGTTAAAATGAATATTTTAGAAGATATTAGAGGGCCCAACGACCGTCGAACCGTAAGTCCGTCCCGCTGGCAGCGGCCGGCAGGATCGGAGCGGGCCTATAAATATTGCATTTAAAGATGTCCTGTGGTATAGTCCTATCATAATAATAGTATAATTAATTACTCCACACTAACATCACATTAGTAGTACTTGTTGTAGTATCTACATTGCACCCGTGCGAAGACGGAGCGGATATAAAAAAAAAATAGTGTCCCATCGGTATCGAGTACAGGGACCAAGATATCGGTTGTTACGACTCCAGAGACAGAGATGAGTCTTCTGGTAAAAGTTTCCTACTTTTTTCTTCGTCGTCTAATCAAATTTTTTTAAAAGCTGCTCTACTGGGATGATGGTGATTACAAATCTACTAAAATCACGTGATGTGCCGACTCTTATTACCGGGGCCTCCTCTTTTAACCTAAAAAATGTATCCTACCTACTTTAATACATTCTATGTTCCAGATAATATCAGAATGGCTTCAGAAGGAAGCTTTGACAGGCACGAACACGTCCATCGTTAAACCAGAAGACGACCCCAAGGTGACGACCGTGAGGGCAGTAGCGGTGTCCATATACTGCGTCGGAGGAATGATCGGAGGCATCATCACGGGGTTCATTGCTGACAGGTGAGATGGCATAGACATACCGGGAACCCCGGTCAGGAATAAGCTTTCCTTTGCGCGAACAAACACTCGATAATAATAGAAAGAGACAAAGGCAGTCAGTCAATTCCCACACTACTTCTCTTGAGGAACTTCAGGAACCACTTGGCAAACCAGTCAAATATCTATACAAATAAATAAAATTGAACGTGTCTGTTTGTAATGTCAAAATAACAGGTTAATTCACGCTCACATGGTTATTTACAGGATAGCAGCAACATAAAATATTTTTATGTTTTATTTTAATAATGTATTTATTTCTTTTTAAGCTATTGCATAGTTTCTATCGCGGGCCTTGAGTGTGGAATCCAGAAATTCCGTAACGAAAATAACCTAACACCCGCCACTCCGACCGGCACAGCGGTGATACTTTTTAGTTTTGCCATCTATCGATGAATATCAGAACTTTTAATGACTTTTTTGAAATATCACGCTTTTCTCTTTAGTTCAGCAACTCGCCTCTAGGTGGCATTGGTTGTGACGCGGTATTTTCCAGATATTTAGAAGATATCAAGTCTCAAACTTATGTTTCTTATTTCAGTTACCATAAACTTATAGTTTCAATGATAAATATTCCTGAATAACCTACATGTATTGTAAGAAAATAAAAATATTTTGAACAACATTAACTTCTCATTTATTTAATAAAAGAAAAAAAATTGTTTTCTTATCGGTCACCACGCTCAAAAAGTGTAACTTGAATTAATATCAAAGAAAAAAAAATACTGCATCAATAAAATAAATAAGTTGATAAAAAATGCTATGCAATAGCTTTACCGCGGCAGTCCCCGAGTGCCAGACGTCTTCAAAACAATAACAAACTTAGATATAACAATTTGTTGGCTCTCTTCGTACAGAATTAAGGTCTCGTCTTGTGGTCGTAGAGCTCTTCGGATCTAGGAACTCTTCTGGTTTTAGCCATTCGGCCTTTGCCCAACAAAAAGTCCGATTTATTTAAAACGAGCATTGAAAGCCGCGTAATGCTTACTTTGTTCGAACAAATAATTTACGTAAGGCTCTTATAACATTATTATCGTCTTATTTCCAGGTTCGGTCGTAAAGGAGGTCTTCTACTGAACAACGTATTCGTATTTGTGGCGGCGCTATTTGAAGGTACGGCCAAAGTGGCCAACTCTGCAGAACTGCTAATAGTTGGAAGGTAAGAACTGTTTTTTTAATAGAAACTGTACCCGAATCCCTCCTATTTACGGCGCAGGATGTGTGGTTTTAGTTGGTTCGATAACGACATACCGCAATCCACGTCACCCAACGGGAGTTTTCCACATGCAGTACACCAGAGTGCGTATTGCAAGTAACTTTCACATTAACTCGCTCTGGACAGCGAGCGCGTTTGGCGTCGCGATTGGTGAAGATTTCATGGCGGGCCACTCTTACCGCCAAACGCGGTCACCGTGACGATCGAGTAGATGTGAAATAAACTTTCGCACACACAGTTTTTATGGTACAGGGTGCGAACGGGCAGAGCACCTGATGGAAAGTGACTAACGTCGCGCGTGGACACCTCAAGAGACCTCAAGTGTGTTACCGCCTGTGCCTGTGGTGACAGTCTTTTGTGAGGCCGGTCGAGCCGTCCGATGCGTGCCGAAGTATGGCTCATACATGGAACGGTTCTTTATCATGTGATCGATTGCAAGCACCATACTGAACTTCTTCATGGTTTTATAAAAGCCCCTTAAAGGTCCGACACTATTTAGGCATGTTCAAATTATTGTAAGAATCCATGAAATAAAAACTCCTTAATGAAATTACTTTTAATCCCAGTAGACTTGTGTGTACTCGTACACACCCGGGTGTACACAAGTCGGCCGTCGTATATCAACTGACCCGCACGACACGACACGCGCCGTTTTACCTCGTGCCTTAGTAACTGGAACTAGCGCGTGCTCGTCTTTGGATATATTTACTTTTTTTAAAGCAGGAGAGTAATTACTATGCATCATTATTCGAATAAATAATATAGAATGTTGAGTAATTGAAAGTAATGCTAACACTATGTACACTCGTGAATCAAATGGTATCTTTACTTAACATACTTTTCTATACTTACTGCGGGTACTTGGACGTCAAAGTAAACTTACTTATTTGCTCGTCAAAGTTTTTATATTTATTGCGTCTAAAGTTGGTGTTTGTGGTAAACTTTGTGCAAAAATCACTACTAACATTGTGTTCCATCGAACTGGACAGCGGGTAAGCAGTACATGGTGCCAAATAATTAAATATTGGAGACTAAAAATTTGCAAGTTAAACCTGCACACCGTCTTTGGTGACTATCTTCCGCAACTCATAACAACGCGTAAGCGACGCGTTATACCCGGCGCTTACGACCTTCTGGCCGCGAACTCGAGCTTTCACCGATAACAATTTTAACTACTGTTGCGAAGTTGCTTGGATTGTTTTGAAGTATCATTACATTTTTTTAATAGTGACTTGACAGTCTGTTGTTCGAAGCGTACGTTAATAGTATATCATGTCTTTAACTACACCATCTTGGGGGTGCTGTGCTAATGAAGACACAGACGAATATGAACAGTTTATTAATTGTATTATATGCAATAAGTCGTATCATTTCTTGTGTTTATCGATTCCGGAAATTCCTAACGACTCAGACACGGTACTATTATAATACAGTACTCCAACTTCATACAAACGGACGAAACGCGAGCTATACCTACGCGCCTCGATCTCGGGGTGCGCTCGGGGCGCAGACAGTCACGGCTGTAACGCAGTGTCGAACGGACTGTGTGTTGTTTTTTTAACAATAACCGCGCGATTTTTTCTCTAAAAATCAGTTAATATGACGAGTAGGAAATATTGTGCTGTTTTTGTTTGTATGAATTCGTCAATAACGCATCCAGACATAAGTTTTTTTAAATTACCTGGAAACTCTGAAAGGTAAGACTATAAAATAATTTTACTTACTAGTAGGTAGGTACATAATGTGTGTCTTTTTAATGGATAAGTATTTCCTTTTATCTCACGAAAAAAAAGGTGTTTGGATTAATAAATAAAGCGAATAGAGTAACGGAAAATTATTGAGACGAGTGAAATAGGTAGTGTATCAAAATGTATAGGGAGTGAATCAAAAAACAACACGCATTTTTATTGAACACTTCCTATTCAATATACAAAGTATTTCATTTATTTATATAAAAAGGATATTTACAATCACAAATCTAAATAGAAACAGAAAGTAGGCAAATATAATTAAAATGCTGGAGACGGGCAGCCCTAACGCATGTTTACGTACCGCGCGGCTGTAGGCATTTATTTCTATCATGCGGCCGAGTTACAGTACTGTATTATAATTGTACCGTGACTCAGATGTTCATCGCCAATGGAAGTGCCCGGGATGTATGATCTTAATTACAAAATCTTCACGGGAAGACCGTACCCCGTTACGTACAGTATCCACTAGGCGTGGCGGTAAAAGACAGGCGTTAAACTCACCTCCCAATCCTGCTACCGTTACCGCTGATGATGTGCGTTCTATTGTTCGAGACGTCATTAAGACGGAGCTCGCCGCAATGCTTCATCAGATAAATAGCACGATAGTCAACACAATCAATAAGGAGCTAGAACCAGTAAAAAGGGAGGTGGAAGATCTGAAAGAATCGTTGTTATATCACACGAAAGATTTCGATGAACTTCGATCTGAACATGGTAGGGCTAGGAGCGACATGAAAAATCTAACGGAAGAGAATTAACCAGTTAAAAAACACAGTTTCGGAGTTGACACACAGATTAAATTATATGGAACAACATTCACGTTCGAACAATTTTGAGATTCAATGTTTACCTGAAAGCTGAAAGGAAAATTTATACAATATTGTTAAACAACTGGGTTCAGTGGTCGGGTGTGTAATTAAGGAAAGTGATATTCTACATACCACTCGTATAGCCAAACTTAATACCAGCAACGCTCGCCCTCGATCCATTGTTGTCCAGCTATCGTCGCCGAGGACTCGTGACCAGCTCCTAGCCTCTGTTACTGAGTACAACAAGAAACATACCGAGAACAAGATCAATAGCGCTGACTTTGGTATTGCTGGCACTAGAACACAGGTTTACATCGTCGAACACTTAATAAAGCACTTCATGCTGCTACCAGACTCAAGGCGAAGGAGAAGGGGTATAAATATGTATGGGTGCGTGGTGGCAGGATCTTTGTCAAGAAAAGCGACGGTGCTAATCATATACTCATAAAAAACTACGACACTTTAAAGAACATTTTGTAATATTTTTTTTGGTTTTTACAGATTAAAATTAGGATTAGGATTAAGCTATTATAATTTTAGCATGATTATCTAATTGTTTTTTTATAATAATTCAATAGTTTGCAAATTTATTACCAGAATAGTCGTGGTTTAAGAACAAAAACACATACTTTCTATTGTAATATTTCTTGTAGTAATTATGATATCATTATACGAACTGAGACTTGGCTTAATAGCTCAGTACTGAGCGGTGAATTGTTCGATGATCGGTACGTGGTATACAGGAGGGACAGGAGTACTTCTATTTTACAGTGCAATAAGGACGGGGGTGGGGTGTTAATTGCAGTAAAGAATAATATAAAATCAAAACGCATGGCTAACTGGGAAAGTGGTTGTGAAGATCTTTGGGTGGTTATAGATATATGTGGGGTGCATACGATGCGTCAATTGGCTTTCTGCGCTGTGTACCTGCCACCGCCTGTACGCCGCCCCTCTTTGGAACTATTTATCGATAGTTGTAGTTCAGCGTTTGAACAGGCGAAGGACTCTCACGTTTGTATTGTGGGTGATTTTAACTTGGGCACTATAGACTGGTTATCGGTAAACAATACAAGTGGTCACAATAAAAATAAGTCAAGCTTAAGTGAAACTTTGCTTGATTTTAGTTATGTAAACAGACTTGACCAATTCAACTTAGTGTCAAATTCTGGTGGATAGATATTGGATCTTGTATTGTCTACTTTAACATCATGCAACGTAATTAAGTCTTTAAATCCTATTAGTGACGTAGATCGACAGCACCCTCCTTTGGACATTGTTATTACTTTGCCAAGGGAAACCAAGCTGGGGTACAACATTACAAATGTGAGACCTAAATTTTATAAGGGAGACTATGTTTCCATTTGTAAATTCTTTCAAGGACAGGACTGGAAACAATTATTGGGGGGGCTCAGTGGTGTGAATGAAATGCTTGAGATATTCTATGAAGTTATTTACGCCGCTATAAAAAGATTCATACCATCTCGTCCACCAAAAAGTAATAAGTATCCTCCGTGGTTTGACCACAGGCTAATTAAAATGTTGAACAAAAAAAACAAGCTCCGGAAGCGATATAAAAAATATAACAACCCGTTAGATGCAATAGAATTAAAATATATTGCCAAAAATTGTGACCGTCCAACTACCGAGTGTTATAATAGTTATATGAAACTTCTAGAAGATGAACTTGGAAAAAATCCTAAATTATTTTGGACGTATATAAAAGCCAAGAGAAGAGGGTTTAGTACATATCCAAGGTCTATGACAGATGGATCAAATACCTCTTCTGATGGTACAGAAATATGTCAGTTGTTCGCCAATCACTTTGCATCCGTCTACACTATAGATCAAAAATTTAGTAACGATTTTAATTCAGAATACTTGCAACTCTTAGAAAAAAATAGCTTGTTTAAATAGCCCTTATATTAACTACGAAACATTACTTAAAAAATTAAAAAGTTTAGATAGTAGGAAAGGAGCTGGACCTGACGGAATTCCACCAATGTTTATTTCATCTTGTGCATCTCAATTGGTTAATCCACTTATGCTCATTTACAATAAGTCATTATCTACCGGAGTATTTCCCACAAAATGGAAAGTGGCAAAAGTGGTTCCAATTTTTAAATCAGAAAGTGCAGAAAATATATCTAACTATAGGCCGGTTTCAATATTATCGTCATTTGCAAAAATTTTTGAAGCTTTGGTTTGTCCAATTTTACAAAAGCACCTCAAGCTATATCTTAGCGACCGTCAGCATGGATTTGTTGCACTTAGATCCACAAGTACTAATTTAGTCCCTTTTACTGAACTTTTAATAAAAACTGTGGATTCAGGACATCAAGCTGATGTCATATACACGGACTTCAGCAAAGCCTTTGACAAAGTGTCCCATAGCATTTTAATTTCCAAATTGTACGCTTATGGCATTAATGGTTCGTTGCTCGAATGGTTGAACTCGTATTTACAGGATAGGAATTTTTTTGTGGTAGTGAATGGATATCAATCAACTCTTCATCACATTTCTTCAGGAGTCCCCCAAGGCTTACATTTGGGCCCTACGTTATTTAATTTTTTTATCAATGACATCCCAAATTGTTTCCAGTTCTCTGAAGTCTTCATGTATGCAAATGATCTAAAGTTCGTTAGGAAAGTAGAATCAAATGATGATGTTATGGATTTACAGGGTGACCTTAATAGGCTGATGCGTTGGTGCAAAAACAACAGAATGTATTTAAATTGTGGAAAATGCTATCATGTAAAGTTTACGCGAAAACTGAAAAACATAAATTCTAAATATTATATAGATAATGACAAAATAAATGAAGTTGACACTATTCGGGATTTAGGAATTCTATTTGATAAAAAATTGACGTTTGAACCGCATTTAGATACTATCATTAAAAAGGCATCAAAAATGTTAGGATTTGTTTTAAGAAATTGTAAAGCTTTTCGCAATAACAAAACAAAAATTAAGCTGTATAATAGTTTAGTTCGAAGCACATTGGAATACGGTAGTACAGTCTGGAGGCCGCATTATGCTGTACACTCATTGCGACTTGAACGTGTACAAAAGAGATTTCTCTGTCACCTTGCATTCTCCAATGGCATCACCAAAAAAATACGCTCTTACGAAGGCAGAATGAGGCACTTTGGAATAAAATCCCTAGCAAGACGTATAAGCCTAAACGATGCAATGTTCGCGTACAAAATTCTAGACCAGAAAATTGACTGTCCTCAGTTGGTAGCCCTTTTTAAGTTTCGCGTTCCATCCAGACTCCCGCGCAGCCCAGTCGCGCCACTTTGTTCCCCGCTGAGAAGAACAATTCTTAGTTCCAGTTCTCCCTTTGCAAGAATGTGTAAGGTAGTGAATGACTACAGCGATGTCATTGACTTATACTTCGATACAATTTGTAAGAAAAAGTCCGTCCTTAGTGATTTGCTATGACGCAATAAATGTAATATGAAAATTAAAAAACTAAAATATTGTATTAATACTTTCCCTTTGTGAGATTTTTTCAATAATTGTTTTGAAACAGTCAACCTTTTTATCTATTTTTAAAGCATAAGCGGTGTTTACCTATAAGTGGCTGTTGCATTGTTATTACTAAATGGCATGTATTAGTGTAAGGAGTTAATGTAAACAGTTGTTGGTGAACCTTTAATAAATAAAATAAAATAAAAAAAAACATTATTATTCTCCTTGTTTCACAGTTACAATAAAATTTAACTTCATGTATATTGATAGTACTGCTAAATTTGAGAGAGAACGCAATATTGCTGTTCGGTCCTGCTGGATAATGACCCAGTTTGTAGAGGGTCAATTTTTTTCTATGATGTCTCACCTTACACTCATTATTTCAGATTGTTGATAGGTGTAAACAATGGGTTAAATGCTGGCCTAGCGCCACTGTACCTGTCAGAGATATCGCCCGTCTCCCTGAGAGGATCGGTAAGTAGATTATCGCAATATTACCCTTTCACTCCTGACTTTATCTGTATGAAACAATTTCGAGAAAGTGAAATAAATTTGGTGTTTATCAGAATTTTTATTGTACAGAACACTAATTTATGTATTACTAGCTGAGACCCGCGGTGTTACCCGCGTTTGTTGTTATAACCGCGGGCAACGCCGCGGGCCGAGGCTAGTCTAAAAAAAGTAGTTACTCCTTATGTCATCAGCTATCTGCCAGTGAAAGTCCCGTCGAAATCGGTCCAGCCGGTTCAGAGATTACTCGGAACAAACAGACAGACAGACAAAAATTGTAAAAAATGTTATTTTGGCATATGTACCGTGTAAACATACACATGCATTTAGTAAAAAGCGGATATTTTAATATTACAAACAGACACTCCAATTTTATTTATTTGTATAGATAACAGCGACTCTTGCTATGTCTCATTCTTGTATATTACAAAGCAGAAAAAATTTATTATGTTATCATGAAAAACTGAGGTTATACCGTAGGAGAGCCATGCATCAGCACATGTGGCTCGACCGGGGTGATCCCTCGGCCTTACATAATGCAGTAAGTTAGATTAATGGAGAATAAACCCCAGAGGCATTCAAAGGGTCACAACGCACTTGAGTATCTTGAGTTGCAGAGGTCTATGAGTGGCGGTACACACTTATCATCAGGTGACATGTCTGCTCGTTTCCTCCCCAAACCAAAAAAATATGGTCTTTCCGACCTCGTTCAACAAGCAAGAAAATAGATAAAACTCATGTCTTCGATATATGCTGCAGCAAATTATTATGTGCGGAGACTAGTTGGCCCTACTGATAACCGTAGTAGCTTTGAATTTACTTCCACTTCTCTTTCAGATAGGTACAGTCTACCAGCTGGTGATTACCATGACAATATTACTGTCACAAGTGCTGGGCCTGGAGTCAGTGTTGGGTACTGCAGAAGGCTGGCCGTGGTTGCTCGCCGTTACAGCAATTCCCGCGATCCTGCAGTGCGTCATGCTGCCATTCTGTCCAGAGTCACCAAAGTATTTGCTGCTTGACAAGGGTCAGGAACTGCATGCGCAGAGAGGTGGGTCGTTTGATCCTTATATTATGGTTCACTTCCCACATCGTGGAAGAGGAGTGTAACATCTTTTTATCCGTCAATTTGAAATAGTTTAATGGCAAAAGAGATTATATTTATTCTGTAACTAACTGTGTTCGGAACAACTTCAGCACAATAATAATGTTGAATACTTTAACGGTTCTTAAATTGTTTTCAGCTCTTAACTGGTTGAGAGGCGACGTGGCTGTTCATGGGGAAATGGAAGAAATGCATCAGGTAAATATATAAAAACCTACCCTCTACAGTCTAACTATTATGCGCTATTTCAAATTTATGGACATAACACCATAGTTCGTGGAGTGACGGATTAAGAATATCAAATGTAAATACCGCTATTTATCTCGTGGGTGTCGTAAGAGCCGACTAAGAGAGCAAACTACGCAGGATAACAGCGCTGTGAAACCAACCCGTGTGACCAGCCTGGTAGAATGCTGAAAACCAACTTTGTAAGGCACGGCTTATGTCTAACAGTGAACTAATAGAGGTTGTTGATGATGATGATGAATACGATAGTAAGAGATTCTCACATTTAGTATTAAGATAAACCAATTTCTTCTCCTCAGGAAGCAGAGAAGAACAAAGTGACAAAGAAAGTTAATCTAAGAGAGTTGCTCGGCAACAGGCAGCTTCGCCAACCGCTGATAATTGCCATGATGATGATGATTGCGCAGCAGCTGTCCGGCATCAACGCGGCCATATACTTCTCCACTGACGTTTTCCGGAAACAAGCGAAACTGACCACGAGCCAGTCGCAGTACGCCACTTTGGGTATGTGAATAGTCAGAAATTATAAAAAACCGGTCAGGTACGAGTCGAATTTGTGCGCCGAGGGTGCCGTACTTACCCAGATTTTACGTAGATTTTCGCGAAAATTTGTAAGTACCATAAGTTATCTTAATTTTCGACTTTTTTTATTTTTTGTAATAATTCCTTTATTTGTGCTGCAAGACTTTCTGCAAGATTCTTTTTGCCAAATTTCGTGATTCTAGGTCAACGGAAACTACCATATAGGTTTTCGACGCAAAACCTATGGGGTACTTCCGGTTGACCTAGAATTGTCATTTTTGGTTAAAAGCACACGTAAAGAGTAAATTCTGAAAAATAAAATAAGTTGAAAATCGAAATTTGTCCATATCTTCTTATCGTGTTGACTCAGGACCTTGATTTTTATACACCTTATAGGGACCATAGACCTCAGTATCTAGTATAAATTTCAACTTGCTAGGTCCTAAAAAAATCGGTGGTGACACAGGGACAGACGGACAAACAGACAGACAGACGGACAGACGGACAACAAAGTTATCTTATAAGGGTCCCTTTTTTACGTACGGAACCCTAAAAATAACTAGAACTAAAAAGCGTGGAGTGCTATATGTGAATTGGTATTAATATTTTATTGACAGATGTTGGTGAAAGTAAAGTCAAAACACTATAAAATATCTTGAAACTTTTTTACGTTTAATGTTTTTTTTCTTATTCTGTTTTTCTTGAAAATTCTGTTGAAAATTATTTTCTTCTTTTCAATTCAGCTAGCTACAAAAACGTTTTTCAAATGTTAAAAATCATACATTAATTTCGTTGCGAAATTAATGCCAGTAAGCAGTCATAAGCTAGTCTCAAAATATAAGTCACAAAAGTTGTTACCTCAGAATATATGTGAACCGATTTGGAAAATACCTTTTTTTTGGAAGGTAGACTGCCCGTTTCATCCTTTTCGAAGAAAATACACAACCGCTAATAGTAGAAAATTAAGTAGGTACTGTGGAATACAGTTTATTACTTAGTAGGATTTACCAACAGTTTTTACATATTTTCATCTTTTTGTCGCTTGTTTGGCTTGCAGTGGGACTGTGAAGGCTAAATAACAATTATGACATTCCAGGAATGGGCGGTATGAACGTAGTGATGACGGTGATCAGCTTGTTCTTGGTGGAAGCGGCCGGCAGGAAAAGTCTCCTGCTCGCAGGGTTCGGTGGAATGTTCGTGAGCACAGTCGCACTCTGTACCGCCTACGTCTATGTGAGTATCTTTTGTCTCTTTATCTGTGGTATTCAAATTATTTTATCTATACCCTACTTAAATAAAAGTAGGAGGATCTCAATTATTAGTAACTTTTTATGTTTGTTACCTCAGAACTCGGTTATTTAAGAACTGATTTAGAAAATTATTAAATAAATATTTTTTTATATGGTAAAATTTAAATTAAAAAAAAAATAACAACCCCTAAAAGTGGTAAATTACATAGTAGACTATAATAATATTTTAGAATAGATGACTATCGAGTCTCCATAATAATGAATTGTAATAAACTGTGTTCTTTATTCTGTAAAAGCTTTAAGAGTTTGTTTGGTTGAACATCAAAAACTACTGGTTTTTTTTTTTTTGTTGTGTTAGATAGTTCATTTATCAAAGAAAGCCTAAGGCTTTATTACATTACGCAACGACCAATAGGAGCCAAGCAAAAATGAAAAATGTTGCAAGATCAGGGAAAATTTCCTTCTGAGAGACGTAGACATAATTGCGGGGATCATCTATAATTTAGAGGAAGATACTACTGAGGCATTCGAGTGTTCTTACAACGTAATATACCAATAAGTGGTTTTCCCGACTGTTCCAGGTGCACATAGCATGGGTGCCGTACCTCTGCATCGCCCTGGTGATACTGTTCGTGGTAATGTTCGCCGTGGGGCCCGGCTCCATACCCTGGTTCCTCGTCACCGGTGAGTTCCTGACGTGTTCAAATTTTGAAGGAGGCTTAACATCAGGATGATACAATCAGAGTACAGCTAGTATACTAGATTTATAGGCCGGCTCGGCACCGGAAGGAATAATATTGTATTGTTGAAAATAGTTTAAAATTGGTAATATGTAAAAAATAAAAATTCTTACTGTGGGTTAACTTTAGGAGATACACATATACCATCGCAGACTTTTTTTTAGATGTTTTTAAGATATACAATTCCTTAGTAAATTATATTCATCTATCTCAATACACTGAATACAGCAATTTGTCAATCTCACAAAGTGTGAACCACAAACTCACAACGCTCAACGCAGTAGGAAACGGCGAGGCAACGGCTTAAACGACTACGGCATCCGTGCAGTCAAGATTACTTCTTGGCCTATGTCTTGATTTTAATAAACTACTTGTTGGCTTTTTGTCTTTGGTATTATGTTCCTGCAGGACCGATATAATAAGTAATACGTTCATTCCTCAGAGCTGTTCAACCAGACGTCTCGTCCTGCCGCGACGTCGGTGGCGGTGACCGTCAACTGGGCCGCCAACTTCATCGTGGGACTCAGTTTCTTACCCCTTTACGTGAGTACCTACATAATAAGAGCCGCTGCCTTAGGAGAGTTATACTTCGACACAAACCAAACCAAACCAAAGCTATTCTATCGTTGCTTTTCACCGAGTTACCGGAGATTCAAATAATATACATATCAGATAAAAAACAGTGGCGCTCCGGAAGTACCGACAGAAGTGAAAACTTGAAATTAAGAAAAAAATGATTATAACAGGCAAAATATTTGTTTTTTTTCGATTCGAAACATGCCGTCATGAATATATGTTGGTATATCTATGTTGCTCGTATATACACAATATATGTTTATATAATATTAGCTGAGACCCGCGGTGTTACCCGCGTTTGTTGTTATAACCGCGGGCAACGCCGCGGGTCGAAGCTAGTCTAAAAAAAGTAGCCTAAGCTACTCCTTATGTCATCAGCTATCTGCCAGTGAAAGTCCCGTCGAAATCGGTCCAGCCGTTCCAGAGATTACCCGGAACAAACAGACAGACAGACAGACAGACAAAAATTGTAAAAAATGTTATTTGGCATATGTACCGTGTAAACATACATATGCATTTAGTAAAAAGCGATTATTTTAATATTACAAACAGACACTCCAATTTTATTTATTTGTATAGATAAAGCTATATTATCAATGAATTTCAACCCAAACTCAACTCTCGTGTAAACGGGGCTAATATATATAAATATTTATATACAAAGGTGTCGGTAACGGTAACAGTGTCGTGAGTTCAATGGTTTTATTTTAAATTTTAAAAATAAATTCTTTTGTTTGTTGTTCAAAAATGCCCGAAGAGCCTAAAGAAGTTTTCACTTCAATAAATAATAGAATAGAGGCAGCGATAAAATCTGGTAATAAAAAAACACAGTGTTTATTGAGCAAAGCTAGTGTTAAGCTAAACACTGGCTTCGCTCAATAAACACTGTGGCACATTGTGGTTGCATTGATGAGAAATGACTCAAAAATAGATCAAAAACAATCTTTAAAGTGGATTACATATTGTGTCCTGAGCTCAATCGGTGCAGAACTTTATGAGTTTTTAAAGCGTAAAAAGTAAAAAGCAACTTATCATTTTATGTATACATATAAATAATTTAAAACCAACAAATATGCTGATCCGTTTTGGTAGTGATAATATTTTCCATTTATTAAATCTAAATAAGCTTTAATCCGAATATTGTAACCCTTGTGTAATAAATTCTCTAATTTATGGCTACCCGAATGTATCTTTTATAAGTTGAATATGTAATAATTGTTACGTTTTGTTCACAGCTACAACTGGGATCAAACGTATTTATAATATTCGCGGTCCTCCAGCTCCTGTTCATATTGTTCATTTACTTCAAAGTGCCTGAAACGAAGAACCAGACTGTTGAAGAAATCACAGCAATGTTTAGGCAACAGATGTAGACATTAGGAAGAGTAGGCTAATGTGACGATAGTCCAGGGGATATTGACGTCAGGAGCGATCCTGGGACTTTCTTGACTGAAATTCCTTCTGTCTCCTTCTTGTATTGTAAATACTGGGATAGTAAGAGAAAATAATGATAAGAATCGTTAATTAAGATAAGTAATAAAAAAAGCAAGAGAGACCGTCTTTAAAACAAATTTTTTATTGTGAGTATTTGTGGAGAGTATAATTAATAAAATTAAAAATAGTTTATAATGATATCATGAAACTGTTTTAAATTAAATGTCTCACTCTCTACTTGCTAAACATCAATAAAGAAAATTACAATAATAATAATATTAGGTAGCAGAACCTGATATTCTGCTACCTAATATTTTGATATACTAAAACACGATCTGTATACAGTTCAAAATACAGATATTGTATTAGATGGCGTAGTGGTTTAAGCGGTCGCCACGCCGCTTCCTACTACGCTGAATGTTGTGGGTTCGATCCCCACATGGGATGACACTTTGTGTGTGATCCACAAATTGTCGTTCTGAGTCTGGGTGTTCTTTTGTCCGTTTCATGTATGTTTTTAAAGTCCCCCACGACACAGTATGTATTCCTAGTGCGGTAGTTGTCATTTTAAAAACAAACAAACAAACATAGTGAGTCACTACAATACGCGCATCTTAAATTAAAATTAGCGTCGTGTAGTAAGTGAAATGGAGATGTCTTAGAGATAAACACGCTATATTGTTAGTTGAATTTTAAAAGAGCGTCAGGTATTTTCAACGTTACCTCTGCTGTATACATTTCTGACTTACGTTATTTTAGAATTTCAGTTACTATGTGGTGTTTAGTAATAAGATCATTTGAACTTATTTATAGCTTTCAATATCACAAATACAATAAGCAGAAATCAGATATCGATGTTAGTTTAGTCAAAACAGACTGAGAAATGTTCCTTAAATGGGCTAAGTTCGTTCTTCTGTAACGCTGTGGTATCAAAGAACGTGTCACTACATTCTTCTATAGTCTTCTACTTATAAGCTATGGTTAGATTACACTGAATGTCATTGTTGCATAAACAAAGGCAAAACCAATGAGGGGTAAAACCTTATCGTGAAGGTACAAAAATCTTCACTAGATGGCGTTTGCCAATTGTTTGAATACGGATGTCTCCAAACAACTACTGAATTACATTACATGGAGAATTAAATGAATCTCATAATATCTCATGCTTTTTTCTACCGAAGTCTAAGGGTCTGTATATTCTAGAAATCTGTTTAGCCTTTCGAAAAACATCAGCTCTTGATAGCTGTTGTGGTGCTTTATATTGAGTTACCGGACCAACCAACCCTTTCTATGTTCGTGGGGGAAGGGGATCCTCCCAGGGGGGCAACGCATTTCTGTCTCTTAAGGTGCAGGTCAATAGTCACTTACCATCACGTGGCCCGTCTGATCCTACTGCCCCCTAAAACATACACATAGAAAAGGATGTTTTCTAGCCATTAGAGTTAGTCAATCAATTAAAAAATACTCGTCTCAAGTTTCACACTTTGACAGATATTAACTTCTATTTCTCTGTTTCTTCTTTGAAACAATTATAGTTATTAAGACTTATTGAGTAGAACATAGAACAAGATAAGGGTAAATGTATTTATTTTATAGGACATATTTTTTTACGACAATTTGTTGCAAAATAAAAGTACTTTATTTTATATTTTTGTTATTCTTTATGCACAAATAAGATTTGTACAATAGTTTACTTACAGACATTTTCTCCCAGTCTACCTTTGGTGCGGCAATGTGACTAGATGCACTAGAAATTTATGTGTAAAGAAAGAGAAAACTTTTGAGAAGTTGGACAGAAACAATGGGATAAATATACATATGTGGAGGAACGGGTGTCATGTCCCTCCAACACCCAGACGAGGTGACCATGCCTGGCGGACCATGGCCCAATGGTTGATGTTGGGAAGTTGTATATAAACTAATCGACGAGAGAATTCTTCATATCGCGATACAGGATTAGGAATTCTTAATTCTCATTGAGGAGTTACTCCGTAGTTCGGTGTGTCTTTGTTAGATGGCGCTGTAGTATGTTTCTCGCCACATACGAAATCTTTATGAGTTAGCTGTCTATGCCATGAAGTCCTCAGTGAGTCGGGGCGGTTGCTGCGTAGTGGCTGGCTGCTGCGTAGACGGGAGAGAAATGCTCTTCTTACGTGGACCTTAGGTGCACATAAGAAGAGCTGTGTCTACACGCTGATGAGGACTTAGGGGTAACCAGGTTGGCATTCATACACATCGTACTTCAACAGTATTCTGTGTTTAATTCAACTAGAATACCCACATATTTATTTCTATTTTATTATTGTTACATCCACTTTCCATAAAACAAGAAAATCATCATCCTACCCTTTTCTCAATTTATAATGGGCCTGTTGATCTAGTGGTTAGTGACCTTTACTATCAAGCTCGAGATGGTAGGTTCGATTCCCACCCAGGACATGTAATTGTGTGAAGAGCACGATCATTTGTTCTGTGTCTGGGTGTAATTTATCAATAATATGTAGTTATTTACAACTTTAAAATTATGTTTATCAGCAGTCTGGTTACCATAGTACAGGCTCTGCCTAGTTTGGGATCAGACAGCCGAGTGTTAGAAGTGTGTGAAGTTTTTATTATCATTATAATCTTATTTAATCTGTGCCATTGCAATGGCTGGTTCCGTTAAGGCGAGCTATCTGCCTGAAACCAACATTCCTTGGGAATATTGTTTTCAGATGGCACAAAGGCAGTAGGTACATTAGGGTACTGGCAACTTGCTAGGTTAAGGAATATCGTATGTATGTGTGTCTTAGACTGCAGTAACTCGAAGAGTGTGGTACGGATAGGCCACTAGAATAGGAACGTTAACAACGAATTAAATACAAATTTAAAAATTATTTATGTTTATTTGAACATAAGTTACAAATTTATCTTCAGTATGTCAGAAACTACATTTCAAGAAATGCAAAAAACATTAAGTTATAAATAACCTCTTCTTTCTGTTAATCCACCGTAAGAATACCTAAGGCATCATCAATATTGTTTCGCTGCATGATACAGTTCACAAACCACTTGGTCCTTCGAGCCGAACTTTTACACCAGTTGTATTCTCTTCGCAGGAGGGTATATTTTGTGTACGCGTTTCCTGTGCGTGTAGAGCGACGCGCTTTGTCTGAACGTGCAGCCGCACAGTTCGCACGACAGAGGGCGCTCACCGGTGTGGATCAGCTCATGCTCTCGGAGACCTTTCTTGTCCTGGAAAATAATAATTAACATCTCTTACTTTCAAGATAAGAGCTAAAAGAGGAACCTTTTTTTGAGAATTTTGGGAAAACATAGGGTAGCGTGTCTCTGGGCGGTGGCAGTCACTATCATAGGCCTGCCTGCGCCTATCTACCATCCACCATGTTAGTGATTCACAAATAGTCCTGAGTCTGAATGTTTTCTGTGCCCTTGTTTGAATATTTGTAAACCCCCGGACACAAAATCTTCCCTAGTACGGGAATTACCTTTTATGGCATGTAACAACTTGTAACAGTTATTTTTTTAGTATATTTGTAATGCGTACGGACTTGTTAACAGCGACACCTATTTGCTCTAGTCGCATTTTGTTTGATTTATCCAAAGTAGTTTGTAGCTACAGTATTGATGTTCTTCGTTCGCCGTCGGACCACTAGATGGCGTTTGTTTGTAGATAGGTCTTTTTATTAATTTATCATGACAAATGGTACAGGTATTAAGAGTGTTTTGTTATGGTAGGAAGCGAGTTACTTTTGATTTTGTTCGTGTTAACCTCGTTGATAATTTAAATGTCAAAGTAAAATGTTAAGAAGGGATTATTTCTGGAAACTTCGGCAACCGAACATATATAAGTCCGGCTTTCAGCCACGGGAGACACTCTGCTATCTCGTGTCTTCCAATCTTAAATAGTGTTTTGATTGTCTTGTGATTTTATTTTCATAATATATTATCTGTTAAAAGTACCCACGAAAGTGGTGAGTATATTATTAATTTTTCTTGTACCTATTTGTTTCTGGAACCTGATCGATAATATGAGTGCTAATCCATTCGTAGGGTCCCAGATTTCGGGGTCAAGACGGTCAGTCTCAGACGGCGTGCTTGTTCGTTTGTGGCCTTCTGGTTCGAATTCAAGTTTCTCGGTACCCTCTGGCAAGCTGGCAGTCACGCGGCTCCCAAAGCAAGCGGACAGCCGTACCCAAGGGTTACGTACTTCTATTTAACTTTATAAATACCAATAGTGAACTTTTCTCAATATCTAATATAAACAGCCGACTCGGGCGGAAGGGGAAGTGACCTCCTGGAGTGAAGACGAGGAGGCTCCGAGCACCATCAGCTCGGCTCTGACGCGCTCCGCTGCGGTTTTTCTTGTACCCACTGATTAATTTATTTATTTTTCTATTGTAACTTTAATTTTGTTTTTGAAATATACATGTATGTATGACTGAGGTGTAAGTTGTTTTCCTCTAAGGAATCCCGTAGGTTTCTCACACGCACACACTTCTGTTCTTTTAGAAGGCGCCCTGAGGTAATCTCATAAATCTCTCCACTGGGTCAGCCGGTGAGTAGTCCGCCTGAGAAGAAAAGCGGCTACAAACTACCCATGTTACCCGCAGTTTATCAGATTCTCTAAAACATACATTTCATTTTCTTGCATCCAAAAAAAGTTGTGTTTCCTTTCAGCCCACGGGAACACTACAATTTTTCGGGATAAAAAGTAGCCTATGTGTTAATCCATGGTGTCAGCTACCTCCATACCAAAATATATCAAAATTGGTCAAGCCGTTTGAGCATCAAGAAGAGAACATAAAAAAACATTCGCAAATTTTTAGCATTATAACATTAGTCTGAAAACACATACCTACCCTGAAAGCCTTACCGCACTGTTGACAGATCTTGTCTCGTGCGCTCTCTTTCACTCCGTCGTGAGCTCGTCGCACGTGACGCGTGATACAGCGTCGCGTCGCCAATGCCTATATTTAAAATAATCACAATAAAGTATTGTACATAAAATTAAATTGATTAAATCATGGATAGTTTTGGTGTAAGAACTACGTGGGAGAAGCGTGATTCGACACAAAAGGACTGGCTCGACCGTAGTGACATCAAACCGAAGGCAGTTAAGCAGCTTTTTCGTTGTTTTTTACCGAATGAGGTTAACCGAGGCAAAATCCGAGAGTATTTTGAAAATAAAACAAAATACTTTGTGTGTTTCGTCGCCAGTAATCATTTCAGAAACACATCTTGACCTCCCATTTTCAAAACGTACACGCATCTTACGACGCGATTCCACACGGGCTTCTTTTTCCAGATGTATCCAACGACAACAAAGCTTCCTCATTCTAACATGTTCATGTAATATGGTGTGTGCACTAACCGAACTGATGCCTCAGATTTTCTCTTTGTCCCTGTATGTAATTCTTGGGTCATCTCGCACAAGCATTTCAGTAGGCCACACATTTTCGCGCATCACTTCTGGCATCATCTTCGAGTCTAGTTTTCCCACTTTTAAACCATCTAAAAATGGTTGCCAGAAAAGGAGCAGACTCACGTAATGCTGATTTTAAACGTTCTAAGCTTAAACCTTCAGATAAATCACATTTAAAGTCGTAATATATCTCACGCAAACGTTCACGTTTAAGCTCTATGGTTTTTTAAATAAATTTGCCTTTTAGTAATATATGACATCGATGCGTTCCATTTTCAATTTTCGAGAATTTCCAAAACTTTATAGTGACCGACGTATCCTCCAAACGAGCAGACGGGTCACCTGATGGTAAATAACTTCCGCCGCCCATGGATACCTGAACTTAAAGTCACGAATGCGTAGCCCACCCGTAGCGCTCCCCCCTCCCCAAAGCTTAGGGGGAAGGGTATTGGGTCTCCAGTATCCTCACTCACACGTTGAAATGCAACGAAGGAATAGCTTAACACCAGGTTAGGGCATCACTTCGGTCAAACCGGCCCATGTGCGCCATGTGACCGCTATGTACAATGTAACAATATTTGAACTTACCTTCCCACAGATGGGACACTTGTGTTGAGTCTTGCCCATGTGCTGATAGTTGACGTGGTCCCGCAGCTCGCCCCGCGACCTGTACCCCTTGTCGCACATCGTGCACTTGTACCTGGTACACCATTACTCACATTAACAAACATTTCGACGAGCCTGATCGCTTTTTTTTTATTTTGGTTATGTCAATAATTTGAACAGTTTTGTCAGGCAAAATATAATAATGATTAAGCAATTCCATATCTTATGGTAGGGGAGGGCCAGAAGGAATTTCGGGATTAACTCGAGCGTGTCAGATTAACATAGGAGGAATACCTTACACCCAGTTGAGTACCTCCATCAAACATGAGCCCTACATATAGGGGGGGGGGGGGGGGTCAAAAAACAAAAACGATGGCCAGAAATACTCAAGCGTGTAAGATTAAGGTAAGTTGAGTCAATCACGCATGTAACATTAGTGTATATTTAAAAAAAAAAACCTGCCGATTTGAGCGTAACATAAAGCAATGGGATAGGCACAAAGTTCCAAAAAAAAGCACATGACCTTGACATTCTTTTTTATTTTGAAGCAAACAATGGAAGAAATATTCTTGAAATGTCTTCATAATTTTTCGTGCCTTTGTCAAATTTTATAAAAAAGAAACAAAATATTTCAAACCGTCAGCTTTAAAATACCCTGCAAAATTATCGTCAGATTTTTTGGCTAGATGACAGGGACATCAAGCTGAACCGTCTGTATAAAATCTAACACGCTCGGGTATTTCGAAATGACGATTTTCCGAATTTGCTGTTTTGCATTTTCTATCATTGCTAAAAAATCGTCAGACCTTTCAATAGGAACATTTTTGGCGGCAAAATAACATATTCGCAAAATATCTGATGCGCCCGAATATTTTTTGTTCGATTTCCTGCCCTTACATTTCAGTTCAATTTCCACCACTGAAAACAATGGAAACATTTTATAACTTTTATATATTCTATTACCTAGTCTTACAAATCCCATAGGTCCCCATAACGCTCAAGTAAATCCTCATTTAGCATCATGGGCTCCCTACGATTATTAGTTTGAAAAAGAAAACGCCCATGAAAATTTGTCATTCTGATGGGATAGTGACTTCAAAAATAAAGAAAATAATTTTGATATTATTTTTATCCTTGCGCGTGAGAAAAACCGATACCACTAATGGTCATTCTCCTTTTTTTATTAAATTAATATAAATGTACATATATTAAATAAACAATCAACATTTTCTTTAAAAAAAACTGAATATAACCGTTTTTAAATGTGCTATATTTATTATTTTCTTTCATAAGCTATTCTTTTATACTCATCATTTCTACGAAATAATTTCGATGTTTCATATCTGCCTGAGGTCCCGCGACGGCTCAATTTTTTTCCTCAAATCAATACTTACTTGAGTATGTTAGTGGCGGCGTGTGCCTGCGTATACTTCAGATGGTGTTCATAGGAGGCTCTGCTGACGAAGCTCTTGGAGCACTCCACGCACGTGTACTGCTCTCTCTCGGAGTGAATCCGGGAGTGTACCTTGAGGAGGTCCACGCGTATCATCTTGTGGCACACCGGGCACTCCGTGCGAGGTGGCGGGCCCTCATGTAACCTACATCGGAATAGTACTGGTCAACTTGCAGTTAAGGATGTCTTTCGACGAACTTAAGAAGGAGTGGGAGATGAAGACTGATGTGTATTGCACGGAGGACTCAATGTAATAAAGTGGACTTTGTATGGAAGAGCTGGCAAACTTGCTGATGGATCGCAAACGAGTTTAGTCAAAAATAATTTGGTAAACCCAACTGGAATTATTTGTAGTGTTAGAAGATGGTGCAAGTCCATAGGGTATTTAAAAAAAAACAAAAAACTACTTGATAGCCACTCGTGTCTGGAAATCAGTATCTAAATTTAAACTGAATTCTAAAATAAAAATAAATCAATGGTTTTTTTTTTTTATGTACTGGAAACTGACTAAAGTGTGCACAAAACGTACTAACAGTTGGTGCCTGGCCAGGTTGTTCTTGAAGGCGAACCTCTTTCCGCAAGTGATGCACTTGTGCCCCTCTCTGTGGTGGCGCTGAACATGCTTCCATCTTTGATTCTTGTTGCTACAATTAATAACTTTTTAACTTGTGAAACACAGGTGTCTTTATTTTCACTTGTTTTTATTTTATTTTATAACTTTATGCAAAATGTACAATGGCGGACTTAATACCATAGGCATTCTTCATAGGCTATAGTAAAATGGTGTGGAAATATGAACATAAAAGGACTAAATATTAAGAAATACTGTCTCGCATAGAAAGAGAAGAGTCGAAATGAGAAAAGGCAGTGAAATAATATAAATATAACAGCGTAAACATACAAGAATACATACATACATAGATACATACCGAGAGAGAGACTATACCTACCATAAAGAATTATAATGCTAAACCAGAGCCCGACGGCTAAAAGCTGAAATTAAGGTTACACTATTCATTAAAAAACTAAAAGCATTCTTAATTGAAAACTGTTTCTATTCAGTTAAAGAATATTAATTGAAGCAAAACACACATAACAAATTAAATATCTTTTTATACGAATAACAGAATGAATACACCTAAACACAATTCGTAAAAAACAAAAATCGGGTTTGATACACAATAGTACTAAGGACAGTAGAAGAATGTGTGTCGATGTAAAATGTCTAAATACCTTGTATTTTGCATGATTTGTTCAATTGTTACACTTTATTATGGAGTCATTTATATAATTATTATTCTTTAATGCTTGTACTTATATAATAATTTATTCTGTATTCTCTCTCAAATTTGCAATGCCTGGAAAAGGCTACTAAGTTAAGACAAATTAAATCAATTTTGTTCACTTAGTTGGCAAATAAAGATTGATTTGATACATATACATGTATATACACATACATATATATACTGCTTTTTTATGGTATAGGAAGGGAGGGGGGGGGGGGGCAAACGAGCAGACGGCTTAACTGATGGTAAGTGACCACCCATTGACACCTCAATAGTCACAAGTGCATTGCCACCATCAGAGCTTGAAGTTCCGGTAACTTCAGTCACTCGGTGAAAAGCTTCTGGGGCGGCAACGTACCTGTGGCTCCTGAGATGTCCTGAGGTCCATGGGCGCGGTACTCATTTACCATCAGGTGACCTGTGTGCTCGTTTGCCCCCCTATACTACACAAAAAAATGACTACTTACTCAAAATATTTGTTGCACTCCTTACACAAATATGAAGTTCTTTTATCTGAACTAGACAGATCACTGTGCACCTGCACTCTTGGCTGCAGAGCATCTGATTTTCTACGACCCTGTGAATTAAAAAAAATATTAATCTATTCGTTGTAATTCTCATCTATGTAAAGGTGTGTCATCAAGCATTTGAAATACCTAACCCTGACCCTTTCAAGTTAAGTTTGTACCGTGGGAGAGCCAAGTCTCGGACAAATGGGCCGCCTCGAGCAGAGTGAAACCTTAGCCTCACAGAAACCCGATGTTTTGCAATTTTTTCGTTGAAATGAAATGATGATGAAATGATATTTATTTCTGCAAGTAAATCTTTTCAGATATTTTTACAAGTCGGATTTTACAACTACGAGGGTTGCTATTTATGTATCCGGAATAACAATATGAAACAAACTTATAGCAAATTTTATTGTTTTTCAAAATATTCGCCGTGATGATCGATACACTTTTGCATACGTTGGAACCAATTTTCGTGGCATTTTTTCCATTCTGATTGCTGTATCTCCAAAACGTGCATTTTGAACGCATCAACATCTTTACGGCTAGAAAAACGTTGACCACGTAACGAGTAATTTTGAACGAATGACTTTTGTTGAGTTCGGCTCATCTTCATTTTCATCACATCACATCAACAGCCTATGATAGTCCACTGCTGGATATAGGCCTCTCCTTAGAGAGGAGGTTTTGGCCTACTATACCACGCTGGCCAGACGGGTTGGTATAGGGTTTGTTTCAAGTTTTCCTTCTCTTTGCAGTGCTGTTATCTTGCGTAGTTTTCTCTGTTAGTCGACTTTTAAGACACCCACGGGATGAATAGGGGTGGTGACATTACGTATTCTTAATCCGTCACGACACGGATCACTTATCTTGGAACACCCAAACCGTTGATTGTTGTTTAGTTTCAGGATCATACGCATATATCCAAGATTCATCACCTGTGTAGATATTATAGACAGCTTTTGACTAATTGTACTCTTGTAACATTTTTTTACACCAATCGACACGAGCCCGTTTTTGTTCAATTCTTAAGTTGTGCTGAATCCAACGTCAACAATTTTTTGTTTTACAGCTACATGTTCGTGTAATATTATATATATATATATATATATATATATATATATATATATATATATATATATGTGTATATATATATATATATATATATATATATATACTCGTCATACTTATTCCCAGAGACGCCTCTATCTCGCGATATATAACATGACGATTTTGCAATTAAAGTTCCCGTTCCCGACAGCATCAATATTTTAAACTAAAACAACCGATTTAGGGCGACCTTCTTTTAATTCGTCCGTGAGCACAGACCGAAACTCACTAAACCAGTGATACACAGTTTTTTTTATGGTGCTTCGTCCTCAAAAGTCGAAGTCAGTTGATCGATGCACTGAATTTGTGTTGGCCCTCGCCGAAAATCGTTATCATCATAGCACAAAAATTTTCACGAGTTAAAGCCATAGTGATAAAGATACGTAATTTTACATAAACAAATCACAGCTAGATGAAACTAAGTAAGGATTTAAATTTGTTAATACTTAATTCATTAAATTTGCTTGGAATTTTATTGTAGAATCGCACACCCTGACATCGAAAAGACTTGCTTTCTTTTTGTAGTCTAGTCGTTGGCAACACGAGTTTATCTTTATTTCTAGTGTTTAATATTATGAATGTCGCTAAATTTTGTGAATACATAAATATTTTTCTTAACATTCTATATTGAGATGCGACTGTCATAATACCAATTTCTTTAAATTTATCCCTCAGTGACTGCCTATAACTGAGATTATAAATTGCGAGAATAGCTCTCTTTTGCAACACAAAGATACATTGAATGTCAGCAGCATTTCTCCAAACAAAAACCGGACAAGTACTTTTGGAGATAAATGCAACATTGGTTTGCACAAACAAATGTTTACTGCAGCGCCCCCTAGCGAGTTACAAACGTAACACCCATCTAAGAACCAGTACCAATCAACTAAGAACCCATTACTGAAAACCACATTAAAATCGGACTATTAATTTTGGAGATAAATGGCAATATTGGTTTGCACATCCAAACAAACAAACATCCCTCAGCCTAAACGCATATACGTTCTCCATGCTGTCATGGGTAAAATACCATATGACATTACACTTTGAAAATAGCTAAAATACACTAGTCTAGCTGTTCCTACATCTGTTAATTGACGAATTTTATAAACTGCGTATGCTGCAGAGCTGAGTCTATTCGACAATCCATCAATGTATGGGCCTCATTGCAATTTAGAGTCTAGATAACTAGATAGATAACTAGATAACTCTAGAGTTATACCCATTCTAAATCAAATCAAATCATTTATTATTTGCATAAAACAGGTATAAAGGTGGTAGAAGATACATCATATAATACATGGGTACGCTGTAATATAACCTCTTAAAGGTGTGCAAATATTTAGACATAGATATTGAAAAGATTATTATTTAGACGTTCAACATTACAAATACAATTTGAAGAATATATTCATATCATAAATTTATTCAGAGAATTAATAATATCAAGTGTTATGAATGTTATTAAGTCAGATCAATACAATAAAACCAAAAAATAATTAAAAAAAAAACAACAATAATAATCAAATAGTCAAAATAATAAAAATGAAAAAAAAATGTCACATTGTCATGTTCAACATAAATTAAATAACAATGAACGAAATTAATTTGATTTACAATTTGTCTTGCAGAAAATCATTTACATTATAATAGCATTTTTGGCTCAGAATTTTTTTTAATGTCTGTTTAAAGATAGTCGGATTTAACTCCTTTATATTCCTAGGTAATTTATTATATATTTTTGGAGCCATGGCGAAAACACTGTTATGCAAAACCCTTTTAAAAAAAAAGTTGAACCGACTTCAAAAAACACCGACAAAGAGCACTAAAAATTAAAAAATAATCACAAATCTAAGTAAAAAACTATAATAAGTACCCTCAATGTAACAGGTAACTTTACAATACCAATAGTCCCTTCTAGTCGGTTTGAAGTCGGTGCCAAGCCAAATAGGTGCTTGATAGAATGTAGCGCGGCAGCTGCAACAGTCTTCATGCTGCGCAAAACATGTTGAACGAGCTAAAGTGGACGCACATCTCCAATTATATTATTATTTTGAATGCTTTAGTAAGGAGTTGATACGTTTGCGCACGTAATTGATCTGGTTGGTCTTTATTAATTAACAAAATCTTCGATGTTTCATTAGAATTATTTTGAATTCTTAATTTTTCATTGTGCTAATATAAGCTGACATAGACCAGTATTACTTATTGTGCATCGAGCTTGGCACCGACTTCAAACAGACTAGAAGGGACTATTGGTATTGTAATGTTACCTGTTACATTGAGGGTACTTATTATAGTTTTTTACTTAGATTTGTGATTATTTTTTAATTTTTAGTGCTCTTTGTCGGTGTTTTTTGAAGTCGGTTCAACTTTTTTTTTAAAAGGGTTTATTTTACCATTTTTAGTGTAGGATATGTTTGTAATGAGTAGATAAGTACGATATTTAAAACACTACGTACCGTAATGTATAGTAACAAACTGTAGTTTGTTAGATTATATTAAATATTATATTAAATTACTGCTGGACATAGGCCTCTCCTACATTGGCGTCCAAACTGATCAAGATCAGCTTAAATTCTTTTCTAAGAAACAGTCAAATTCTTGTGAGTTGCAACCGAACAAAATAACTTCCGATTCAATTGACACTGACCTCGAAGGTGAAGATAGGGAAGCTTTAGTGAGACTACTCAACAAATATGCTCAATATTTTATAGAAGGAGTTCCAACTAGAAGGGTTAATACTGGTATGTTAGAAATTAACCTAGTTGACTCACACAAAATTTAAGAGCTTTTTCCAGAACTATTTTAATAAATTAAGTATAAAATTACTTACAAACGAAATGCGATGCCATCCATAGCAACAAAACGTCTATCCGAATTATTTTAACAAGATAAAATACAAAATTTCAACCTTTTCTTCTTATTAATACAACGAAAATTACTGTGGTGACATAAATACTGTAAGTTCTCTGCGCATCACATCGCGCAGTCTCTGACGGTTGCCATGGTTTTAAAGAAATACTCGTAGCTAAAACACGTTATCGGGGCTGTCAAATTCCCAATAATTGTGAGGGTTTCCCTCGATTTCTCTAGGATCCCATCATCAGATCCTGAATTGGTGGTAATGGGACCAATTCGGGAGCATACCCTTTCGATTACAAAAAGAATTTTGAAAATCGGTCCACAATTGACGGAGAAATCGCGTAACAAACATACATTTAAAAAAAAATACAGACGAATTGAGAACCTCCTCTTTTGTGTTTTAGAAGTCGGTTAAAAAGAAAACATACTGTCGAATCAAAAACCCTCCTTTTTTGATGTTAGTTAAAAATCGACTAGCATGAAGCTCCTAGTCGAAGCGAATCAAATGAGCACAAACACGGCGGAATTGCTTTATTTTATTACAGAGTTCCCATGGCTATTTACCGTCTCCATCATCAGACCCTGAATATCACATAGGATCGGAGTCCTTATTAATTAGACTCGAACACATTCAAATTCGATGGTATTACATAATTTTGTTACAGAGATCCCATACTCCTAAACCATTCATCATCAGCTTCATCATCAGCTCAGCAACATCAGATGGTGACCATTAGATGTAAAAATCTACATAGATTAAGATAATTTCTGATAAACAGTGTATATGCCTACAAAATTTGAGGGTTTCCCTCGATTTCCCCAGGATCCCATCATCAGATCCTGACCTGGTGACAATGGGACCACCTCTGACGTATGACCTACCAAATAAAAAAAGAATTATTCAAATCGGTTTATAATTGCCGGAGTAATCGCGTAACAAATATACAAAAAAAAAAAAAAAAAATACAGTCGAATTGAGAACCTCCTCCTTTTTTTGAAGTCGGTTAATTAGAGCAGTGTTTGATTTACACAGGCATTGCCGGGATTTATCTCTTTGCATTCGGCCATACGCGTCAGAAGACAAAACAAATAAATTAAAATTTAGTTTGGCAAACATAGCTACCTCGAGTATATAAATGGAAGGTAGTGTCAAAATATTATATTTTTTATAATAGGGCAGACAGCTGTCGGTTGATTTTAGAGAGAACATTGCCCTCACACAACGTTTCTGTACCTTGAATACTTTATCTTTATGTACAGAGTTACCCCAAAAAATTATACCAAACCTAAGAACTGACGCCACCATACCATGGTATGCAGTCAGAAGTGCATGAGTATTAATTACTTGTGATAATTCATGAAGTGCATACACTGATTTACTGACCCTCTTGCATATTTGTTCTACATGTGGTTTCCATGTAACTTATTGTCTATTTTTACACCTAGAAATTTTGTGGAATCTACTTCATTTAAAGATTGGCCGTTAGCGCTTATCTGTAGGTTTTTCATACTAGGAATACGCTGACTAAAATGCATGAGCATTGTCTTTCCTATGTTAGCTCTTAAATTATTTACATCTAGCCAGTCGAGAACAGAGTTCAAAGCGTTATTTATATCGTCATTATATGTATCCTTATTATTACATTTAATAGTAATTGTACTATCATCTGCAAATAGGGCTATTGGGTTATGGGTTACATTAGGTAGGTCATTAATATATATTAGGAACAATAATGGTCCTAATACACTACCCTGAGGTACGCCATATTGTATTTTACGTGTTTCAGATTGATAGTATTCTTCTATTTTGGTAACACTATTAATTTTACAAATTTGAGTATATTGAGTGCAATTTCTAATGTAAGACTCAATCAGGTCTAAGATATTGCCCCTTATGCCATATGAATTTAGCTTACTTAGTAGAGTATCATGACTTACATGATCAAATGCTTGGGTCATATCCATATATATTGAGCAAATAGGTATCTTTTTGTCAACATTCTTCATTACAAATACAAGAAAATCATAAATGGCCATGTTTATTGATTTATTACCTCTGAAACCCTTCTGTTCTTTCGCCAGAATACAATTCCCTTCAAGGTAATCATTCAGTTCCCCATATATATATTTCTCAAATACCTTAGAGAAAATAGGTACGAGGGCTATAGGTCTATAGTTTTCTATATTGTCTCTATTTCCTTTTTTAAATACAGGTTTTATGATCACTGCTTTCAGTTTGTCAGGGAAAGCTCCAGCTGCTATACATACATTTATAATATGACAAATATGATGACAAATATTACCTTCAAGAACATCGATTTCTGCCCATTGTTTCAGTTTAAATAAAAGTGAAATGTCATCCGCAAATAACACTATCTCCTGATTATCTTTTATCAGATTAGTGGGTCATTTATATAAACGTAAAACAAAAATGGACCGAGAATTGAGCCCTGCGGTACCCCCATAGTGAACAGAGGTCCGAGGGACCTCTGTCCATTATCTTCCACTCTCTGTATCCTATTACCTAAATAAGAGATAAGAAGATCCAAAGCAGTATTCCTTATTCCATAATGATGCAATTTCCTGATCAATGTTTCATGAAAAACGCAATCGAATGCCTTAGACAATAATCGTTAATCCTCCCATGCACTAAATATGAAGCCAAATTGTTTCCTGTGTAGAATATTGTTTACACTAAAGTGAGTTTGCAGCTGATCTAGTATAATTTTGCTTTTCACCGTCTAGATGAGGTTCGCGGAGGCCCTATCCTGCCTCTTCTTCCCTAATCTTGAGTTGTAGAGATGTCCATGGATCATCATAGTCACTTACCAGCGGGTGACATCATAAGAAAAAACTTGAAAACCATAAACGAGGATCAAGACTAATAATCCGTATTCGTATCACTAGATAATATACATTTGAACGATGGGGAACATCACTAACAAATAAATTCTTCAATAGATACAAAAAAAAAAAAAATCTGCTTTATTATAATGTATATATTATATAGGTAAAAAAAAAGTATATAAGTATTCTATCTGTCAATCTAGCTTTCATAGTACAAGCTCTGCTTAGTTTGAAACTAGATGGCGATGTGTGTCAGGATGTACGAAACGCTATATAGATTTGACACAGTACATTATAACATATACTACTTTCAAAGAAGCCCTTAGTTTGCAACTAGTTTTGAAAAAAAAAAATGTATCTTATAAATAAGTTACTTTTTACATACCGTTTTCTTTTTCACAGTTACATTTAAGTTCACACCATGTACATCCTTTAAGTGAGCCAATATTACACTCTGGTTGTATGATACAAACCCACAGCATAGACAATTGTGTTTATTATAATGATTTTCTTTATGGTCTTGGTGTAAATTCTCTTTGGTATAAATGAAGCATATTTCACATTTAATATGTTTGGGTCTCTGAAACAATATATTAACTAAATATTAACAATAAAATCACTAGTAAAACTCACTATTTTATCTTCAACTTCCTCTGCCTTTGTCAAAAGTAATTAATTTGCCCTTTTTTGCAACACTTATCATTGGTGTTCAGCTCCTATTGGTCATAACGGGATTTTACAAAGCCTATGGCCTACCTCAATAAATGGGCTATCCAACACTAAAAGAATTTTTCAATTCGAACCAGTAGTTTCTGAGATTAGCGCGTCCAAACAAACAAAATGTTCAGCTTTATAAGTATGTATAGATATTAATTGCCATGATACTTACCTCTGTATGAAAGGATGTATTATGAGCCGCTAAGTCACTTTCATTTTGAAACATCTCAATGCAACTATCGCATTTAAAACTCGAACCAACAAATTCTGCTGAAGTTTTCTTACTCATCAGAACCTCTTTCAACTCATCCTCACTCATCTTGGCACTTGAGAAGTACAATTCTCTTTTTAACTTTCTTTTCTTTTTAAATTTGGATTCTTTGTTGAATTTACAGTCTTGTGTTTCAATTTCATTATCTGACAGCAAGTTGCTGTGCAATTCAGATAGTGGAATGTCTTCTTCACTTTCAGTCTTGATGTCATTATTTGCTCCGCAGTCGATAAAGTTATCAGACACTGCGTCAGCCTCTGAAATGACTGATTTGTAACTAGTTGTGTGGTATCTTGATAAGTGAGATAGACAGTGCTGGGCATTGATCTGCAAGAGAGTGGAGGTTGGTTTGGAGTTTGAGTGCTTTCTATGTATAATATGTATGTATTTACCAAAAAAGGTATATAGTACAAGCTCTGCTTAGTTTGAAACTAGATAGTACTTAGTACTCCAAAAACTTCATTTGTAATACTTTAAAAAATCTTTATATTCTAAACCATAGTAGATTTTTGGTGGAATTATGCAACACAATTTATTGCTTCTCATAAAACTGGAGCACTTGAAAACCTCAATATATTGAGAGAAATATAAGAATTATCGCCCGTCAATTCATAAACTCCACAAATTTGTTTATGGTGACACCCACAGAAAGTTACTATAAAAAGTTTATAGCTATACTAACATCCAAACGTCCATCAGCAATGAAACTGAGCTGCCTCTGCGCAATGCAAGCCTGCTGCCTAAACCGTGCAATTCTGCACATGACAGCTCTGCATTCCCAACATATGAACAAACTGGCAGTGTCTTTGTAGAATCCCTCCTGCAAACATAGATCTACAATACATACAAATATGTATAAACATATCACTAGGGTTAGGCCAACACAGTTCCATATTCCAATGCAAATGTGTGGCAATAACTTGTGCAGGCACAACGGTAATGTCAAGGAGTATTAAGGACTATAACATTGAATATAGACAGCAGGGGGCGGCCCTGCAATAAAGGCAATGGAGACACAATGACCTCTGGTATTGTCTTTGAATGCCATCAAGAATTGGAGCAGCTTGCTACATTAAATGGGGTACCTCTAATCTTCTCTAATCTCTCTAATCTCTCTAATCTTTGAAAAAAAAAAAAAAAAAAACTCCTGTCACCTTTCAACTAACATCGATCCTGGGCCAGACAATGGACTCGTGAAGCACACAACCGAAGGCGGAAAAACTCACCCAGCTGCAGATAGTCCAAACTTGTACTGACTGAAGTCTTAGCCACCTGCAGACTGATCAGTCTTAGCAGACTAGACATACAAATATTTTTAAGAACTATAACAACCCTGAACCAACAACTATTCACCATTAATGCAACAGACAGTCCTCTTTGCAGGAGATCCCTGAAAGCAGAAGAAACGGCTACCCAGGTAATCCTGGAATGCAAGGGAGTGGCCACACAACAAGCAAGTATCATACCTGATACAAATTCGCTCCTAGAAGCCTGTGAACACCCCAGGAGGCTACTGCACTTCTAGAAGGAACTTAGTTAGCTGGTTGGAGATGCATAAAAACCATTCTTGAGTCTAAATGTGGAAACCAGAGCCCACAGCCCATACCAATACCATATTCCTAATGGATCAGTGATCTGTTTGCAACTTCTTTTAAGATATACAGGGCAATCCGGTAAACGGGTCACCAGATGGTAAGTGACTAGCACCACCCTCTGAGATTCATGGGAACCACCAGGCTCCAGTAATTTCACTCACTACGTGAAAAGTGAAAAAGAAGAGGATGAATACTTTTCTGTGAGGCAGCTACATCAATGACATGATTTAGTAACTCAAAACAGAGAGATACTTTTATCAGATATTTTGACAGAAAAAACTGCTCTAGATGGAAGAATACTTCAACCAATTATTTACAACAAAATTAAAATTTCATTCAAAATTTAGTTTTGATCTGCTTTCAAACTGCCTATTGCCATTCACTGCTAAACGAAGGCGGAGCGAACGGAGCTTCAATCGTCCCATTCGTGGCAGTCCGCATTCATCTACTGCCAGGCAGTAATTTGCTTATATTTTTGTAAACAGTTTTGTTTTAAGAAGAAAAGGTTTGGCATTGATAGTGTACTTGTTATTTTTGTTAATTTATTTATAAATGAGATAAATAATAAGTTTTAATTAGGAACAATGATTATTATTAATATTTATTAAGGTAACAGCTTGGCCGTTTATACACTACAAAAATAGGGAAACATATTTACCCTAAACGCTTCAGAGTCGTAGGACAACAACAAATACAAATTGTTTACCCCGTCGGATATTCTACATAACTGGAACAACTTGCGCTCTTTACTGAGGCAAGTACAACATATCTTTTTAATCGCCAATTCGGAGCAGTCGTCCATTTTTATACCATACAGATAAGTTACAACATTATTTAAAAATCGAGTTATTGTGCATTCAGTGTTTCATTTTGTGACATGGGACATTATGAAATTATGACACAAACAAAGTTTTTAATTTTTTTTTTTTTAATTATTTTATTCGTGACCATAGATACAAGTCTTTCAGTCGAAAACATAGATGGAAAGTTTTTACTTTGCACTGATTGACTCATTTTTTGTTGTTGAAAAAATGCTAACGACATTAGACCGATATCAGTAGATATCCATCGATATGAATTAAAAAAAAACTAGTTTCACCGACTTTATCCAACCATATTGAAATGAATTGGAATGAACTATATTCTTAATTTCCTAATTTTCACACTTAACTGGGGTGGAATTGAGAGAACAGAGAATTCGAACAGAGACTACCTCAGTGGTGCAGTGGTAGCATATTCGACTGCTGTTCTAAGGTTTCAGGTTTCGATTGCCGGGTTGGATCAAATGTTTGTATGATCTGCAAATATTTGTTATAGAGTTTGGGTGCTTTCTATTTACTTTTTTTACCAAAAAATATACATAAGTAGTCTATCAGTCAATCTAGTTTTCATATTACAAACTGTGCTTCGTCTTTGTAGAATCCTTCCTGCAAACATACATCTACAATACATATTCAGAATAGACAAGTGATCTAGGTAAGTAAGTTTGTAATTTTTTTAAAGATATAGGTGGCAATGAGGCACATCTGTCACCTGATGACCTACTACCACGCTCTGTGTCTTCTTCCCCCATAATCAAGGGAACTTCCCACCTGAGTATGGGTAAAAATTTGGATTATACCGGTTTTCTGTGAGGCTGCTGGATCAATGACATCATCCAGTAACTGGAAACAGATAGATAAAAGAAGGGAGACAAAAAAAACGAAAAAAAATGGTTTTCAACCAAGAAGTTAAGACAAAATTAAAATATTAAAATTTAGTTGCGATTTGCTTTCACACTACCTAATACACTACTAATACAATATAATCACATTACTGCAGGCAGTAATGTGATTATATTGTATTGTTACCAAAACTTGAATTGGTATTCTGCTAGTCTTAGTAATACTTTACTACGAGAATTTCTTTTATGACGTTTATGAGATCAAATTGTAAACAGTTTTGTTAAAAATTAAGAATAGGTTTGGAATCGATAGAGTGTATTTGTTTATTTTTTCAAATTATTTCTAAATGAGATAAATAATAAAACTTTTAATTAGTAATCGCTTTAGCGTTAGCTTAGACCGTTTATATACTACCAAAATAGGGAAACATATTTACCCTAAACGCTTCAGAGTCGTATGATAACAACAAATTCAAATTATTCACCCCGTCGGATATTCCACATACAACATATCTTTTTCATCGCTAATTCTTAATATTCTTACTTCTTCTTACGTTCACTTTCAGTGTTTCATTTTTGCAAACAAACAAAGTTTATACTTTGCACAGGTGTTCCCAGCCCTTGAACTCATTTTCTTGTTGTTGAGAAAAATTTCCAGATGATATTAGACCGAAATCCGAGCCATCTTTAAAATTACTAAGCCAATATAATAATACCAAATGAGAAAACCATATAACACTTAATATGTACTGATGATCGATTACTTTACCTACAGTTTTTAATATCTTAACTTAACATCATCATCATCATCTTTCGGACCTTTTACTTTATCAATTTTTGTAAGTCAGCACAATGTGTGATATTTTTTTATGACTCGGTGTCAGTGGCTTTAAGCCCATATTCTTTGGAAGTGTTATCATTTCTAGACGAAATATGGTTCAGGTATAGCCCGGTACAGGAATCCGTGAGCCTAGGATAGAGACAATGAACAGAGTTTACTGAACTGAAAGAAGTCGGATTACTTTCTTGTATACATTTACTGTAACCTGTTATTAGAGACTTCACACTAATAACAAACTTTTTACTGAAACATTCTTCTTTCCCAGACTTCTTTCTACCTCTTCCGAATTTGTTTCAAGGCATTTTTTTATTAAATTCATGATCAGGAACATATGACTAAGAACTAACTTAATACTTATAAGAGCTTACGACCTATAAGAGTTGGTATAATGGTTGAGTAATTTTATTATTGGTGTTTTAATTTTTGGTTCGTTTGCATCATAGAGAAAATTAAAAAAAAAAAAAACATTGTCTATAGTAAATAATGGCCTATTGCTACTGTTTTGTCAATGTATTGTTTCCATTCTTTAACGTAAATAAACAGATATTTAGTTTTAAGAGATAATCAACCAATGAAATAAATTATTAACTAATAAAATATATGTATAAATTTTACTTGAATCTCAACAATTACTTGTGACCAAGATGAATATAAATGTGAACGTTTATGAAGTACCTATTGTGAGTGCTGTAATTATGCATCAGCCTCAACCTCAACCACAGCACCCAGAGCCACAAAATCAAATTCCACCACCGATTAACCCCCCGGAACCACCGCCTCCGCCCCCGGACGAGATAAAACCGAAAATAGAGAAAAAGAAAAAGGAGGCTATAGATGGCCAAGCTAGAGAGATTATATACAAAGTAATTAAATTCTTTGAAAGCGAAAAACAGAATAGAGGCTATGCGTTTCCTGTAGAAAATGTTGTCAAAAGGGCATGCGCAGCAACAGGGCTATCAGAAAGCACGATAAAAAGAATTAAAAGAGATGGTTTACGCGCGGAAGCAACACAAACAAAAATGACTGGCCCCAAAAAGAAGAGAGTTAGGAAAACCAAAGTGCAGTTAGATTACTTCCAACTGTGTGCGTTGAGAGGCATAGTCAACAGTTATTCATCCAGGAAAGAGGTCCCAACTCTTGGCAAGATTTTGTCTGCAGCCAAACACGAATTAAATTACCGGGGAGGGAAGGAATCACTGAGGCTCATATTGTTAAATAAACTCGGTATAAAGTTTAAGAAATGTGAGAAAAAGAATAAGAAACCACCCGAGCAACCTCAGCCACCACAACAGCAGATGCCAACGCTCATGCCTCATCCGCAGATGCAGCAGATGAAACCTATAGTAGATAATAACCAGTGTGTATATACTAACATGATGCCACACGTACCACCTGTGTCATATTGATGCTAGGATTCGTTTTTCAAGAAAAAGGTTGTATAGATATTTATAGGTAACTACATACATAGGTTTTACAAGTTTACTGAATAATGCATGGATACACGATGTTCAAAATGTCAACTAACTGCAGAATTCATATATAGAATATAACAGTATGTAAACTACAGCCACAACAAACAAAAATCCTCTTTACACATTGATATTAATATAGGGCACTGTTTCCTCATTCAAACTCGGAAACCGTTGTGCATTCACAAAAGGCTACTTGGATGAACTAGCATTATGATAAGTCTAGCTGGGTGAACTAATAGTCAGAAGGCTAGCTGGGTGAACTAGCTTTCAGGTAAAGCTACCTGGGTGAACTAGCTTTCAGGTAAAACTACCTGGGTTAACTAACATTCAAATAAAGGTAGCTGAGCAAACTTAACATTCAGATAAGGCGCAGCTGGGTAGATTAGCTTTTAGATAAAGATAGCCAGGTGAACTAACATTCAGATAAAGCTAGCTGGGTGAACTAAAAATTCAGGACTGCCTAGCTAGGTGAACTAACATTCAGGTAAGGCTAGCTGGGTAAAATACCTTTCTGATAAAGCTAGCTGGGTGGAATAACTTTCTGATAAATCTAGCTGGGTGATCTAGCATTCAGATAAAGCTAGCTGGGTGAACTAGCTTTTAGATAACACTAGCTCGAGGAACTTGCTTTTAGATGAAGCCTGCTCAGTGAACTATTATTAAAATAAAGCCAGCTGGGTGAACTAACATTCTAATGAGGCTAGCTGGGTAAACTAGCATTCTTAGAAGGCTAGCTGCCTGAACTAGCTTAGCTTTTTCAAAACCACAATGTTCCTGGGGTGTTCACAGTCATCTAGGAGAGACCTGCAAGGATACTTGACCACTGTGTGGCCACTCCCTTAAACTCCAGAATGACATACCCTCCTCATTGAGAGAACCTCTGCATCACCTTCATACATCATAATGTAATTTCATTTTTACTGTGTAATCAAGTATAAATATTTGGTATATATATATATTTGTATGTATATTACAGGATAAAGTGAGTGTTACGTGATTAGAAACCATGGTCATGAATATATTTTTCTAGTTTTCCACACAATTAAGCACAAGACACACATTAGGAAATATCACAAAACAAATTATTCTGTGGTGTGCATCATGGCCTGCAAGTAGATTTTTTGAAACATTGGAACTTTTTTTTTCAGTAAATTAAGTTTAAAACCTTTACAACCAGAAGTTCAATTCTCAAAAAAAGAAATAGTTCAAAATTCAGTGCCGATCTACTCGCTATCTCACAAATGTCATAAAAGTTATTCTCATAGTAAAGTAAGCCAACACCTTTATGCCACGATACGATATAATCACATTACAGTCAACGTTGGATGTTTAATACTTTACTACGAAAATAACTTTTATGACATTCATGAGATTTTGATTACGAGAATTGACTTTCAGATAAACCGTGTACAATATATTTATAGAGTAATGAACTGTACTTCTGTTGTTAAGTAGGATAGGTGATTAGGTCTTGGTTCCTAGTTGTTCATAGAGTATCGGAACAAGTTCAACGATAATTTAATATCTTATTTATAATTTTTCACAAATGAATATCTTTTTACTGGTTGAAACATTATATACATAATTTAATTGATATTAAATATTTCACTACATTTTTTTATGGCTCACTTGTCTTATCACCAATAACAAAGACATTATAAATACATGACTTCGACACGACATGAATTTGAATATGTTATTTTAAACATCAATAATTTTTTACACATACATTACTTTTTTATTTTACCATAATTTTACCAGGCTTTTTGATGTTTTATTCATATATATTGCAAATAATTCAAATATATGTAACAAAATAACTGTCATTTATATTAATTTAATCTGGTAATACGTTAACTAAATCTTAGTGATGGTTTCTGAAAGAATTTTTGCCATCATTAATAATAATAATAATGGTTGTCTTTGAGTCAATTTCCTTAATAACAAGAAAACATCTTTATATCAAATCACCATCAAGAAGTTTGTTTGGCTAACTGTAGCAGCAAAGTAAATACACCCCTTTTTGAAACTTCTAATAACTTTACACATCTCACACACGGCCGTTTGAATCCAAACTAAGCAAATCAGAGTGCTATTAGCATTTCATTTACATACTTATATATTTCTAAATACATATTACAGATAAATTACACCCAGACACAACAAATGATCATCACAATTATTTATTCTAAGTGTGTCTAGGCATCTTAGTCCTGACTGTAGCATATATCTTTCTATTGTTTTTAAACAGAAGTCTAGTAGCATGTTATTATGATCATAGCTATGTGGCTCTATAGTTGGCTTTGAGAAGAAACCACCTCTTATTATGAACGGCTGCACATGCACTTCGGCTTTTAGTTTTTATTAATAAGACAACAGTGTATTGGTGTTGCTACTGCATCAAGAAGTTATCATCTGCGGTATTCCCGGACCGATATGACCTTGAAGAAAAGAGTAGTACTCCTTCCTAAAAGGCCGGCAACGCGTTTATGACTCCCGAGTTGCAGGCGTTCATAGGCGGTGGTAGTCACTTTCCATCAAATGACTCGTCTGCCTCCTCTTCCATAAAAAAATCCAATGGCAACTTCTCGCTGTTGACAGTTCCTGCCCTCCTGCAATCTTAAGTCTAGATTCTACTGGTTAAATGGTCAGAAATATGTTCTAGCGTAATGCAGCATTAGTTGTACGAACTAGTTCAGATTCTAATCGCTAGATAGCGCTAGAATGGGTGAAACTTTGGTTTTTTTTTGGAATTTACATTTTGTGTGAATAAAATTTTCTGTGATTTTACAAAGCTCTATGTATGAAAAACTGTTTGCCATAGGTTGTCTTTTTATAGAACGGTTATAGAGGCTGTGTAACATCACGCTACGACCCACTGGAGTGGAGCAGAAGTATTTAAAAAAATAAATAAATATTGAATGCAATTTTAATAATTACTGTAGTAGATAATGTATTTAAATGGTGGGGAAGTTATAGCAGTACTAGAAATTATAAAAAATTATCACATGTATAGTACCTTAATTCATTATATTAATGATTTTAATTTCTTTTAGTTATAATTATGATAAGGCTGAATATATAACACGTATGTATCTTTATTCGAATAAAAGTAAAGATTTAAGTTTTTTAAATGTTTTATTTACAATCACATTTGGTAAGTAAACATCTCTGCACAAGTTCATCGACAGTAAGTACATAATATTTAATATAAGTACGTTCGCACGTATTTCGCACTAAAATGACTAAAAAATCCCTCTGGATCCCTGAAATGTGCGTAGCCCGGTTGTCGGTCCGCGGGCGACTTTTTCTTAAGTTTCGTAGTTTTTCCTAAGAGTTTGTGTCTCACGAGTAAGCCACATCAGTTGGGTGACTACTGCTCCAAAATCTCATCTTTTAAATTAAACCTTGAAAGGTTTATACTACGCTCATATATCACTCAATCGCATATATTTTTTACAATCCTCAATAGTTATGAAAAACCTGCCTGATAAATACCGAACCCGAGGAAGAAAACTGATGCAAAATTTTCAAGCTAAACAATAGTGATAAACCTATTTTCTGATGAGAGAAACGGTTAGCATCAAAACAAATTTAATGTACACAAATGTTGGAAGACAATTTCAGCCCACCCACTTTTAACTTTACTGTCGTATTTATATACAGTGTATATTATACACACATATGCAGTTTGAATGACAAGATGAAGACCATTATTTGTCATTTTGGGAACGATTTAACGATATAACCAGGAAGTGTAGGTTTATGTTAAACAGATAAGATTATTAAAAAGTTCATATTACATTGAAAAACATTTAAAAAGTCTACAATATTAAAAATACGTTTATTTTATTGACTAGTAACATTTAAATATCGTATTTTTATGTCAATGGTATGTTTGATATTCATGTGGTGACATTTATATTCATGTCGAGGGTGTCGTAGGTGCCGACTAAGGGAAGTCAAACTGTACAGCACCACAGCACAGCAAAGAGAAGGAAAGCTTGATAGAAACCTTTAACCAACCCGTCTGGCCAGCGTAGTGTAGTAGGCCAGAACTACCTTTCTAAGGAGAGGCCTATATCCAGCAGTGGACTAATAAAGGCTGTTGAAGATGGTAATTTTCAGCTATCAGGCGTTTCAGCTGCCTGAACTGAGCTAAAAAGTATTGCTGAGAAATAAATTTAATTATTTAGTAGTCACAACGTCATCCATTTGTCGCCACACACATTACTCTTGAAATCCGTCAACACACTACTGTAACACAGCCTGTATAGCATAATTCTAATACCGACGATAAAAAACGGTCTTCATCAATGCCGGTGATTGGTATCGTTTCGTTAACTGGACATCTCTATGTTTTTATGTTGTGACTTCTGATGTGTCTTCATGGCGGTCTGTTGAGCGAACGCGGCTGGACAGTACTTGCATTTAAATGGCCTCTCTCCTGTGTGAGTGCGACGATGGTTTTCTAGAATTTTATTCGTCTGAAATAAAATTGCACTATAACTATTGATGTTCTGTTTTTTACATGCCAAGGCCAATATGGCGGCGCTCGCATCAGCTGACCGTGTAACATGTGCTCAGGTTTATCATGCGTTTATCATTGAATGATTGTATTTATTATGTATTCCTTTTTTTTAATTAGCAATATGCAGATTGAAATTAAAATTTATAGTTGGATATCTTGCCTACTATTTATTTATCATTATCATTCCCATTTTAAAATTAATAAGTTAATATTAAAAACGCGATTTTAATACCCTAATCTCGCAAAATCGATAAAAAAAAAGTTCCACTTGTATCGTGGTTTCATAAAACCACACCACACTTTTATTTTAAGTGTGTGAGTGGTGCCCGGGACCTATTAATTCTGGGGGGCACTCGAAGGCCTTCAAATCGTATGTGACTCAGCAACGGCTCCAACGATTTTCATAAAATTTTCATAGTTTCGGGATCGATTAATCAATCTAGCTAGGTTTCATTTTTAGAAAATTTACCAAAAAAAATACAGAGCTAAACTCGGTCATCCAGGTACTGAGTATTGAAATAATGATTTAAAATAATCGCTCAGTACTTTTTGTTTTCAATACATCCAGAGACAATGTTAACAAAACCTGTAAGGATACTCACTCCAAACCCTCGTCCACAAATGTCACATATCTTGTCTTTGGGCTGCGCAATCTTTTTGTGAACTTTCTCAATGTGTTTGCGGAGACCGTAACCCGTGGTGTAGTACTGCCAACATACAAAAATGGCATTATACCGAATTTATTTTCACAAGGACCCCATCTTGCAATATAGGCAACGAGAGAGATGGATAATAGATAGTTCCCTCTATCTCTTTCTAGTCGAGCTCTAGTTCATTGACGGCTTGACGGCTCTGGTCAATTGACGGAGTAATCGATGAACATACATAAAATAAATACATACGGTGGAACATAAAACCTCCGCCCTTTTTGTAGTCTTCAAAACGATTGGTTAAAAACTCGAGATTCGTATTCCCGGATATATCTATTTAACGATATCGCACATCACTAGTTAATCCATCTAATGAGTTACCTTATCACATTGGTCGCAATAGTTCTTGGTGACCTTTAAATGTACGAATTTGTAATGATTCCTCATAAAGTTGGTTCTGGTGAAGATCTTGCCACAGTCGGGACACGGCACCCTAGAACAAATAGTGTGATATAAGTCACTGCTCAGCTGGTCGCGTGATGTTAAATAGCTTATAAACTTCCTTTAATATGAGGTTAGCAAATGCAACATGAATTTATCAAATGCTCTTAATTGCCAGGTCTAAATGACACCTTCCGCACGGGGAATATATCCTTTTTTTTTTTTTTTTTTTTTTTTTCACGCGGTGAATGCTTTTCGCACCATACCCTCCGTTGGGGAAACGCAGGGCGTATGTGGGACTCCCGGAGAACCGGTCTACCCACTAAACCCCGCGGCGGCCTTCCTCGGCAGTCGGGAGGAGCTCCAGGAACGCATCGGCGACTTCTGGAGTCCTCCCTGCCGTACCTCATGTCTGAGGCACATCCCGGAGTGACCGTAGTCACCCTGGGGCAGGACGCTATCGCGCCTCTCACTGCTCTACAGAGTAAAAGGCGCAACGGCGTCCCGCCTTAGACGACACCCCCCCGGCCGCACCGGAGTGTCATACGTCTCGGGTCGTTTACAGCGGTCACATCGCCCCAAGATGTGGCCGCAGTGACCCTTAGGCGGCGATTGGGGAGTTAGCGACCTCTGCCGCGTCCCCTTCGCCGCCTCCTTCGAGCAGGATCGGCCCTCTCCCGATCCCGCTCTGCGGCCTCCTTTTGGAGCATAACGTCCTCGCAGAAGGAGACCGCGGCTGCCCATCCCTCGCCACTCGCCAGCATTGCCGCGATTAATGCTGGCGGTGACAGGTTTCGTCCGATCTGTCCGACCAAGACTCGACGTTCGGACTCCCATGCAGGGCAGTCCTCCAGCGTGTGCTGGGCGGAGTCCCGGTCGGACCCGCAATGGTGGCATCGTGCCGTGGCCTCCCGTCCAATTCGATTCAGATACTCACCGAAGCAACCGTGCCCGGTAAGCATCTGAGTCAATCGGTAGGTGACACAGTCGTTCCCTCCCTACCCACGCTTCGAAGCTCGGCAGAACGGCTCCGACGGCGCGTTGGCTAGCACAGCCCTGGATTACAAGCCGTGCCTGCCACGCTCGCAAAGCCTGCGTATGCGCGTTCCGCCGTAGCATTCCGGGCTCATGATCCGGCGCGGCCTCCTCACCATTCCGACCGACAGAACGGACTTGGCCATAGACCATCGCGTCCATGTCGGCCAGAATGTCGAAGGGTGGATATCGAGCCAGGACCGTCGCCGCCTCAAACGAGATGGTACGATAACCCCGTACGACCCGTATGGCCATCAACCGCTGTAGGCTTCTGAGTAGAGCCTTGCAGCGGGAGGCACCCGCCAAGTCATTAGACCAGACGGGCGCCCCATAGAGGACCATGGATCGCACGACCCCCCATATAGAGACGGCGAACTTCTTCCCGTGGTCCCCCGAGATTGGGCAGCAGGCGATGCAGTGCACCCGCTACCCCGCGCACTCGGGGGACTAATCGCACGAAATGCTCTTCGAAGCTCCACCGACTGTCCAGGATGAGGCCTAAGTACTTCATGTACCGGCCCACCTGGACTTCAGCGTCACCCACCCGGAGGCATGAGCTGGGTGGTTCCTGGCGCTTACGTAGGCCATGGAACCATATCGCCTCAGTTTTCTGAGGCGCCACCCTCAGACCCAGCTCATGAATCTTTCCCACGACACAAGCCACCCCATGCTCGGCGAGCCGAAGCACCTCGTCGAAGTGTGACCCTCTAGCCAGTATTAAAGTGTCATCTGCATAGCAGACAACACTAAGGCCAGAGGGCAGACTGGTGCGAAGGACCACATCGTAAGCTAAGTTCCACAACAAAGGGCCTAAAAACAGAGCCTTGGGGAACCCCGCAACACACCTGTCTCCGAATTTCCACCCCGCCCCGACCGATAAACTTCACTGTCCTATCGCGCAGATAGGCCCCAATGACGGCCCGCAGATAGAGCGGCACCTCATGAAATTCAAGGGCCGCCCTTATCGCCTGCCAGGGGAGGGTGCCGAACGCGTTGACGATATCAAGGCTAACCGCCAAAGCCACCCCCCCTGATCGGACTGCCGACTCCGACATGGAGCGAACGCACCTGATAGCGTCCACTGTCGAACGCCCCCGTCGGAATCCAAACTGGCAGTCCGACAGATCAGGGCCTACTCGTGACAGGTGCCCGCTGATACGATCGGAGATAATCCTCTCAAAGAGTTTCCCCGACTCGTTCAGCAGGCAAATCGGTCGGAACCCAGAGGGAGAATCTGCAGTTCTACCTTCCTTTTTCAAGAGCACCAGTCTCGCTTCTTTCCAGCCGAGGGGGAACACACCGAGGCTAAGACAATCTGTGAAAATCCGCCTCAGTTTGTCCCCCAATACCGACAGAGCTATCACCAGCGCCCGACCTGGAATACCATCAGGTCCGGGCGCAGTGTTGCGGGAAGCCAGTCGCCGCACGACTCGGTCCAGCTCTCCCTCCGTCACCTCACACTCGTCGGACCAGAGTTGCCGGTCCGATTGTAACGGAGAGATCAAGGGACTGTCCTGGACCCTTGGGACGAGCGTGTCTACCACTCTTCCCAGGAACTCCGGGTCCAGGGTTTCAGTCAATGGAGGGACCCATGGTTTTAGCTTGCCCAGTACAATTTTGTACGGGCGCCCCCAGGGGTCTCTATCCAGTCCCCCGATGAGTTCTTTCCAGGACCGAGCCTTGGCCTCAGCGATTGCATCGCTGAGAGCTTTTACAGCAGCGCCATATTCCCGCCGTGCTACTTCGATCTCCTCGGCTGTAGCTCGCCGTCTTCTCCGGGCTCGAAGATACGGGCGGCGCAATCTCGCGACCGTCGTTCTCAGCTGCGAGATCTCCACGCTCCACCAGTACGCCGAGCCCTTCCTGGCTGGCCTGACTCGGGGCATTGAGGCATCACATACGGACGCCATAATGTTCCCAAACCAGGCCGCCTGTTCTTCTGGATCGGACGAAACCCTTTCCTCCAACCAATCCGCCACGTGGGATGCGGCAACGACCATCTCTCGGTCAAGCCGCTTGAGGGACCATCGTCGCGGAGGTTCTCTATCCTGACGCGGGCGGTCAGCGCGGCGGAGAGACACATCGAATACGATGTGCCGGTGGTCAGAAAGACTGACCACTTCCTCCGCCACCCGCCATCCCGACACCATGTGCACTGCAGAGGGAGTCGCCCATGACAGGTCAACAATCGACTCCCCCTGCCATCGCACACAGGTGCTAACTGAGCCCCGATTTAGAAGTCGGAGGTCCAGTCCAGCCGCCCACTCCAGGATAGTCTCTCCCCTCGCATCGTCCCGAGTGTCACCCCACTCCCTTGAGTGGGCGTTGAAGTCACCCAGGACGAATACCGGACGGGAGGCGTAGCTGCGAATGCAGATTGCCAACCCGTGCAGGTATGCCTCATATTCGGCTAGGCCACGATTGGGAGAGAAGTAACACCCCACCACCACTGTTACCCCCCACTCCACTGCCACGAAGCCAGCACCCTTTCTTAGGAGAGAGCAATGGAAGCCTTCCCCACCCGGCCAATAAATGGCCGCTGAGCCATCGACCGCCCCGAACCAACGCGGATGGTCCGGGACGGTATAGGGCTCTGCAATGACTGCCAGGGCAACCTACTGCTCCGCGAGCGTCTGGATTAATAGATCCTGCGCTGCTCGGCAGTGGTTGAGGTTGCCCTGGAGAACCCTTGCGTGTGGTGGGAATGTTAAGCCTCCATTGCCTCTCCCGTCGAGTTACAACTCGACACTGGCTGTCCAGATTGGGCAAAGGCGGGGCGAGGCTGGACCTCTCCCTCCTTTTGCTTCTTCGGTGGGCAACAGCTCTTGCTACCCAGCCGATGGTTTGCGGGCCGCCCGTGGTCACTGCACACCGGACACCTCGGTGCGTTCGCTGCGCAGTCTCGGGCCTTATGGTCCAATTCTCCGCAGCGAAAGCAGCGCCCACTCCTGTCAGGGTGACCTGAGCATTTTACCCTGACGTGTCCCATTTCAAGGAATTGGTAACATTGCAAGCGCCGTGGTGCCAACGCTTCGGTACGGACCGACGCCCAGCCCACCTGCACGCGTTGGGCGGCCGCAGCTTGGCGTACTGCTGTAAGTGGGCCCCGGACCCAAACCGTTCCCAATCGGGCTGCGGTTCTGCGTATCTCCCCGACCTTGATGTCGGACGGAGAGCAACCACCCACTGCGGCTATTGCCTCCGCAACCTCGATGGCGGTGATGGATTCGTCCAAATCCATCACCCGCATTTCGGCCGTTTTGCACGGACGCTTAAATCGCGCATCTGTGTCGCCCATGACCGCGCGCAAGCGTTCGGCCAAAGCGTCCGCTTTGGCAGCGCTATCCGGCCCGGGGACCTCCAGTACTAGGCCCCCTGTGACTGCCTTTCGCTGGCGGACCCCGCCCGTAATGCCAAGCTCCGCCAGCTTAATACGGGCTTTTGCGGCCTGCATTACTTCCGCCAGTGAGGTACTGGATCCCGGAGGCACTGCGACCACGACGGCAGCATTGGTGGGGGGTCGCGGTAATTGCGACTTCTTTGGCTTCGAGACGGGAGTAGTAACTATTTGCCATGTACAATATCAGGAAGTCGTGACACGTTCAAAGCTAAAGTCCGAGAATTCTACAGGAAACAGCTAGCAGAAATATCCTCATGATATCGTCACCCAAACTTTATTGTATTTATTATATGCCGTATATATAATATATTAATAGTTATCTATGTATTCGTCTATTTTAAATAGTATTATCAAAGTAATGCCATATTTTCATAGCTTCTCTTATTACATAATACATGTGCACCTGCCATGTCCCTTACTGAACATTCTTAAGGTTGACTGGTAGATAATGCCATGTGGTATTAAGTCCGCCTCGTGCAAACTGTAATGCAGGAAGTGTAAAAATAAAATATCACCTCCCTTACAGTCTTAATATATGTGTAAATAGTCATTAATATTTCTAACGTTCAGTCGTTTTCCCATAATTTCTTCTGTTGTGTCTCAGATGTGTAACTTGTAGACGTGTACCATTACATAGTAGGGTGTCCCGAATTTTTTTTATTCTTATTTTAGCTACTTAAGACCTCTCAAAAGTTACGCTGTTAGACGTAGATTAGCGTAAAAATAATTCAAAAAATATTTAAAAATATCCTTAGGGCTCTACCAGCATATTTATTTACTGAAAATTCGCAAAAACAACCTTGTAGTCAATGTCGTATATTCTATGTTTTATGAATCAATCCTGTTTTGTCTTGTAATTTTATCAATAAGAAAAGCCTCGGCTATGATTTGCAAGTATCGACAGGTTGTTTTAGCGATCAATCGGTTTGGATCGGACTTGCAAAACTTGGAAAACTTAACACAATTTGGACCAAAGCTTCAATTCCCATCGTTTCTAACGTACGGGTTACTCAACTGCTAACCGCATATTTTAACAAATATTTATCACTAATAAGATATCCTAAAAGTAAGAGAAACGATAGGTATGACAACAAAGTTAAGTGCTTTTTGGAATCGTCAAATAAGCTTTTTGACATCGCTGCTTGTAAGTGCACTTCGTTTGAAAATTGTTTCTGCACTAAACCCAAGAAAGTTCCCATTTCTGAAAGAGATTTTTTACTGGACCAAAGAAATGATAGGAAAATAGCAATAAGCGGCGTAGACGCAAAAGAAACTGCAAGGCTTTTAAAGAAAAATCAAAGACAAGAAAATTTGAAGCGGACAGAGCAAGCATGTTTTTCGAGTACTTCACAAACCGATACTGTACCGGTACGCGTGTTGCCGCCTCGTTCACAGTCGCTTTCAATAGAACCTTCTACTAAAAGTGACTTAAAGGAGTCTCCATCTAATTCATTTAGTCGGAACACTCTGACGCTGCCAACAGTAGCTAAGGTATGTGATCGATACGGACTATCAACGCGTTCGGCAGCTGCAGTCGCTTCAGTAGTCTTAGTTGACGTAGGAATGGTATCTTCCGAAGATCTAAACCTTGTGATTGATAAAAATAAGATTCACAGAGCTGTTTCAAAGTCACGTACCCAAGCCAGCAAAGACATCGATAAAATTATTATAAAGAGTATCTACTTCGAGGGGCGAAAAGATAAAACTCTCAAGATCAATAAAATAGACAGCCGGTACCACCGAAAAGAAGTCTTAGAAGAACACATTTCAGTTCTTACAGAGCCGGGATCTATTTACTTGGGACATACGACGCCGAGTCGAGGTACTGCGAAAGGGATTGTCACTTCTATTATAGAATTGTTAGAAAATCAAGGATGGAACTTAGAAGAAGTAAGTTGTGTGGGTTGCGATGGCACTGCTACAAATACAGGTTGGAAAGGAGGTGTCATTAAATACCTGGAAGACTATTTGAAGAGACCGTTACAATGGTGTGTTTGTATGCTTCACACAAATGAATTACCGCTTCGCCATTTGTTTATGTCTCTAGATGGTAGCACATCTGGGCCGAAAGAATACTCAGGACCTATTGGAAAACAGCTAAATGTTTGTGAAAGTAAACCACTAGTGTCTTTTTGTGCAGTGGCTGGCAATTTGCTCGAATTACCTGATGACATTGTGAAGGAACTAAGTACGGATCAAAAGTATCTGTATGAAATGTGTCATGTTGTGACGACTGGTTCTTGTTCCCCTGAGTTAGCAAGCCGCCAACCTGGAAAAATGGCGCATTCAAGATGGCTAACTACTGCCAATCGCATACTCAGACTTTATGTAAGTACTATTTCGCCATCAAATAATTTAAAGCTGCTTGTCAATTATGTGGTCAAAGTTTATGCTCCAGTTTGGTTCCTCATTAAGAAAAACTCATCATTCAAAGATGGAGCCTATCATATTTTTCAAATGGTTACATACTCCCGATTTTTGCCTGATAAGCGAAGATCTATTGTGAATTCAGTGATCGAGAGAAACGCTTTTTTTGCTCACCCTGAAAACTTACTTGTTACCATGCTATTCGACGACAGAGAGCATATTCGAGAGCTTGCAGCTCGCAAAATATTAAAGGCAAGAGAAGCAGAAATAAGCAATACTCGCAGGGTATTAAAAGTACCAAAACTTAACTTCGATGCGCGATATTACATCGATTTGATATTTTGGCAAGAGTGTGAGATATCCGCTCCACCGATTTTGCGACAGATGTCCGACGACGAACTGAGAATTAAGGCTAAAGAACAAAGCTTCGATGTTATTGATTTCCCCTGTCATACACAATCAGTGGAAAGATGTGTAAAGCTAGTGACGGAGGCTTCTCTAAGTGTCACGGACGCTACAGCTCGGGATGGTTTAATCAGGAACAGATTAAAATCTCGCGCGGAAATGCCTAATTTTGGCCACAAGAACCAATTTCGTATTTGAAATAAGCACTAATTATAAAGAAGAAAGAAAGAAAGAAAGAAAGAAAATACGTTTATTAGTCACAACACAAACACAGCCAAAAAAGGGATTACAGATATAACATTGATGAGAAAAAGAAAAGAAACAAAGTAAGTATAAGTATTTAAACTTTACTGAACATTACCTTATGTCTTTGTAGTACCTATAAATTTGATTAAAACCTTTAAAACATTATTTTTGTATCATTTATAGTTTATGTTCGAAACCTCTAAAAATGGCAAATTTGAAAAACTTCTAGGATCGGTAGAGGCCTAAAGATGACAAATATTTAATTAAATTTTGTTATATTTGTAATCTATTCACAAAAACGCAACTTTTGATACCCCTTGCGTAGCCGTTGCTTTAAAAAAAATAATCCCATAGGTACATTGACGGGACACCCTATTACATAGCCTTGGCGCGTCTAGAATATATTGAAATCATTTTCTCCAATCATGACACGATAAGCGCTCATTGTGCGCTCAAGTTTCTTACTTGCGTTAATTTCAGTTTCACATGTTGTAATAACTCCGTAATTCTCTGTATTTCTTCTATATTTTTATTTTCTTAGCCGTAAGCTTTTTTGCCGACGTCATCACACAAAAATTTTCATCCCCTATTTTTACCCTCTTTAGGGTAATTTTTTTACAAACTTCGAATGTCGTATTTTATTATATCTAATCAAAAGCCTCAAAATAAGTTTCAAGCTTCAAGCTTGAATAATGACGTAATTTCAATACAAACTTTCATCCCCCATTTCAACCCCATACAACCCTTATTTTTCAAATTAAAAAGTAGCCTATGTCCTTTCTCAGGCTCTAGACTATCCCTGTTCCAAATTTCATTTAAATCGATTCAGTAATTTAGGCGTGATTGAGTAACACACAGACAGACAGAGTTACTTTCGCATTTATAACGTTAAGTAAGGATGTGAGCGTCGACGCGCCAACTGAAGTGTCGGAAAAAATCTTGATACACATTTTTTGGTCTCGCTCCCATCTGCTCAGAGAGTGTAAAGCGCGATAACGAACTTCGTCCTAAAAAAACATCTTTGAAGCGGGTTGTATCTAAACCGTGTCAAAATTTCACTTCAATCGGTGCAGAACTTAGTTTTTAAAGCGTACACGTACACGTATTTATAGATAAACATATCGTCTAACTACTGCTAGTAGCACGGCACGGTATACTGTTCTGTAACACACATATAACTTCGGAAAATTGAGTCTAAAATGATATTCATTTTTCCCAATGGGTATAATTTGGGGAAAATAAATGTTACAGTATAATACCTGATTTTCTTCGGCTGCGTATGCTTAGGAGACTGCTGCAGGTGTCTGCGATACTTAAACACGCTTGGATACTGCTTGTCACACTCGACGCAATACGACAGCTCCTTGCGAGTTTCTCCAGCCATCAGCTCCGGGTGTGTCACTTGGTTGTGGTATTTAAAGGATTTGTGATTTGTGTAATAACGGTTGCATATCTTGCAGAATGCTGGGATGTGGTGGCGCCTGTTGACAATGGTATGAGTCACTAGGTGGTGGTGATGAAGAGCGTAGTACTATATGGTGCAATATTGTTCATTTTCTGGGAAACTTTTAATTGGTCCCTCCCTCTTATCCCGAACTAGGCAGAGATTGTGCTGTGGTAACCAGACTGCTGATAAACTTATAAACATGCTGTCCGTCGAAAATTGGTACAAGGCCAACGATTTGCACTGATATTCTTGTGCAAGGCATATAGGACGGTTAGTACTGAGGCTTTGCCGGTGTTAATCGATCTCGAGGTGCAGAGACGTGCAGTCATGTACTATTGAAGACAACAAAACATGGAATGAGATTTTTTGGACGCACGAGATCGCGATTAAATTACAAGATTGCTTCTACAGCAGTCCGGTGTCTATAATGACCTCATAGACGAATGGCAACAACGCTGGGACGAATCATCCAAGGGGCGCTACCTTTAGTAGTTCTTTCCATCAGTTCGCGAACGGTTGTCGAGGACATGACTTGAGGTGGATCACTGTGTGGTAACTTTAAGAGCAAGCTGTATTCATTTAAATTAGTCGAGTCACCATTGTGTCGCTCAACACCTAACTTTGACTGTGAATAGTCTGCTCATCATATCCTCTGGAAATTATGATGTCTCTATAATGAACGTAATACAATGGTGAATAGCTTGCAGGTGACATCTTCGGCGGTATACTATGGGGATCTTGTGTCAACTAGGGTGAATTTCCGTGCGGTTGGGCGATTCTGCCGTACATATTATAGAAATCAAATACAGCTCACTTAGGACCCATAATATTTTGTGGCCGTGGTGCATCGTTATTTAAAAGGGTATTTTACTTCATTTTGTCTCCCGTTTTGCTAAGGAGAGAAGTGGATTTACTGTATTTCTAACTCCTCCAATTTTCTTCTGTTTAATTTCGTTGCGGGTTCCAAGACAGTTTAATTTTTTCCTGGGACCTCCCGAGTGTCATAACTCCATGTGTTCGTGGGTCACTGCCGTTGATCCTGATGTGCAGGAGTTAGAGTGGTGGGCGTGTGGGAGGGATTAGTCCCATTAAAAAAACTTATAAACATACAAATACATACATATTACAGATCAATTACACCCAGGCACAGAACAACTGATCATGCTGATCACACAATTATTTGTGTTGGGTGGGAATCGAACCCACGACCTCTGGGTTAGCAGTCATGATCCCCCGTCTATTTTTATCTCACATTATCTCATACTCACTTCATGTGCGATATCAAACTCCTCTTTTTCGTGAAGTCATTGTTACAATAATCACACACTATCTTCTCATGCATAGTTTTGTAATGATTTTTGAAGTCCCGTAAACTCCTGAAATAATAATAAATATGTAAAAACCCCAAATACAACACAACACAAAGAAGGAGTGTATTTTTTTTTTTTGTTTATAATTTCTAACATCATCTTCCTTTGCCCATACTTTGGCATACTTTGGTTGGGGTCGGTTTTCAGACTACTACGACACGACTGAACTTCCGACGTGGGGCGATCGGCATCAGACCTCCACAACCCAAGTACTAGGCGATATCCAAGATCTGTAGATAGACTGTGTTGAATGTCATTTTAGAATTTTACACCTTGTCACACTAGCCGCTCTTTGACGTTATGGTTTTTTTTTTCTCTTTCTCTCTGCTCCATTACATCGTAGTGGCTGTATGTTCAAGCAAGTTTCTTTCAAATAAAGTCATTTAGTGCAATTTAGTAGTTGTGATTTGCCTAAACCCAACAGACAACGGAATTTTTAGGGCTCAACTACCTGTACCAGCTACAGAGGTGCGTGTGGTAATCGTGCCCGACGGCTTAGCGTGTTCTCCGAGTCACGGTGGGGTCAGATGTGTCAAAAAAGGTCACCCATCCATAGATCGACCTGGCTAGGATTACTTAACTTTGTAATATGCTAACCTACTCATTTACCAATTAGCCACGAACCCATCAAGTGTAACATATAACAAAAATATAATTATTATTACACAAAAAAATCAGTTTAAATTCGTCATAAGTTTGACTAGTTGTGACTGATAAACCAGACGTGAGATCAATTCCTGCGTATTGAAAATAATTGTGTCTCTGTCAACTATCACACCTAATCGCAACCATATATGGGTTCGCTCGACCGGAGTACTACCAAGGCTTCACAGAAAACCGGTGTGCTATACACAGCAACAACGAATTTACCGGAGGCCAAACCCAAACGGAGACAACGCACTTGTGTCTCTCCAGTCGAATGTGTCCATGTGTCACTCGTCTGCTGCGTTTAAATATATTTTACAATAGGTATTGCCCGCGGTCTCGATCGCACGATTATTGCTATTATCGCTATTACACGTTCTGAGCGGCTGGGAGTGACACCGAAAAATGGGTAACAAGACTTTTTTGCAACACTTCAGTAGGCGCGTCGACGCTCACGTCTTTTTCATATTTTATATACACACGTGTAACAAATAGCCACAGAAACTTCGTTCCGAACGGGGGTCTGTAGTCCCCTCACGCCGTTTTTATTTCGTGTTTCTATCTTTGAAAATGACGAACTTTGACTTATATATATATATATTTTACCCCGTTAGGGGTGAAATTTCCAAAAATACTTTTTTAGTGTGTGTTTACAACATAAAAAGCATCACATCACATCAACAGCCTGTAACAATCCACTGCTGGACATAGGCCGCTCCTTAGAAAAGCATCAGCTGCTAAAATTTCAAGTTTGCAGCCCCAGCGGTTTAGTCTCTGCGTTGATAAATCAGTCAGTCAGGGAAAGTGATTTTATTTTATGTGTGCTGACTAGCTTTTGCATGTGGCTCCGCCCGCGTCTATGTCGGTTATCGGGGTAAAAAGTATACTATGTCCTTCTTCAGAAGAATCAAACTATCTCCATACAAATAAATAAATAAATACCAAATTTCATCTAAATAGGTTCAGTAGTTTAAGCGTGAAGAGGTAACAGACAGACAGACACACTTTCGCATTTATAATATTAGTATGGATTAAAAATACACACCCGTATTCCTGGCTACACGTTCTGCACGTGTAATTCTTGGTATGTGCCAATTTAATATGCTTCTTAACTTCAAAACTGGATTGGTGTACTTCGGAGCAGAGGGTACACTTGTACACCGTAGAGTGGAGATCTGCCCAATGCTGGTCTTGGTGCTCCAGTGATGTCATCTCAGTTGGACAGGCAGCACATTTATATGGGAACTGAAATAAATAAAATTATGTATGTCAACTGCCGTGTTTCAAGATTTTCCATTTAAACATCTAATGTACATATCAGAACAAAAATATATTGCGTGCTCAGTGGTCAAATCAAATAGCGCACGATCCCCCGACTTCCTGTTCCTCTAACACACTTCCGTCCCATCTATATATAATATAAACATACATTGTGTATATACATACAAACATAAATATATTTTCATGTCGGCACATTACGAATCGAAAAAAAAAACAAAAAAAAACTGTGTATATTTTTTTAAATTTTCAAGTTTTGACTTCTGTCGGCACTTCCGGAATGCCACTGTTTTTTTTTAATAGTATTGGTGCACAGATATGTCATTAAACATTGAAAATGACATAACAAATGACATTCAAAATAATAATATAATTGGAAATGTGCGTAACCCACTTTAGCTCGTTCAGGATGTTTTGCGCAGCATGAACACTGTGGCAGCTGCCGCGCTACATTCTACCAAGCCTATCAAGCTATTTGGCTTGCAAGGCAAGCACCGACTTCAATCAGCCTAGAAAGGAATATTGCTATCATAATGTTACCTGTTATATTGAGAGTATTTTTTATAGTTTTTTTACTTACATTTGTAATAATTAAAAAAAATATATATATAATCGGCTTACAAATAAAATAGTTATTTGTTGTTGACTGCACGGATGGCGTAGTGGTTTAAGCGGTCGCCACGCTGCTTACTACTACGCTAAGTGTTGTGGATCCGATCTCCACATGGGGCTACACTTTGTGTGATCCACAAATTGTTGTTCTGAGTCTAGGTCTTCTTTGTGTCATGAATGTTTGTAAAGTCCCCCGAGACACAGGAATATATTCCTAATGCGGGAGTTGTTTTTTCAAAAGAAAAAGAAAAGAAAGTTATGAGGTAACAAACATGAAAACATTTTTTTTGTCTAAATGTGTTGTTATCTCATATTCGTATATTACTCTCTTGTGCAAATATCTCTGTAATCCAATACAAACACCTAACAAATATCTTGAAGAAAAAAACAAGATCAATAGATGATTAGATTTTTGAAACAGTTATTTTCTAACTTCTAAAGGTCAAGGACCCATCAGCTCAGCAACATGACATAACGACTACTAAACGTAAATACCAATAAAGCTAGAGAAATAAGCTGTTGTCGGAGCTGTAAAATTTGAGAGTTTCCCTCGATTTTACTAGGATCCCCTGATCAGATCCTGATTTAGTTATAATGGGACTTCTTCGGGAGCATACCCTTTCGATTACAAAAAGAATTTTGAAAATCGGTAAACTATTGACGGAGATTCGAGTAACAAACATACAAAAAAAAAAGACGTGTGGCACTCGGGGACTGCCGCGGTAAAGCTAATGCATAGCATTTTTTATCAACTTATGCAATTATAGTTATTTATTTATGCAGTATTTTTTTTCTTTTATATTAATTCAAGTTACACTTTTTGAGCGTGGTGACCGATAAGAAAACATTTTTTTTTCTTTTATTAAATAAATGAGAAGTTAATATTGTTCAAAATATTTTTATTATCTTACAATACATGTAGGTTATTCAGGAATATTTATCATTGAAACTATAGGTTTATGGTAACTGAAATAAGAAACATAAGTTTGAGACTTGATATCTTCTAAATATCTGGAAAATACCGCGTCACAACCAATGCCACCTAGAGGCGAGTTGCTGAACTAAAGAGACAAGCGTGATATTTCAAAAAAGTTATTAAAAGTTCTGCTATTCATCGATAGATGGCAAAACTAAAAAGTATCACCGCTGTGCCGGTCGGAGTGGCGGGTGTTAGGTTATTTTCGTTACGGAATTTCTGGATTCGGTCTCCACACTCAAGGCCCGCGATAGAAGCTATGCAATAGCTTAAAAACAGACGAATTGATGATTTTGTGTTTTTGAAGTCCGTTAAATACACCTTCAATTATTTGATTACCATGTCAAAGGTATAGTAAGCCAACCTTAAAAGATAGATATATGCTGTCGCGTACTTTTTTTTAGAACTTTTAAAAGGGAAACAATTCGTCGTACATGATTTTTGCGAAACTTTCACCGTGTAAGCACACACAACGGAAACTAAAAAGGAATTATTTAAAGCGAGGGTATATACCCTTTAGCCTTCCTTAATAAATGGGCTAACTAACACTAAAAGATTTTTTTAAATCGGAACAGTAGTTCCTAAGATTGGGAGATGCAATGGGAGAGGCCTATGTCCAGCAGTGGACTGCGATAGGCTGATGATGATGATGATGATGATGAGTTCCTAAGATTAGCGCATTCAACCAAACAAACCAATTCTTCAACTTTATAATATTAGTTTAGATGCTAGTATTGATTAGTAACATTACCTTATGGCTGTGACAACTACTGTTATGCCTTTGTAAATCCATTCGTTTAAAGTATCCCATTCTGCAGTCCTCACACTTAAAAGGCATCCTCGAGTAACCATAACGTTCTTTATCTCTTATTAATATCTTCTCATATTCTCTCTTGTCTAAAGAGACCGGCTCAGAAAACTGCATGTAATTCGTCTTTGTTACATCCGTTCTCTTTGTAACTTCCGCAAATGTATTGTATTTCTTATTTTTGTATTTCGTATGAGAATTCTTTTTTATATTAGAAGAATTTTCCCCAGATTCTTCTTGTTCAAATTGTAGTACACCCTCGTAATAGTCAGAATCATTATCATTACTGCAGTTGTATTCTTCCTTTATACTATCATTATATTCCGTTTTGATTTCTATACTTGGTAGTAAGTCTTCTGGTGTTAAATCTTTCTTATTTTCTTTATGTTTGCTGATTACATGATTGGGTAAATTATCCTCTTTTTTCTTTTCTTTATTTACTTCAACACCATTGGGTATATCATCTTTATTTTTCTCTTCTTCATAAAACTCAAAATTGTATGTGTTTCTATGAATTCTGTTCAATAACGACAGCGAGTCAGGGTAATGCATCTTTTCCTGAAAATGATTAAGTTATTTTTAAGAAAACATTCTTATAATTAAAACTTTTTATAGAAATAATGAGTATAAAAGGATAGCTTCGAAGAGAATTATTACACCCAGACACAGAAAAAATTACCGTGCTCAAATATTGATGAGCACGGTCATTTGTTCTGTGTCTGGGTGTAATTTATCTATAATATGTATCTATTTAAAAATATATAAATATGTTTATCAGCAGTCTGGTTACCATAGTACAGGCTCTGCCTAGTTTGGGATCAGACGTGTGTGAGATGTGTGAGATATATATACATATATCTCACACATCTCACACACGTGATTACATTTTTGACACACATTAATATAAGGAAATAATGAATAAAGCACAATTAAAAATATAATATTCAGATTGCCGAACCGCTTTACATGTGACATATACTACCACATAGTGTGGCGACACTTTGGAGACGCGTCGCCATGCTAACAACCGGTCTGACCCTCCGCATTACCTGCTTCACATCAAAAAGAAGTCCTTATTACCTTAATATTCTCTTTAGGTTTCATTGATCTTCATCTTTGTTTTACGGTTACAAATTAATCATATTCCCACAAGGAAATTATAAATTAAGAGGTTTCAATGCAATGCCAAAAAGTTTCTAAAAGGTTAGAAATCGGTTTTCTTTTGTTTACCAACTACAAAACACAGAGGAGTTTCTCAATCTAACTGTATTTTTTAATGTTTTTTTACCTCACTCTCCAATTATCGTCCAACTCCATTATTCGTGAACAGATATGGAAAAGACTAGTTAAAAGGGGTTCCGTTCAAATTAAAATCCATCACATTGTAGGCACGTTGAAATTGATAATATTTTGTTAAAACTAAATTTTTGACGAGAATAGTCAATAGAGACCTGGTTTCACAGGTAATTGGTTACCCTTACCAAACTCTGCAGGATAACAACACTGCAAAGAGAAGAAAAACTTGAAACAAATCCTATAACAAGCCGTCTAGCCAGTATGGTATAGTAGGCCAAAACCTCCTTTCTAAGGCGAGGCCTATGTCCGAGGTGGACTACTAAAGGCTGTTAATGAATTGGTTACTGTTACAAAAAACGTGTGCTGATCGCCAGTGATCGGAATTTGGGTGCTGTTTGAGACGATACGACTGTGACTTTGTGTTCCTTACAAGCTAAAATAGTGGTGAAAGTGTTATTCCGTAAAACTTTACACGAAATAAACAAAAAAGAAAATAATAATATAACCCTACGACCAAATAAATTACAACATAAATTCCTGTTTGCCTAAAATTGATATTATTATATTGATACAAACAGGTGACTCTGAGCGGTACAAAGAGGTACGTAGTGATTATGATAAGGTTTTACAGGACCTTTATTGCCTTTATTGATAAGGTCCTACAGGACCTTATCAATAAAGGCTTAAGGAATTCGTGAACAACTCTTGAAATGGATAGAAGATTTCCTAAGCAACAGAAAATTTAAAGTAAGAGTAGGTGAAGTACTATCAGACACTATAACGTACACAGTGGTGTGCCTCAGGGCACAGTGCTTGGACAGATCTTGTTTGTGCTGTTTATAACGGATTTGAAAAATGACATTCACTCAAACTTGTCAGTTTTCACAGATGATACCAAGATGATGGGAAACCCCCTAATTTCTCACAACATAATTCAGCACGACCTGGACCGTATTATGCAGTGGACAATAGAATGGTTGATTTCACTCAATGAGACTAAGTGTACTGTTCTGCATATAGGTAATAATAACCTTAAATACAAGTACACAATTGATTCTGTGCAATTAAAAGTATTAAACTCCCAAAAGGACCTCGGCATTATCATAACACATAACCTTAAGTGGGATGAGCACATCATAATGATAACAAAAAAGGTGTACTCGTTGTTGTTCATGATAAGAAAGGCATTCTATGGTATCATCAAGGAGCGAGTTTCTTAATATCTACTTAAATTGATGATGATACATAAGACCCCAGCTAGAATTCGCCTTATAAATATGGAATCCATATTTAAAAAAAGGACATTCAAATGTTAGAGGGGGGTTCAAAGAAGGGCAACTAAAATGGTTTCCTCTTTAAAAAACATCTCATACGAAGAACACCTCTTGGAACTCAACTTGCCAACACTGGAACAGAGAAGAATAAGCAGAGACCTCATAGAAACCTACAAAATACTCAATCACCCTTACAACATGAGAGATATTGAATGCATGTTCACAATGAACCCGAGCACGCAACTAAGAGGTCACTCTCAACTTAGCAAGCATCTGTGCACTAGCAATCTTAGAAAACATTTTTTGCCTAACACAGTGGTGCATTTGAAGAAATCTTTGCCAGAAACTGAGATAAGTGTTCTGAATATTAACATTTTCAAAAATAGACTCGATAAACATTTAAAATCATGAGTGTAATGGTATACATGCATCAGCTTTAAGCTGCTGGTGTATTAGAAAAATAAAATAATAATATCACTAGTCTGGATATAACTATATAACAGGGATTCCGGTAATTATGGTGATCCTTAAAAACATTCACTATTAATTAGTTTTGTAATAGAGTATAAATTAAAGATTTAAAATACCCCTGACTTATAAATCCTTTCAAAGAAATGAGCTTATGATCTAAGAATGATAGAGATTCTCAAATTATAACTTAATTTACTCTAGATCAAGTAGTTGTTTAAAATAAAAAGTATATTAAATCAAAATCGGTCTGTCTATTTAGAAGCAATGATGGAACAAACAGACACACAGTTAAAGTTAAGCTTAAAGCACCTTTTAGTGTGGGGGGTTTCAAAAATAACATTAGTCATATAAAGTGTTGTGTATACTTGCATTTTTGTAATAACATTGTAGATACTGCATCAGCAGGCACTGTGCTGTTTTAATCCTTGCTTGGAAGACTTTCAACTTTTGCAAAAACGCCACACACTCCCAACATAACAGCAGTTCACACTGCAACAAACTATATGTTAGAAATACCTACTTCTTAGTGTTCAATGGATTCGCCATGCAAGTGCTGGTTCCATCGCATGATAGACAAAGCACATGCAACTTCGAAAGCGCTGGGGAATTGACACCCAGGTATAGGTTTAGGGAGTACTCCTTGCAACGCATCATCACTTACTGTCTGCTGTGTTATACACCATATTTGATATGAGCCCAGCAATGCCGCTTTGGATATTTGTTCAAGAAAAGAGCTTACTGAAGCTCTTGAAGCAGGTTTTAGGAGGACATAGCTGGTATTCTTCTCACACCCACTTCCACGGCATACAACGCAACAAAATAACCATTTTTAGTTATTTTGTTGGTTTGTTTGGTTTTTAAACCATGGTCTTTAGAGATATTTGTTTCTGTAAGTTCTACTAATACTCAATATCACGTAAGATGAGCCACAAGCTCAAAAAGAGTTGGTCACAGTTTAAGACCTATGAGCAATAAACTCAGTGTTATCTAAACATACAAAATTCCTTGCCCTGCCTGACTGATTCATCAACACTTCTTCTTCTTCTTATAATCTAATATTGTTAACTATTTAATTGTTAACCATATTATCAGTACAATGTTCTTATTGTTTAAATTGATTTGTAACTTTAATTTAATTTATTTACTTCTAATTTGTGTAATAATAATTTCTGATTCCAAATGTTATGTTTGACTCTTAATGCAGGCTGTGCCTGTGATCTTCTATAATTAAGGATACACCAGATCAATAATTTATTATTCTCTGTGAATGCTATGTGATATTCTTGTTGAAGATCCTTAAATAAATAAATAAATAAAAACACAGAGCCTAAACCGCTGTGTCTACAAACTTGAAGTTTTGGCATCTGATGCTTGTTGTTCTAAGAAAGGATCTTTGGACATTTAACCCCTAAGGGGGTAACATGAAGGTTCCTAATTTTCAAAGAAACACGAAACAAAAAAATTCAAGCTATCGAAGCCGATGGTAAAAATAGATATGTTCATCAAAATTATTATTTAGAGAAAACATAGTCACTTCAACTATTCGCTTCATATTCATTTAGAAACTATAACTATAAAGTCAGACGCAAGCAATAATTGAAAACATTTTAGTGCGTTTAAATTCTACTTTGTTTTAATATACTTACACGTTGTTTAACGAAATTTGTACCATCTCTAAGTTCATAGAACATTTGTCTTGTTTCCCCATCGATAAGTCGAAGTCTTCGGTCAGCGGTTAAACAACCGTGACACAGAATGCTAATACGCTCACATTCCACTTTTACATCCATTTTGAGTGATAAATTCAATATTATTTGTTTTGATACATTAAAAATATTATTTTATTAAATATATGTAAAGTTTGACGTTTATCAAAAGTGCTACCAGCTTTGAATTTAATTTGCCACTTCATACTCACCTCATTAGAGGTATTATTATTTTTTTATTTAAAACAGATTATTTTACATGTAAACTGGATTCTATTGCAAATTTAAACTTAACTATTCGAAACAATTCGGTATTTCATTCGTCAATTTATTTTAGTTTGTTTATATTCAGTCAGAATATAAACGTAACGTGACTTTTAATAATAATCCTTAATATATAATTAAATAATTAAATAGTTGTTTTATTTTAATTTAATTATTTATTTTTAAAGTGAATATATTATAACTAAATATTCTGGGAATATTTCAAACATCTAGCTATTGCCGTTATCAAATTCGAGCCAAAACGATTTAAAAAGTTACGTTTATTGTTTGGGAGCCCCCTTAAGTATTTATTTTATTATGTTTTTAGTATTTGTTGTTATAGCGGCAACAGAAATACATCATCAGTGAAAATTTCAACTGTCTTTCTATCACGGTTCATATACGATACAAACAGACAGACGGACGGGAGTCTTAGTAATAGGGTCCCGTCTTACCCTTTGAGTGCGGAACCCTAAAAAGAACAAAATGCATATAAAAATATAAAAAAGAGGTTAGGATGCCAGAGACAGAATTATTTTTACTATTATTTATCTTCATAAGCGAAAGTTAAGACTCACATAGTTACTTATACAAGTAAGAGAAAAAGAGGTATAACGTAACGTCCAGACAAACCTGTTAAGGTTTTGTGACGTTTTACAGCTAACATCGTAATGTATTCTTTGTGTCAATAAATGGAAAAAAAAAGTATATAACATGGTAACATACCTACATACTCACTAATCTCTATAATAGGAAATCACTCACGAATTATATTTTTTTTTTAAATTTGTAACAAAGTGGGCTTTACACATAAATATATACACAAGAATAAACAAACAAGATATCTGTAGAATAGATCACAATAATTGTGATGATATTTTAAGAAAAGATAAATATTATGTAATTCTTAAAATGTTTGTGTGGGCATGACATTAAACAGTAGTTGGCAACACTGGGTAACTAAACATACATACATCATGACTGACATTCACATCATTTATGAGTACTATTGACATCCTTCTAAGAATTGGTCGCTCACATTTATAATTACGAAATGGAATCGTATTATTTGGTCTCTAATCATACAGAGGATGAATTCATCCAAAATGGTACTCGACTCGACAAAATATGCATATGTTGTTCATCACAAAATGGTTATTTCATAAATATTAGCACATGTAAACATACAACATTTCTGAGGAATATCGATAAAATTAAGGTAAATAGATGTCATAGTATATTACTTTTGGTTGTTAAAGTCATAATTCTTCAGATTTAAATGTTTTTTAATAGTGTTTTCATACATGTTAATATTTAGTGACTAGCTATAGACATGACTTTTTGCATTGGCGTCGTGCAAGATGGCGGTGTAGATATATTTTTTAAACTTTATTACATTTTGTTGTTTTAATAGTTTCACCGAATTTGTATTCTTTAATAATGCACTTTATGGTTTCGTAAAGTAAAACAAAACGGAATCCCTAATATTTATAATGTAAGATCAATTTGCTATTTCGTGCGTAAACCCCTGACCCCTAGGTTCCATAGTCACAATAAATCCGGAAAAGTGTGAGTCGGACTCCCCCACCGAGGGTTCCGTACATATTTGTAGGAACATATTATAAATAGTTCAGGATTTTTTCAGAGTCGCAGTTTTTCAGAGCTTTTCCCTAAATTCAATTTCCAATACCTATAATTACTGATATTATTGTGTTTTATAATTGAAATTGTACTTAGATTATTGATTATGTACTTGGAATAAAGACTATCTTTCTTACGATTTAATTACAAATGAATAGTTTCAGATTTTTCCTTGTACTTGTAGTATAAGACGATGTTACTTGCCAAATTTCATAGTTCCATGTCAACGGCAAGTACCATATAAATTTTGATTCCCTCGAGAGTGTCGAAATACGCGTGTTTTGCGGCACAAACGGCCGCATTTCTTTTTTCGTCAACTTAGGACTTTCATTATTTCACAGCTTCAAGGGACTGTAGTCCTTAGTATATGGTTTTAATTTCCAATCAATCTCTCCACGCTTTCCTGCGATAAAGGGTCTTGATAGACAGATAGACGGACGGACAACAAAGTGATCCTATAAGGGTTCTGTTTTTTCCTTTTGAGGTACGGAACCCTAAAAAACATTTTTTTTATTTGTCACGTCGACTTAAAAGTTAATTTTATCACTTATAACCATTAAAGACTAGAAATTCTCGACTCTCTTAGACGAAAATAAATCACGATCATTTGTTGTGTCTGGGTGTAATTTATCTACTAGCTTTTGCCCGCGGCTCCGCCCGTGTGTATGTCTCTTGTCACGGTAAAAAGTAGCCTATTGTACTAGCTGATAATGTAGTTGTCCTATGGTAAAAGAATTTTTAAAATCGGTTTAGTGGTTTAGGCGGCACAGCGTAACAAAGAAACAAACTTACGTTCACATTTATTACATATATATGGAAGTATACACACACATATCCATCATAACTGTGTATTGAGTTATCGTCCGTGTGGTGATGGATTAAGTATACGGAGTGACACCCCTATTCATGCCGTGGCCGCGTGGGTGTAAGAGCTGACCAAGGGGGCATACCACTGGCACTACTAAGAGAAGGAAAACTTGAAACAAACCCTATACCAACCCGTCAGGGCATCCTTTCTAAGGAGAGGCCTATGTCAAACAGTGGGCTATTAAAGGATGATGATGATGACAAAGAATTTTCTTCACGTATTAATAAATAGAGGAACCTTTAGCTGACCAGTATGTTATCTCATATTTTTCAGTTTAAACTTCAAGATGCGTACGTGTGTTTTTTATGTCATACAATGCTTAAGAAAATTGAGGTATTCCAACAGCAGATCGAAGAAACCAACACCATTCTTACGGATCGGGTAAGTTTCTTAAACTGTTTAATTGATTAAAGACTATTGATTAATAGTACGTAATCTTCATTCTTCACACCATCAGGTCTGCTCGTTTCACCCGCATATACCTAACATATAAAAAGACAGTTTAGATGTTAATGTTTTCTATTTTAGGCTTACAACATGCAAATAAATAAGATCCTCAAGTTACATCGCTCTGCCATCAACATCACTGACTCCACGCAACTAAGTCAATTGGCTGAGGTAGACGACTTCGAAGTAAAACCAGAAGTATACGACATCGAAGTCATCGAAGAAGACACAGACTTGCACACGGAGATCAAAGTTGAACGAGACTCTTCTGACTCTGAGCAGAAGATACGTTCACCTACTAAGAAGAAGAAAAAAACAAAGACGGGTAGTACGAGTAAGTACGAAGGGAAGATTAGAGCTGTGTTGTTGACTTTAGAGGAGTTGAGTGAGGAAAGGCAGTCAATGGCTACTCAAGAAAAGTATATGAAATTGCCGTATAAATGTGAGGACTGTATAGTTGGGTTCGATCATGAACTTACTTGGAAAGCTCACTTGGAACAACGGCATAAGATGGTGAGTATCATTTTAAAATAAAGTGTTCGAACTGTGCGTAAATACACTCATATTATATATGTATTAGGCTGTGTGGATATTAATCTATACCTGCCCAAAAAAAAGAAAAATGGTCAATCTGAAATATCTTTTATTTACTTTACGTTACGTATGCGTTTTTTTTCTAGTAGACTGCGACAGACCAATAACTTTTAACAGAACAAAGTTTGTTGAAGCAGCTACGAGTCGGATACCATAGAACGAATAAGTAATTCGACCTTCAAACCTTTATGAACGCGTGTAGTCTCACTTCAAAGGTCTGGCACGCACTTGTCACTCTTGAGTTGCACGTGAAGAATTTCACCCCACCCTCATCACCCCTCCAAATCTGGCGCTGGAAGGCACTTCTGTTGTAAGTGATTCTAATGTCTACCTTTACAAGCCCGCTGGTTTAAGGCTCTCATGATAATTATCAAATATACAGCACATGACATTTTTGTTTTTGTCTCTTACGACTCTCCGGAACGGCTGTACAGAAATCCACAAGACTTTCACTAGGAGATTACTTACATTACAAGGAGTAATGTAGACTATTTTTATAAAAGTAAAATGAGAATTTCGCCCAAAAATATAAAGAGTACGTGATCACTTTCATGTAATTCAGACGAATCTAGAAACACCTCGAATGCCAAAATCCATCATGCAGTTTAAGCTACAGAGCGTGCCCAGAAAAATACACACATAAAAAAAAAACATATTGCCCTTCTGCACATTCGGGTAAATAGTACTATTGCCAAGGGGTTGCCACCCCCGGGCACAGCGTTGCTGCAGCGGTAAGACCTATTATGGAGGGTTGGCTTGACACGGGACCCTCATACCGGCTGACGCAGGTGATCACCGGGAAAGGATGCTTCGGAGATCACCTGTGTCTAATCTGCAAAGAGCCAACGCCTGAGGCTGAGTGCCACCACTGCGAAGGTTTAGAACACTTCCGTCACGCCAGGCCCGGGAACGGGCATAGTACCGCAGACGACTCAGGCGCCGAAGGTCACTGAGCGACCTAGCAGAAGCGCGCATGGCCTTTCGGGGACCACAAAGTGGGTTGCCACCTGCCACCTTGATGCTGAAAGCTACTATAATCAAATTGAAGGATGTTTTTTATTTCAGCATAAAGGCAGCTTTCGTTGTGACATATGTAAATCTGTGTTGAACTCCAAAAGTTCTTATAATGAACACACGAAGAGGCACATTCGAAGGTAAAAAACAATTGAATTTTTTTCAACCGAAGTCAAAAGGAGATGATTTTGAATTCGATTGAATATATTGTTTTATGTATGTTAAGCGATATCTTCGTCAATTATTATCGTCATCCACAGCCTTTAATAGTCCACTGCTGGACATAGGCCTCTTCTTAGAAAGGAGGTTTTGGCCTAGCATACCACCCTGGCCTGATGGGATAGATGGGGTTTGTTTTAAGTTAACCTTCTCTTTGCAGTGCTGTTGTCCTGCACAGTTTGCTCCTTTCGTCGGCTCTTACGACACCCACGAGATGAATAAAGGTGGCGACACTCCGTATTGTTAATCCGTCACCACACGGACCAAAGGTCAATTATTAACTTAATTTGAAAGTTAGTTTTTCAGTTGAGTTGGTTCAACTTAAGGTAGATCTCATTTAAAAAAAAAATCCTCCAAGGGTTAAAAATAGGGGATTAATGCAGCTTTTTAAAATGTCATGCCTCTTTTTTGTGCGGGGTGCGACTATAATCACATGGTATGCGATACTGCGCCTATAATAGGATTGATCAGGGACAGCTTTTGTTAAGTCATTCGGCATCCTGAAAACGCGTCTAGGACAGAGACAGTAAGAAGACATTATTTCCAGGTTAGAATGTATGGCTTGTGGTAAGCGATACAACCACATACAGTCGGCCATCCAGCACTACGATGAGAAACACATGCCGGCGGGCTCGTCGCTGCAGCGTGCTTTCGAATGTCACTGCGGATTCTCTACCACGTGAGTAGAACAGAATCTATATAAATAAAGATGAATCGCCAAATATGTTGCTAACCGCAACCTATTCGGGTAAATATCTTTTTCATGGTGAGAAAAAATATAAAAATTGTTAGAAAAGTAGTAAGAACAAAACTTTTCTATTCCACACGAACCAAAGAATAAATTAAAATACCTATCCGTAGCTGTCAAACATTTATTTGACATCTCGTGAGCCTTCTGTACGTTTGCTCTTTATGCCATAAAAAACCTACCACAACTATAAAACTATAAGAGATCTTCCGGTGGTCTATTACAACCGTTTCTAATCGACTTCAAAAAGACGGAGATTATCAATTCGGATGTCTATCATTTTTTTATGTATGTTCGGGCATAACTCCGATATAAATAGACGGTTTTTCAAAATTATTTTTTTGTTCAAAATGATCTCATTTAAATTTTATATAGATCTGGTAATCAGTTTCGGAGACAGACAACGGAACCACGGTACTATTATAATACAGTACTCCAACTTCATACAAACGGACGAAACGCGAGCTATACCTACGCGCCTCGATCTCGGGGTGCGCTCGGGGCGCAGACAATCACGGCTGTACCGCAGTGTCGAACGGACGGTGTGTTGTTTTTTTAACAATAACCGCGCGATTTTTTCTCTAAAAATCAGTTAATATGACGAGTAGGAAATATTGTGCTGTTTTTGGTTGTATGAATTCGTCAATAACGCATCCAGACATAAGTTTTTTTAAATTACCTGGAAACTCTGAATGGTAAGACTATAATAATTTTACTTTACTTAATAATAATTAATAAAATAATAATTTTACTTATTAGTAGGTAGGTACATAATATGTGTCTTTTTAATGGATAAGTATTTCTCACGAAAAAAAAGATGTTTGGATTAATAAATAAAGCGAATAGAGTAACGGAAAGTTATTGAGACGAGTGAAATAGGTAGTTATATGCGGTTCTGAATGAATCATGATACGGTAGGTACCTACTTCCGCTTATGTTAAAACTTCGGTGCATGTGTGTTTTGTTACTTTGCATAATTCAAAGTAAAAACGTGGTATTTTATTATTAATAATATTTGTTTGTTATCTGTGTGTATGAATAATACTAGAAAATTTTTTTTACCGTCTGTGTGTCATTAGATAGTTTTCGAAATTTTCACAAAGTGTTTCTGCTGCTACTATAACAACATATACCACTAAAAACTGGTTTTATTTTCTCGGTATTAACAACAACAGCTAGACTCATATAATATTTAGATGTTTGATGGTTGTGATTTTAAAACATTCGTAGTCAGCTGTTCAGCTTTTTAATAATTAATTAATTGGTGACCAAAGAATTTTAGTTTTGAGTTGTTGCGAGTTGTAGGTAGGTACCTAATTTATGGAGACGTTAATAAGCTGAGATAAAAAGTTACTTACTCGTCAGCTGTTTCTTGCATTCTATTTGAGTAGGCAGGTGTTGGAGTTTCTAAAGATTGGAGTTTTGTAACGCGTATGGAGAAAGCACATTTTTTTTTATTCTATAGAAGGATTTTTAAACTATTGCATAGCTTTTATCGCGGGCTCTGAGCGCGGCGCGGCGCGGTGACCAAATCAAGAAATTCTCAAAACCTAACGGAACATACCTGACACCACGCAGATTTTTTCTTTAAAAAAAAAATGTTATGCAACAGCTTTACCGCGGCAGTCTCTGAGAGTGCCACATGTATTTTTTTTTTCAGACGTCTTCAATGGTTGCAACTGATCCGGCAAGATGATTTGGAAAACAAACCTTACTATAGTTCCTACCAAGTTTGTGAAAAACATTTTAATTTTTGGAGGAGGATTGGATTGGAGGATGTATTACATTCAAAACTTTAAAAAGAATGCCCTACCATTGTTGATGCTGCCAAGCTTAGCTAGTACTGATCCAGGAGTCTCTCTAAAAGAAGATGGTCCAAACTGCTCCGTTGGTAGGAAATGAAAATAGTACACAGACTGAAAATGCAACAAATGAAATCTTTGCTCAAACCTTAACGAGTCTCTCTAGCAACACTCCAAGAAAAAGAAAATTGAAACTTGAACTCCTCCAATGCAGAAAGAAAATAAAATAATTAAATCTACCAATCAAAAAACAACACGCATTTTTATTGAACACTTCCTATTCAATATACAAAGTATTTCATTTATTTATATAAAAAGGATATTTACAATCACAAATCTAAATAGAAACAGAAAGTAGGCAAATATAATTAAAATGCTGGAGACGGGCAGCCCTAACGCATGTTTACGTACCGCGCGGCTGTAGGCATTTATTTCTATCATGCGGCCGAGTTACACTACTGTATTATAATTGTACCGTGACGGAACTCTTCAAAAAATGACAGCAAATCAACAGCGATTGCTGCTACGTTTTTAGTGATCTTTGTTAGTATTGTTTGAACTCAGTTCAACTTTTTTAAGAAGGATTTTTTGTTAAATAAACTTACCCATATATCTCTCAATACACATCCATACTTAAAATATTTCTACAATTATATTTTAAGGTATCTTGTGAATGCTTTATTCTATTTCTTGACAAGTATAACTTGTCCTTTCATTGTTTTGGCTCAATCACATTTGGGCTCTGACAGGACAAAATCGACCCCTAGAGGTAACTATTATGTAGAAGTGACCTCCTTTCTAAGGAGAGGCATATGTCCAGCAGTGTATATTATAGGCTGTTGATGATGATGATAATGATGGCATTATTGGAGATATTATTAGTGCGTGTTTGATTAAAATGAGGTACAAAGAATATTATAAAATATTAAGGAGCTTAAAAAAATAATTAACGTTATTTTCAATTAGCATTAACGTTATTTTTTATTTTAATACTTTATGCACAAGTATGGGTTCTACAATAGCGGACTTAATGCCATAGGCATTTTCTCCCAGTCTACGTTAGGGTGGTGCTTAAAAGTGTGACTAGGTGCACTAGAGTTTAATATGTAAAGTAAGAGAATTTTTTTGAGAAGTTAGACAGAAACAATGAGATAAATACATACATACGTACCAAATACATACACATACATAAATACTTACCTAGTTACATACATACATAAACCTACATAGAGAGATGATTTTGAAAAATAAATAAAACTTTAAGGTTGTAATGAATCTGCTAGGGTGTCCAGAATGCGAACTCGAACTTTCATCTTTAATGAGAGGCGGCTGGGTGCTGTCCTGATTCCCAGACGGAGAGCGTAATAGAGGAGCACGGATTAGATTAGGAACGAGGAGTGGACACGAGCGGAAGTATGAGTGGGGCATAGCACGAGGATTGTTTGATGAACGGATGGTTACAACGTGGTTGGAACACAGATATTGAAATGAAGATGACAGGTAGGACGGGGAAATGGGCGAGTTGATTGATGCAGATATTCAGAAGGCGATCATATTTATTAGGTAGATCTGCATTTAGGTCATAATAGCATACATCACCATAATCTAAGATGGGGCTAATAAGGGTCTGTACAAGCGTCGCTTTCGTCTCGGAGAGGATTAAATACTTAAGCCGATAAAGGGCCCGTAGCGTACCTTTGAATCTCTGGCTGACGTTCGTGACCTGGGTTTGCCAACTGAGCTTGGAGTTGATAATTAGGCCTAGTTTTATTAGTTGAGGTACTATTTATGGCAAAGCGTAGTTGTAGTACAATTTATGACAAAGCTTATATGTAACAGCAATAACCGGTTACCATAACTGACAAGTAACGAAACGAATTTAACTTTTAACCGACTTCAAAAATAAAGAAGCTTCTGAATTCAGTTGTGTTGTTTGTTACTTTAGACCTCCGTCATTTATGAACCAATTTGTAAAATACACTTTTTTATTTGGGATGGTATACTATCCGTTTGATCCGTTCGATTGACGGAAAATTAATTAATAAAGAATACCGTTTACTATAATTTATCATCAATTAGGTGTATCTAAGTCGGTTTTACTCTTTTAAAGTTGTTTTTGTTTTGCAGTGTAAACCGTACATTCCGTTATCACCAGGACAAGCACAAAAAGAAGCAGCAGTGCACAATCTGCGGCAACACTTTTGTGAACACAAATACCCTTAAAATTCACATGTTGTAAGTATTGTTTGGAGACGAAATTGTTTCACAGAATGTGATACACTTAATTTCAGACTGACTTAAAAAAAGAGGAGGTTTTCCATTCGGTTCGTTCTTTATTTAAGACTCTACCTCACTAGTACCTCACACATTCGTCGATCGAATTGATTTTAAAAATTACTTTTATTTGGAAGCGTCTTACTATGTTCCGTGTCATTCAGATTTGAAGAAAAATGAGGGCGAGTTTATTACAATTACTCATTAAGGCGCATTTACATCGGTGATAATTTTTTTAAAGGTTTATCTTCTAAGGTATATTAAGGTAAGGACCTTTCAACGTGGTCCAACGCCTCGTCCATTATCCATCCACCCCATTGAATAACTATTGATTTCTACTTTTAACCACATCAAAAAGACCACATCAATTTGACTGAAAATATTTTGTGTATGTTATTTTCAAGGTTTTTTAAACTTGTGAAATATTTTTTATCGAAGTGTCAGTACTCTATTTGAACAATATATTAAATTCCTTAGAAAGGAAAATTAGGAGTGAATAATACATCTTGTTAATATATTATGATTTAATCGCATTGCAGTCAGTGATACTTTTTCAAAATTTAATTATTAAATAAAAAACCCTAGACATCGGGTAAACCTTTTCTATTGCTATCATTCCTGATTATATATCCTCATCAGCACAGTGCACCAGCAGTCGTCTCGCGTGTACCGGTGCGACGCGTGCGACAAGACGTACCGCGCCAAGTCGGGCCTGACGTCGCACCTGCGCTCGGCGCACGCGGACGCGCCGCGCGCCTACTGCGCGCCGTGCCGCACGCACTACACGTCTTTCTACGCGCTGCAGGCGCACCTCAACACGCACTCGCGGCACATCACTGACACTGACAAAAAGTACATAATTCTCTATCTGAATATATCAAAATGTTGATTAAGTGTGTGTATGAACCTCAAAAACTTCTGCACCGATTGAGGTCAAACTTTGACACGATATAAAAAACACATCAACGATTTATATACTTTTTGAAGTGATAACTTCTTATGGGAGGGTAAACCGCTTCGTTACGTAACGCGTTACGGCGCTTTTCGATTACCTCCTCTACTTCCTTTTCTCCAAGGCGTACGGCATCTATAAGCAATTTCAATATTAAATAGTTCAACTTCGATTAGTTAGCTAGTCGTCCCGAGACGCATACGTTTTTTTGTGTCAGTTGTGGTCCTCATTTTTTATCAATGCAACCACATTGCGCCACAGTGAAGTGTGGCATCGAACAGCTATAACTGTGGGAAAGCCATAGGCTCTAGACTCTAGAGCATATAGGCTTGCTCGATCGGAGCGATACGACGACCTCACCGAAAACTGTCGTTAAGTAATTCTTTCGTTGCTTTTCGCCGAGTGAGTGAGGTAAGTGGGGGGAACTCAAAGGGTGGAAAGTTACCTAAAACATCTGTTTGTTTAACCTCCTATACCTACCATAAAAAACTGATAAAGAATACACTTAAGAAAAGTTGAATTTAATAAAAAATTAAGTCACATTGCACACACGGCCGTCTGATCCCAAGCGAGGCAGAGCCTGTAGGTAACCAGACTGCTGATAAACATACTTACATATTTCTAAATAAGTACATTCATGTTATAGATAAATTACACACAGATACAGAACAAACGATCGTGCTCATCCCACAAATATTTGTGTGATGAGCACGATCGGTGGGAATCGAACTCACGACCACTAGTCAGGGTAAGTTACCCTGGGTAAATAACCACTAGACCAACAGACCCGTCACATTTTAATGTAGAAAGTGAAAAGTGTAAAGATTACCCAATATCTAACGTAAATTATTATTATATTTGTAACAAATTTTAAATATGTATGTATATTTGAAATATTCTTTATAATACATATAATTACAGATTCACGTGTGACGAATGCGGAGCCAAATTCGTGAAGAAATGTAGTTTGCAAGTTCACATCAACTGGGAACATCTCAAGTTGAACACGCATCGATGTCCCACGTGTTCCAAGGTGAGATTACATCGTTTGTAATTCTTTGATCTACATTTAAATCAAGGGTCTAAGATTGTCGTCGTCAGAATTTACTGTTCTCTTGTCATGAGCTAGATTCGTGACCAATTTATCAAGTGATTACTGTGAGTGGGAATACCGGAAAAGCGAACGTTAAAGAGCATTTTTTTAAATTGCGGATTATTTTGTGCTTGTTGTGGTTTCAAGAACATGCTTTAGTTTTTTTTTTAATTTGCTTTTAATAAGTGTTCTACATTTGCAGGTATTTAAAAGTGCGTCGGCTGTGCGTCGCCACGTGAGCTACGTTCACAACAAAGAGCGGCTGCCTCGCAACAAGATATGTCATTACTGCGGACGTGGCTTCACTGTATGTATCTAAAATCTAATAATTATAATTATACACTTCTTAATTTTGAGCAGTAATGATAGAAAAGGGATATTGCTTATCCAGATGAATTGGGGAGTGTGAGCGAAAGATCGAAGAAATCAGATCATCTGTAGCTCGAACTGGCTATTGCCAAGTAGACTGGGCTCTCTAACTAATCAACATCATGATTAACAGCCTATACCAGTCCGCTGCTGGACATAGGCCTCTCCTCAGAAAGGAGGTTCTGGCCAAGCCGGCCAGACGGGTAGGTATAGGGTTATCCTGCGTAGTTTGCTCCATTAGTCGGCTCCTACAACAACCACGTGATGAATAAGGGTGGTGACAACCCGTATTCTTAAACCGTCACCAGACGCAAACTAATACCATAACTAATATGCCACTAAAAAACTTTGTATAAAAGTTATATTTTACGTTAAAAGAACGTTGTAAAAATAACGTTATATATAATATAACGTTATTTATATTACTTTTTTTTTGCGCGAATTATTAATTATTTACTTGATTTTTATTAATATAATAAGTTTAGTGCCCTTGTCCGCTTCAGGGCAGAATCACTTTAAGACGGATTTAGACAGAAGTACAATCGTGTAATCGTGTTGAAATTGTCTTTACGTAGTTTTCCTTAATATGTCAACGCATACAGATAAAAACATTTGCAAGCAATTATCGCCCTCAAAGGTATTTCGCTTAAACGTGTCTTTTGGCGTTTATAAATGATCACGAATAATTAAAAAGAAATTAAATATTGCGGATGTTTATAAAGTCGAAAGTTGCTTGCATCTTTCTTTTATCATTTATATGTGATAAGTGTTTAAAAAAATAGCTGCAAGCGTAATTTAGACGCCAAAAATTATGCTATAAGATAAATTTCATTAAGTGCGAAAATTTAAACAATAAAATAATTGCAAGGTGTTTTTTTTAACTCCGACCGTTAATATTGTTGACAATCGTATGTTCCTGAAACTAGACCTTGTGTTATTTATTTGTCTCTACTTGTGTGTAATTCTTTTTATAGATGTTCATTTGTTTTTACCGATCATAATTTTTCTACATTAAGTATAAGGATTTTGGCGGGCTCCCTTCAGAGGCTGTTGCCTAATCTAGGGGGTCCTCGGGAGGAAGTTCGCCGCCTCTACTGTGCGGTGATACGATCCATGGCCCTCTACGGACTGCCGATATGGGCTAAGCGCCTATCAGTCTCCTCCCGCTGCCGAGCTAAGCTCAACCCAGTCGGTGCCGTTCTGCCTAACCTCGAAGCTTCGGTAGGTAGGGAGGGAGGTCGTGTCACCTACTGACTGACGCAGGTACTCACTGCTCACTGGGCATGGTTGCTTCGGTGAGTACCTGAATCGGATTAGACGCTAGGAGACGGCACAAGGACTCCGCCCAGCTTACGCTGGAAGACTGCCCCGCGTGGGCGTCTGAAAGCGAGGTCCTAGTCGACCAAATCGGACCAGACATGTCCCCGCCAGCAATCATTGCTGCCACGCTGGCGGGTGAGGAAAGCTGGGGCACAGTGGTCTCTTTGTGTGAAGCTGTAATGCTCCAGAAAGCGACCGCTGGACGGAATCGGGAGAGGGCCGATCCCGATCATAGAGGACGTCGGCGGCGTTAGTAGCCGTCGACGGGGCCGCAGGCTACCATAGCGTGGTCCCTCCCAGAGGTCCCTCTGGTGGCAGATTCATTGCTGCGGTAGGCGATAAGATGAAACAAATGAAATAATAACAATAATATTTAATAACACCAAATTAAGTACAAATTTTCTAATACAACATAATTTTCTTAGGTTAGTTAGGTACACAGTATTTTTTTCTTTTCTTCTTTTTATCTTTTTTACCTTGTACATACATAGTATTTCACCTTATTGATACACTTAGAAAAAAAAGAAACAGAATACACACAAAATCATTGATCAATGACCCCATGCTAGGAACATCCTGTGTTATGGGAGTCATCCATCCGTCTGTAATGTGTTCAGGTGTGCTTTAAATGTGATTGTTGTTTATATATATTTATTTTTAAAGATACATACAAGAGAAGGAAGTAAGAAAATAAAATAAAAAGACAATATATATACATATAGCAATGTCTGTGTTAGGGTGGGTAAGTTCGTGAGGTTGGATGTGTGGTAGGTAGTGCAAGTGTGTGTATTATTGTGAACCTATAATAACGTTAGGGAATAACATATACCTTGCATAATATTTGACTGTGGGTAAATATTGATTGGAATAAGTGTAGATATATTTAATCAGATCCTCTGTTTCATCATAATTTAGGGTTAGGAGGTACTGTTTGATTCGGTCTTTGCAGTGGTGTGTGTTTAAAGTGTGTATGTTAAGTTTAGTGTTTAGCTTTTTATATATAAGCGTACTTAGGTATGGGTAATGTCTACGTGCAAATCTTGTATGTGTGTGAAATTTGGGAAATGCCGCCATTGGCCTCCTTCTTCTGAAATTGATATCTCTTAAGAATCGGATATTGTAGCAATCGATTTATTTGACTTCTTCATTATTTTTCAATTTGTCCGAACTGTCAAACGGTGCCTCTTAAATTAGATGAACTATAATTACGATTAACATTAACGTTCTCATTTGATTTTAATTATTATTTATGTTCCTTTCAGACTCAGACCATCTTGCAGTCACACCTCCGCACTCACACGGGCGAGAGACCACTGCAGTGTCAACACTGCCGCGCTACCTTTGCTCACTCCGGAGCCTTATACACACACATTAAACTTAAACATATTAGAAATAATAAATAAATAATTGTAAAACGAAAATAAAATATTTTATTGACGCATTCCGATTGGAATGAACTTCCTTATGGGATGATGTGGCGAGAGGGATTTCCCGACAAAAATCGTAAGTTACAAAAAAGCGTTAGCAGTCACTATCTCCGTCGCTCTGCGTTTACTGCCTGAAGAGCAAGAGAGAGAAAGTATTCCGTCTACTTGCACTGCGCATTTTTTATTTAATAACTTGAGAACAACGCATTGGAGCTCAAAACATCATGAGTATAATTTTTAGAAAATTTGATGAGAATTAAAATTAGACCAGTCTTGTTTCTTTCGTATCATGTTTTTTAGGGTGCTAATGAACTTCCAGTGGAGCCCATTCTTTATTTTATATAGTCAGCCAGTTATTAGCGACTATACTCATCAAATATGATGATGATGATGATGTATTTCTATTGCCGCTATAAGAATAAAAACAGAATAAAATAAATATCCTACTAACAAAGCTAACGAAGTCTCAAATAAATATCCTATCCCCATTTTGCACCATTAGGCCTGGCATTTTTAAAAATCCTTTCTTAGTGCATACCAACGTCACCTAAGGAACATTTGTGCAAAATTTGATGTTTTAAGACCCAGCGGTTTGAGCTGTATGTTGATCGATCAGTCTGTGAGTTAGTCTGTCAGTCTCTTATTTTATAGATATAATAGAAAAATGACATTCTTGAAAAAGTGTGTGTAGGCATATACAGTAGTTGGCAACACTTGGCAAATAAACCGACATCTTGACTGACATTCATGAGTTCATGATGACATAACTATGTTGCCAACCTAGTGGATTTTCCACTAAAACTGGTAGTTTCGACATCCCTTTTAGTGGCGAAATTTTGCTTTTAGTGGTTAGTGGATTTTTTAGTAGTTTAGTCTTAATAGTAAGCTTGTAGAGGATTTAGGCCATAACTTCATCATATGGCTTGCAAATCATAGCGTTACAACAGACAGACAGAATGATCTATTTGATGTTCCTAGAAGGCACAAGAGAAAATTTAAAGTTGATTATATTGGGCCTGGGCAGACTAGCGATATGGTTTAGGGTCCGACTCTATGTTTAATGATTTGAGGAATTAGCGACTTTTGGCATTACTTCCCTAATACTGCCTCATTTCAATGCCGATGTTGAGTTGAGAGACTATAGGTATAAACATAGGAATATAATGAAGTTAAATCTTTTATCTGCTATGTTTGTAGTTGCAAGGAGAATGCTGCAACAAACATAAAAGTCCAATACACGTTGTAAAACAAATCGGTACTGAAGAATCGTATTAATCTGGAACCGACGATGATGGTGTTGACAAAAACGCTTAGTATCAGTAGAAAATTTGAACAAAGGAAACCAGTTATTTAAACCCTTAGTTTTCTATCGTAATAACTGTAAAAAAATTTAGTGGAAAAATTAGTGAAAACTGGAGTAGGGTCGTTTTTTGTTAGTGGTTTTTTGGTGGTTCATTTAACTGTTGGCAACACTGGACATAACTTGAATACTGAGAACTATTGACATATTTGACATCATTGTATGAATTTGGTCTCATACCTACCTACTTTTTAACCGACTTCAAAAAAAGGAGGAGGTTCTCCATCCGACTGTATCTTTTTTTATGTTTGTTACCTCAGAACTTTTGACTAGGTGAACCGATTTTGATGATTCTTTTTTATTTGAAAGCTGGTGCTCCCGTGTGGTCCCGGTTGGTTCAGTTCTGATAATGGCATCCATGAAAAAACTATACAAGTCTTAAATTTGCATTCAGTATGTTCGTGACAAACAGACGAGTAACTCAATATCACGCCAACTGATTTCGATAATTCTTTTTTTATTGGAATGGATGTACTTTAAGGGTACTTTGATGAGAGTTTGGTTAGATTCTGATCATGGGATCCATGACAAAGTAACGGAACTCTTCAATTCTTAGGAGCAAATTAACGATACTCGGCAGAATCTTTTAAAGGCTATCCGGATATTTGAGTAACCTACAGTAACGTCTATAAGGTCAAGTAATAGTAGGCCTATGGCCTCTCCTTAGAGAACAGGTTTTGGCCTACTATACCACGCTGGCCAGACGCGTTGGTATAGGGTTTGTTTCAAGGTTTCCTTCTCTTTGCAGTGTTGTTGTCCTGCGTAGTTTGCACCCTCAGCCGACTCCGAATATGCACTAAAAAGTAAAAAATAAATGCATATTCTTCTACAACTTAATAATCAACTTACTTTTTCTACTCATGAATATGTAGGTACGATCTATGTGTTTACCAGACAAGAAGGTAGGTAGGTACCTACCCACTTCAAATCTAACTCAACATGGTACCTATGAATAACAAACAACGATCAAAATATTTTTTTGAGTTCTAAGTAAAATGAAATGAAAAATTTTAGACTACTTAAAAATTATTACGATAATATAATGTAGTTACAACTATTGTTATTTTTGGAGTCGGAGTCACACATTCATCTGGAGTTAACCATTCATTTTGCATTTCTAGGTTCATTGCGTGCACCTTGCATGTGTCGTTTTCATCTTGTTGTAGAAAGGATTTGGTTTATCTCTTTGTCCGTCTGTCTCTAGCATTTCCCAATCCAACTCTACTGGACTACGTACCCACCATAAATTTCTTGTGGCCTTGTAGCCCTGACCCCGAGTTCTGATGAATTTTTGTCTTTAGTAAGCGATCTAACGATTTCGTCTTGTGATTTTGACAAGATATGCATTTTAGTGAATCTTAGGTGTTTGTAGAGTTCCGAAAGTCTTTTAAATTTCAAAGTTATACGAGTCGAATCCCTAGACAATGTTGAAGGGTCTGCAGATGGTGCTAGCCCGAGGCACGACTTCAATGGCTTAGTGACTTTCACGTCTAGTGTTCTTAAATGGTTCTGGTTTATCTCGTATACAAAAAATAGCCAGTTGAGACGTGATGTTAAATAGTTGTCATAAATTCAACTTTTCTCCAGCTTTTTTACCTTACTTATTGGCTCCTGTCAATGTCTTTTACGAAGTCATCGACTATTAGGTTCATAGATGGGGTACGACCGTTGTAATCTATCTTACTTCCAAGGAATTTAAAGGGCACAGTTTTTGATATTGTGGAAACACTTTCCCCACCAATAGTAATCCCGGGGGTCATATGAGGTATCGAAATTGCATTGGTAAGCGCTATCGGTTAATTGTCACTGGGATCTATTACTTCACTTTTCTTGGGAATGATGACAAAATTTCCCAAGGGCATACCAACCGCCCTTAAACACTTAACCGATAGCTTTAATTTCGGTTTGGCGGGTTACAATCAAATTTGGAACGAGGGCTGCTGGGTTTTGTGTACTTGGTTCATGATGGTCTTTTCATGTGTTGGCACCTCGTACGAATTTTATAGTGTTGGTTTGAAAGTTTCCCCGAATTTGTACTGTTTAATAGTGTACTTTAGGGTTTCGTAAATAAGCTCAGGATTTTTTTCTGGTTTATCCGCATAAACCCGAGATTTCACAAAACCCCAAAGAAAAAAGTCGCACGGCGTTAAACCGCACGATCTTGGTAGACAGCTGACATCAGAATTTCGTGAGATAATATGTTCTGGAAATCGTTGCTGCAATAAGTCGATTGTTTCATGCGTGGTGTGGCAGATGGCGCCGTCCTGCTGAAACCACATATTGTCCAGATCCATGCCGTCTAGTTGAGGCCACAAGAACTCCCTTGTCATATTCCTGTAACGAATGCCCAATCACGCCATCTGACCAAAATCCGCACCAGACAGTTGCTCCTTGTGGGCTTCGTGTGGGTTCTGGTCTGCTAGAATACACTGGCCAGACGGGTTGCTATATGGTTTGTTTTAAGTTTTCCTTCTGCTTGCAATGCTGTTGTCCTAAGTAGGTTGATCCCTTAGTCGGCTGTTACGATATCCACGGGTAAATAGGGGTGGTGACACTCCGTATTCTTAATCCATCACCACACGGAAAGCAATACATTTGTATAATAGTTATATTATACGTTAATTATATAACGTTATTCGTTAACGTTATTTTTCACTGGCTAACATCACTAATTACGATTAACATTAACCTGCCCAATAATTTTATTAATGTTCCTTTTAGACTCGGACCATCTTGCAGTCACACCTCCGCACTCACACGAGCGAGAGACCACTGCAGTGTCAACACTGCCACGCTACTTTTGCGCACTCCGGAGCCTTATACACACACAATAAACTTAACCCATCCCCCCCTCCCTCCCGCACTCCTCAATGGGGAAGGTTGTTTAGTGGACCACGGAGCAGGATGAGCAATGTAGTACTTCCTCCATCAAGCGGTCAACAGTGGATGCAGATATATTCTAGTCTTGTTGGAAGTCAATGAGAATAGTCAATAGTCTATTTTTTTTATGGTAAAGGAGATATAATAATAATAATATAATAATAATATATTTTTATTTGCAGAAAATGTGGTAGTCACAGTAGGTGGTTTACAATGTTTAAAGCACAAGACACATTTCGCTATATTTAGATAGCATGCAAATTTTTAAATTGTGCAGGTAAAATTATGAAATAAAATTACATTACAAACATCTGTAAGTACCTACTGTTTCCGAGACAAATAAATAACCTTTAAGAACGCTAGCAAAGCCAATGGCTTAAAATAAGTGTTTAGAATACATTCGCGTTAAGAAAATAGTGAGGCATTGATGTAGCCCCACACTGACCAATCAAGCTCCAAGTTATCTTTCGAAACGGTAATGTTCTGGAACCTATTAGTATTTTCTCAAGGCCAGTGCACCATAGTGCAGTAGAGATGGAAAGGGTTCTTAGAGGGTCTCATGTGAGAGAAAGAGTACCAGGTTTATTGCGCTATGCAAAGAAACCCGGCACTCTATCACCAGATAACACGGTTGCTTCCTCTTGCTCGTTTCACCAGGGATGGAGGGTTTATTCTCCAAGTGGACAACAAACCTTCCATCATTGGAAATTTCATTCCTTTTTTCTGACTGAAATTACTTCTTTAAAGAAGTTGAAGTTCTGGCAAACTTCATAGCATCTCCCTTCCCTATTGGTTTGGTCCCAGTTCTGGTACTAAATAGTCGATAGTCGCTCGTTAGTTGGCCATCTGAAGAAAAAATATTTTGCAAAACAAATTGGGCACTTGAATTTCATATAATGTTGAAGAAGTAAGAGTAAAATAATAATAATTGCTTAATTCAATTTCAATATTGATATTTGCAATAAAAGTAGGTGGTTATTTTTCAATATCCATGTAAAACTTATGCTTGTGTTTAGGAAATCATGTATTGTTAATTGCTTTGTCGCAGATGCTTTGAATAACTGAAATCCAATATCCTTATTCTGTACTAACTATAATTTAGCTACAACCTATATACCTATCCTTGAAATTTTTTAGGTGTCTTTAACCTTAGGTAGCTCGCTAAGTGCTAATCATGACAAAAGGACTAAATTATACTAATTCTGCGAAATGGAGTCATGATACAAGGAACATCAAAACGTATTTGACGTTTCGTTAGGTCTCATCGACTGGCGTTACTATCGTACCTTTCGCGCAAAACATTGTTTTTTTCTTGTTTATTTACATTTTCTGAATTAAGTTTAAGTTGTATACTATTTTAATATCTGTAGTGTCAAAAATGGAAACGGAGGACATTAATTTATGTTGTGGTTGTCTATGTTCAGAACGTAAAATGGTGCAATTAGAGGAGCGTAAAAAAAAGGAATGTTTTATGCAGATTGTTAACGAAATTTCTGTAAGTATATATTAGAAAATTGTAATTAGGCCTCGGTTTAACTACAGTTTTATAATTCAGTAAGATTTTTATCTTATTTTCTTTTTATAAAGCGATTTTCCGTTGTTTTTAACACCCATTTTGAAATCCTTCATCTACTTTCATTTCTATGAGAAACTTAATTAATTAATAAACATCTTTTCTGATGTTTGTTAATTAAAAATTACAAGTAAATTTTATTAAATTTTTAAACTACTATTTGTCCAATTAGCTGATACTAAATACATTGAAAATATTTAACTTATGTAAAACATAATTATGCATTTAAAGTTCAGTTATATTATAATTTCTAAAATAGCTTGATCAATATTAATCTGACTTTTACTGAAAAATAGCTGATGTTATAATGAGGGGTTTGTTAGTATAGTTTAATTTTAGAAGTGGAATTTAGAATCAAATGAAAATAAATATGTTCCAAGCCTTAGACACAGTAAGTGTAAAATACAATTTAGTTTAACTGACTTCAAAAAGGAGGAGGTTATCAATTCGGATGTTTTTTTTAATATACTCTGTCACATAAAGATGGAATTTCAAAATTATGCTTTGTTTGAAAGTAGTTTATTCTGATTTCAAAATTATTCTTTGTTGTAGTTTATTCTGAAATCCCATTTAAATTCTAAATTGATCTGATGATGAGTTTCAGAGACAGACAACGGAACTCTTAAAAAAATGACAGCAAATACTGTGATTGCTGCTAGTTTATTCGCACTCTTTGTTTGTATTGTTTGAAGTTAGTTCCCCATTTTTTTTTTAAAGGGATTTATTAACTCATAAATGATAATCTTGCTGGTATTTCATATGATGTTCATTATATTTTAAGATTGTACAAGATGAGGAGTCCTTCTGGCGGTTACCAATATGGTTGTGCTGGGAGTGCAATGCTCACATCAATAGATACATAACATTTACGAAGCAAGTAAAAAAGGCATATAAATGGTTTAATGAATATTTGAAACAGGTAATTTTAAAATAGTGATAATATAGTGAAACTTGTGATTGTTTTGCTTATCAACTACTCCAGGATCCTACCGCTTAGCCCAGAGGATTTGGGATCAATTCCTACCCAGAAAAAGTAATTGTCTGGTGATGATTTGGTATGTGTCCAGAAAGCCAGTTCTCGTAATAAAAGTTCGGTCAAATTTTAATTCTGATCAACTCTTTATCGTACAAATGCCATAAAAATTATTCTCGTGATAAATTAAAGCTCAGACCAGCAGACCAATTCACCTTCGGGTACAATATTGTATAATCACATTGCAGTTAACGTTGAATGTTTAATACTTTGTGAAATCCTGTACTGCCTACTACTAACACCTAGACTGCTGATAAATATACTTATATATCAAAACTTTACAAATGGGATTTTAGTGACAGTTTATTTTATATTAACCCGATAGTCGACAGCGACCGTTTCGGTGCAATCGAGTTCACTCCGGGCCAATTGTAACGCTAAACGTGGTCATCAATAAACTTACACTAGATGCCCAATTTATAAGACTTGACTTATTTTACTCCACTGGCAGTTATGTAAATGGTCATCTGCCAAATTGCTACCTCACCATCTCCACTGTCTTACTTCCATTTCAGGTTAAACCAAAATCAGCACTAAATGTACAACCATTATCTCAATTAAGCTCTCAAAAGTTGTACAACATAAGTATAGAAATAGCCGAAGATATAGAATGCTGTGTCACAGTATTACCAGTAATAAAAAATGAGAACCAGAGACAACCATCACCGATACCAAGTATTAAAGATGAATATGACAATGCATTTCCTGACACCATCTCTGATGATGAAAAACTAATAGACATATCAAAAAAGATAGCAAAAGTGAAGAAGAAAAAGAGAAAGAGAAAAGAGATTGCAATTTATAAAGAGATAGAGTTGGGAGCAGAGGATTTAGAAGAAGAAAGAAAATTGGCCATGTTGAAAGAGGATTATGTGAATGCTATGTTTAGATGTGAACGGTGTATTTTATCGTTTCCTAATGCAGAAGATTTGAGTGACCATATCAGTAAAAAACATAAATTGGTAAGTACTTGCTGAAACAATATATATTTTGTCGTATAAGTGATATTTAATTACACCATTTTCTTTTTTCTCCCTCTATCTGCACCCTGCATAAGTGCAGCGTGTCTGGTTGCCAAAAGTGTCACGGCCGATTGATTGTCGTGCGTGCGTGCGTGCGTACGTATGTGCTTCTGTGCATGGGTGGGTCTGTGCGTGCGTGCATTGTATATTTATTTAAAAGTTGTACTAGATATCCTATATTTATTTAAGTAGGACAACTATCACAATACAGAACATCAACTTAAACTGGTATTTAATCCCTTAAACGGACAAAGGACAAAGATAATGAAGAGCAGCATTATCTTTGTCCTTTGTCCGTTGAAGTATCACTAAACTGGTATTATGTCACTTTGTATATGTATATTGGTTGACAGAACGCCTCCCACTACAAGTGTTCCATCTGCGAATGTTCGTTCAGCACCGAAGTGTCGTACAACTACCACACGAACAAGCACACGAGGCGGTACCAGTGCGTCGTGTGCAGTGATCGGTACCCCAGCAAGAGAGGGGTCATCAAGCATTTCGAACAGACACACTATCACGGGTAAGTTTAAAATCCTATTTTACACGTCTGGGTTCGATTCCCACCTGGGACAAATAGTTATGTGATGAGCACAAACCTCCTTTCTAAGGAGAGGCCTATGTCCAGCAGTGGACTGTTAAAGGCTGTTGATGATGATGATGATGATGATGAGCACAAACATTTGTTATGTGTCTTGGTGTAGTTTATCTGTAAAATATATCATCATCTGCCTACCCTTATCCCTATTTTATTTGGGGTCGGCTCAGTAAGTATGATTCTTCAATTTTACTCTATCATTCGTCATCTCACTCTTTACTCCCTACCTAGCCATATCCTCGCTTACACAGTCCATCCACCTTCTCTTTGGCCTTCCTCTTCTCTTGTACCCTTCAAATCTCATACTTAAGCACTTTTTTTGGCCACATTTTCCTCATCCCCCCATGACATGTCCATACCAAGATAACCTATTACTTCTTAGCTTTTCATTCAGTGGCGCTACTTCTATACAATATTTATATTTAGAAATATATAAGTATGTTTATCAGTAGTCTGGTTACCATAGTACAGGCTCTGCCTAGTTTGGGATCAGACGGCCGTGTGCAAGGTTATTATTATTATTACTTTCATAACTTCAACTGTTCAAACACTTAATTTAGGATGAATTCCTTAAAATCTAAATGTCATTTTGTTTTCAGACCACCTATAGAACTTGAAATACAGAATTTACAGTATGAGAAGAGTTTGAAGGCAGGTGAAACAGAAGATGTGACAGAAAACAGGTAACGCATTGTTTTTATACAAGGTGACACTGTAACCTATAGGAGGATCATCTATAAATTACGTCACGCGAAGTTCATGATATGAAGCCCCTCTGGTCCATGTGTCAAGTATTTGTTCCTGAGTTTGGGTGTTTTTCATTTATAATATGTAAAAACAAAGTATATAAGTATTCTATCAACCAATCTAGCTTCCATAGTTCAAGCTCTGCTTAGTTTGAAACTAGATGGCGCTGTGTGTCAGATGTACGAAAATATTATTATATTATTACAGTATATCACAACCGGCGGCGTCATTTCCTTGCGAGTTCTGTGATAAAATCTTCAGGTGGAAAACGTCGTTAAGAAAACATGCGGAGACGCATCGAATTGAGACCGGACAGAAGAGGAAACCGTACTGTGAGCCTTGCAGGTATGAACTTGTTGCCGTGGGAGATATATAGGTCTGGGCTGGACCGGAGCGGTACCACGGGTTGTCAGTGTTAAGCCATTTTATTTATTACTCGTAGTATCCACACTTACTACTATCATTACAGGTATATCCTAATGCGATAGTGTAACTATTACAATAATACTTGTTTTACACTTCTAAGTTTGAGTGGTGACTTTGTGAACTCACTCAGTGTACAGCTAAATAAGTCAATATTTGTGGCTACGAGGTTCAAGGTGCGCAACGCACGCGTCAGAGGCCAACAATGAAGGCCCGTCCGGTACACACATGCCTACCGATCCTAAGATACTGACATGAGTGAGTGAGTTGCCCAACCCCCTCCTTAGTTTGATATAAGATTAGATCTTGCCTGAGGCTTCGCTCTCCTGATTATTTCTTGTTCCTAACTTTGAAAATGACGAACTTCCATCCCTTATTTTACCTCTTAGGGGTGAAATTTCCAAAAATCCTGTTTTGGGTGCAAGTAATTTTATATGTATAGATTTCGTCTAATAAAACCTTTCTTTCTTTCCTTCTTTCATACATTATTTCTTTCTTTTTTTATCAAAGAGACAAATGGCCTTAGTAGACTCTTTCCACCATTGGGTGAATTATGTTATTAGGGGAGAGTAACTAATATTAAACCGGCGCTTAAATTGGACCACTTCTGTATTTCTACCACAATGGCACTGTTTGGTATAGTATATTGGCACAAAAAGGAGCACTACAAAATAGCGGAGTGTTAGTGGCGCTGCTAGCGCTTTTTGTGTTGCTAGTGTAAAAAAATAGTGCCACTTTGGTAAAAATTCAGAAGTGGTCCAATTTAAGCGCCGGTTAAATATTGGTGTCTCTCGCCTATATAATATGCGTGTTTGTTTGTCCGCAGGTTATCTTTCACAACGACATCGAATCTCCAGAAGCACGTGAAGACGAGCTCCAAGCACCAAATACAGTTAAAGCTTAGGTGAGTAAACCCCATCTACGAATAATACGGGGCCACTGTACATATCTAATAGGTACTTTCTAGGGTTCCCTAAGCCTAACAACGGAAAAAGACCCCGGGTTAGCATAGAGACAGACTAAGCTCTTACTAGTTAAGTTTCTCCCCTCACACCTGTAAGCTATTAAAATAAAATAGGTTTCTCTGTAAAAATCATGATTTAGACTCCGTTAGTTTTAGACTAATAATAATAATAACTTCACACATCCCACACGCGGTAGTCTGATCCCAAACTATGGTTAACAGACCGGACTGAAAGACAGACTGATAAACATACTTATAGATATAATAGTCATCATACTTATAAAATGCCTAATTTAGAATGCTATTTGCAAAATATTTAAGACGAAAAAGAATTTAAGACTTAGATAAAGTCGTTACTAAATACATTCCCTACGGAACCCTACACTACTCGTGGTTCGTCACGCACATGGCCTTGTTTCTTTGTAACTTTGATTTTTTCCTAAAAAAATAAGTAAAGCTTTTTATACTATAATTTAAAAGCTTTTTATTTCATTTCTTATTATGATTAAATTCTTTGTGTAAACTCCTGAGTTGCAGGCGCTCATGGGCGGCGGTAGTGATTTACCATCAGGTCACCCGTGTGCTCGTTTGCCATAAAAAAAAATACAAATAAAAAATGATTAATTTTCTACCAGGAAATTAACAGAAAGTCTTCCAGCGGACTCCACGAATCCGGAGAAACGTCAAGCCCACATCGAGGAGATACGATCCTCCGTGAACAGCTCGCGGCAGATGTACCCTTGCCCTCAGTGCGACAAGAAGTTCCAGTGGAGGGGGAACTTGTTGAGACATGTCAATAGCCATGTCGCGAGGTAAGGCGTGGAAGATATTTCGTGCATGCTCAGTGACCTGGCTGACATGGGGGACAGGCTGGACCATAATTGTGGGGTTACGCTAAGAATAAAAAAATTACAGTGGCACTCAGGTAGTGTTTTTTTTAATATATTGGTTTTTTTTTGTTCTGTTATTACATGTATATAGTTATATTATCAATGTACTTCAACCCAAACCCGTGTAAACGGGGCCAATATATGTAGATACTTATAAACAGAGGTGTCGGTAACGGTAACAGTGTCGCGAGTTCAATGGTTTTTGGCTATCTCAAAAATCCATTGTTTTGTTTGTTGTTCAAAAATACTCAACCACCTGAACAAGTTTTCATTTCAAAAACTGTTTTTTTTTTAGAAGACAATCCCCGCACTAGGAATAAATCCTGTGTGAGGACTTTACGAACATACATGAAACGGACACAAAGTACACCCAGACTCAGAACACACAAACTGTCGTCCCATGTGGGGTTTGAACCTACAACCGGCGTGGTGACCGGTTAAACCACTGGCCATCTGTGCAGTTGGAAGTAATAAAAATATCTATATACCATTCCTTGCCACGTTTCGATATGACACATAGTGGTAGCATTGATGACAAATGAGTAACAAAACTGACGCGAAAAATAGATGAAAACAATATTTGAAGCGGTTTGTGTATTGTGTCTGAGCTCAATCGGTGCAGTACTTTTTGAGTTTTTGAAGCGTACACAAACCAACTTAACATCTACCAACTTAACATCTACCAACTTAACATCTCGTATACTACTCGTATAATATTTGTATTATAAAGCTAAAGAGTTTGTTTGTTTGAACGCTCTAATCTCAGGAACTACTGGTCCGATTTGAAAAAATCTTTCAATGTTAGATAGCCCATTTATCCAGGAAGGAATATATCATTACGCTAAGACCAATAGGACCGGAGCACCAATGAAGGATGTTGCATTCCGTGGCAACCTGTAATTAAGGCAGCACTAATGCTTGTATATGCCATTGTATCTGTTGCTTTTAAAATATATAGAAAGATTCATCAAGGCAAAGCCTAAACCGCTGAGGTTACAAAATTGAATTTTTTGTTAGAAGTTTGTCGCTGACAAAGGTAGAAACGCCATCACGCTATTATTTGCCGTGAATAATCGAATCCACGACCTCTGGTTTATCAGTCAGGATCACTAAACTCTGGACCAACAGGCCAGTTGTATCCAATGTAGCTTATAAGCGTTTTAGTTGTCAGACTGTGAGCTTTTAATGTTACTTAAATAAATACTAAACTATAAGGAAGAAGTGCAGGAAGCTAACATTTACAAACAATATGTGCTAATAAACTATTCAAGTACAAAAGTCGATACAATTGACTACCTCGGTGGTGCAGTGGTAGCGTATGCGACGGCTGTTCTGTGGTCTCGGGTTCGATGTTTGTATGATCTGCAAATATTTGTTGCAGATTGGGTGTTCTCTATGTATGTATTTACAAAAAAAAAAACATACAGTGGAACATAGAACCTCCTCCTTTTTTGAAGTCGGTTAAAAAAAGGTATATAAGTTTTACTTATCCCATGTATTTCGGCCACGGTCACTGTTTATGTTTGAAGGGAGAGGGGGGGGGGGGGAGAATTATCAGTCAATCTAGTTGTCAAACTACAATCTCTGCTTAGTTTGAAACTAGATGGCGTTGTGTGTCAGTTGTCCGAAATATAAAAAAAAAACAATTCAAGTTATTTTGGTTAATGAAATAAACCACTGCCACGCGATCTCTGTTATTAATATATTTGTTGCAGAGCCAATGGCGAGTTGGTCTGTAAACCGTGCAACAGAACATTCTCGTCGATAGCCACCTACAAGCAGCACATGAAAATTAGCAAGAAACACGTCACTGAGAACGAGTTTAAGTGAGTACACTCATATTAATTTTATTTTGTTCGAAATACCAACAGCACAAATAACGTAAGATAAACATTATAATAAAGTTACAACGAAGCTAATCACATGAGTTTCCGTGCGGAGATCCCCTCGGATACCACCTGTCGGTGGCATGTCGGACTCGAACCGACTAAAACCGCACGCCGTCTCGGGTACTAATAGCCGGGGAACCAGGTATACCCTAGAAAGGAAGTCCCTGGTGCCTTGACATACCTCGGGTCATCTACAGACGAGTAGACGACCCCCCCCCCCCGTGTGGGAACCCCATGTTCCCTGTGCTCCCTGGAAGCGAGTGCGCTTGCCAGTTTGCCCCCCTAAAAAAACCCCCATTCACTCGATGAAAGCAACGACAAATAGTTTAACACCGGTTTTCTGTGAAGGGTGGTGTCACTCCGGTCGGGCTGGTTTGTGCCGAAACATAGCTCTTCCACGGCAATTAGGGAAAGGGCAAAATGATAAAAATTAAGTTTCTGTGTTAATAGACCTGGCCTTTAAATATGTACTAGCTGCGCCCCACGGTGTTACTCGCGGATTTTAACTCATCCCACGGGCACACCAGCCTATGTGTTAATCCAGATAGGCAACTACAGCTCCATGGCAATTTTTATCAAAATTGATACAGCCATTTGAGTGCGAAGTAGTAACAAACTCACACACTCACAAACTTTTACCTTTATAATATTTGTATGATTATCTGTAGGTTTGTGGAATTATCCTAAACTAGGTTGGCTTCAGCTTTAGGTCTACTACGACACGGCTGAACTTTTTACACGACTTTTTACGTGGAGCGACCTCCATCAGACCACAACCCAAGTACTAGGCAATATCGAAGTTCTGTAGAGAGATTGTTGTCGAACTCTTAACGATTGCCACAGATATTCGTATGGCAACCAGAACCGACGGCTTAACGTGCTCTCCGGCACGGAGGGTCTCAATGTGTTAAGAAATGGTCACCCATCCATAGATTGACCTGGCTAGGATTACTTAATTTTACAATGTGTTAAATAATTCGGTTACCACTAATTCCCTCAATTTTTTAGACAACTCTCTCTCAACTTAAGACAACTCCCGTATTAGGAATATATCCTGTGTCGGGGGACTTTCCAAACATACATAAAACGTACACAAAAAACACCCAGACTCAAAACAACAAGTTGTGGATCACACAAAGTGTCGTCCCATGTGGGGATCAAACCCACAACACTCAGCGTAGTAGTGAGCGGCGTGGCGACAGCTTAAACCACTACGCCACCCGTGCAGTCAACCCATCCGTCATCTGTACAACATATGATTGGTTAAATAATATATGATTGCAGATACATGTGTAGCGAATGTGGGAAGCGGTTCGCGAACAAGACGCGCCTCAAAGACCACGTCGACTGGGAGCACCTCAAAAACTTCGTGCACACGTGCAGCGTCTGTCAAAAGGTAACTCGCGCGACTATCTACCTTATGTGCAAACTTATAAAGCCCTCTATCCCTTGCCGCCCTGTGTTATTATTGCAATTGCCGCGGTTAACAGACTTTCCCTTCGCTTCGTATCTTCGTGATGTTTCGTAAAACTATCTATACAAATAAATAAAATTAAAGTGTCTGTTTGTAATGTCAAACTAATAGGTTTTTTTCATGCTCACACGGTTATTTGCACGATACCTATGACGAAAAAAACAGTTTATATTTTGTCTGTTTGTTCCGGGTAATCTTCTAAACGGCTGGACTGATTTTGATAATATTACTACCTGGAAGAACCTGTCTAATAAGGAGTAACTTAGGCTATTTTGGTCCCAGAAAAACCCTATAAAACTTTGCCTAATCCGGAAATCGAACCCAAAAAAGGCAGCGCTTTTCAAATTCCACGCAAACAAAGTCGCCGGCACCAGCTAGTTCTCTAATATACTTAAACAATAAACATATAGACCGCCGGATGGTGTAGTGGTTTGTTGGACGGACTGCTACGCCAAAGGTCGCGGGTTTGATTCCCGCTAAGACAAACATTAGTGTGCATGGACATTTAATGTTTGATTTGGTCCGGGTGTTTCTATGTATACAATGTATGTATTTACAAAAAAAAGTATATACATATGCATTTATATCAGTTGTAGTACTAGTATTTATTTCGGTATTTTCGGACCAATACGTCCTTCAAACCTTCAAGAAAAGACCGTACTCCTTCGTAAAAGGCCGGCAACGCGTTTGTGACTCCTGAGTTACACATTACCTTACCCTTACAGATATTAATGTTTTCATTTCCTTCGTCAGGTGTTCAAGAGCCACACGTCGCTGTACCTCCACCGCCAGGTCGTACACAAGAAAGACAACGCGGAACATTTGTGTGACCATTGCGGGAAACCTTTTCCGGTAAACAGTTGTAATTAATTAATTATTAGCCGTGTGACGAATTAAGAATACAGAGTGTCACCACCCCTACTCATCCCAGGGGTGTCGTAAGAGCCGACTAAGGGAGTAAACTACGCAGGACAACAGCACTGCAAAGAGAAGGAAAACTTGAAACAAACCCTATACCAAGCGTCTGGCCAGCGTGGTATAGTAAGCTAGAACCTTACTAAGTAGAGGCCTATGTCCAGCAGTGGACTAGTAAAGTTTGTTGATGATGATGATGAGTTATAATTATTCTTTACACGTATATAGAACATCATTTTTAAGTACATATAAAAAATATTTAAAAATCCAGCGTGTCTTAGGGTTATTCATAAATTTCGTCATGTTTATTGCTCAAACACACACACTTTTGTCTTTGTTGGTGTAAAGGAATAAATGTCCCCTGTTTTCGCAACATTTCTCATTGTTGGTCGGCTCCTATTGGTCGTAGCTTGATGTTATATAGCCTTCCTCGATAACTAGGCCATCCAACGCTTAGTTCGAACCAGTAGTTCTTAAGACAAATTCTTCAGCTTTATAATCTTATATATAAAATTCTCGTGTCACAATGTTCGTTACCGTAGTCCTCCGAAACGCCTTGACCGATTTACATGAAATTTTGTGTGCACATCGGGTAGGTCTGAGAATCGGCCAACATCTATTTTTCATACCCCTAAATGGTAAGGGTGACCCATCCCAAATTTTTTTTTTGTTTTGCAATACAACGTTTGCCGGGTCAGCTAGTTTTAGTATAGATTAGATAAAAATAAATAAGAGAGAAGGAAAACTTGACACAAACCTTATACCGACCCGTCTGGCCGGGAGAGGCCTATGTCCAGCGGTGGACTATTAAAGGATGATGAAGAAAAATAAGTGTCGATTCCAGAACCACGCGAAGCTCCGTTCGCACATGACGGCGCTGCACAGCGGCTCGTCGGCCTACAAGTGCGCCACGTGCGGCGCGTGCTTCAGCTGGCACTCCTGCCTCTCGCGACACGCACGGAAGGTGCACCCCCCTCGCCCCACCACCTCCTCGCAGTAGCGCACCTCATGGCTCAACATCAACTCAATCGACTGTGTAGATGTGAAATAAACTTACACTAAAACCTTTGGACACGACAAGAAAAAATTGCACAACCCAACTGTGGAACAAATTGTCAACTGCATTATTTCCGGGCCGGTTTACAAAAGTACAACTGTACCTATATTCCTGAATAGTTGTAGTTCATGGGCGATTGTAGTCACTTAAATAAATAAATACAGTATTGTATATATAATAAATTGTGGAGTGATATTTCATACATTAAATATTAGATTAAATTGTTAATGTGGTATTTGTGTGATAATATTTGATACGCTGGTAATAAAATGATATCAAAAACAATGTTTTGTTTTCTTTTTTATGGTTCCATAGTCTTAACAAAAACCCTTATAGTTTTAAAAACCGAGTCTAACTGTTAGTATTAGAAAGATTTAATTTTGTAGATATAAGAATATTAATAACCGAAAAAGTAATACAATAAATACTCGCAAAAGAATGTTTTGTACAGTTGGCATGTTTTATTCTTCTTGAATACTCCACAATTAGCGATACCGTTGAATAGGTCTTATGTCTTAAACTGTGTATTGCCTTGGTTGTGAAATAACAAACTAAGTTTCTAATTTTTGTTAAAGGAATAATGACATGTCAATAATATGTGTAACAAATTAAACATCTAGTCCAATATAATGACACGTAAATTTATTACACAGTGACAGTTCAGTAACATTTTTTCCTTATTTAAAAAGACTACGCCCGCATTAGGAATATGTCCAGTGTCGTGGAGGAATTTACAAACATATGAAACGGACACAAAGAACACCCAGACTCAGAACAACTATGAATTAAGAGATACTTCATTTTTATGAAGTCGGTTGAAATCAATAAACAACACGCTACCTCTGTATTTTATTAGTTACATAACTCAAATAATAAAATCAAGTACAACGCGTATAAAAATGCAATCAAAGTGTATAAAAGAAATAACATTTTATTGGAGCGCAAAACTGTTATTGTGAATGACTAGTTTTTAGAGAAAATGCAAAAGAATCTGCTATTGTTTTCGATTTTAATAGGTAAGTATTTACTTAGTTAAAGATAGAAGTGGTATTCTTTACATTTGCTCTGTCTAGAAGCCATCGTTTTGGTCTAAAGTGAAAGTGCGTGGAATTACGAAGCTTCTTTTTACGAGGAAGTGATGTCTGCTAAGGAGCCCGAGGAACTGGCACTAGGCACCTGAGAGTGAGAGAATATTTTCCAATCTCCATAAGCGCTGTTCTAGGGGTGACGGTGAGACTGCCGTTACCCTAGCAGAAGCAGGCCTGATACTTCAGGCTCTGTAAACCAGAAGGAGGGCAACGCCTTTTGCATCCACAATGTGGCTGCCTATGGTGGCCAAGGTCTGCTGGACTACTCGGTGATTTCTTTACTAGGGCATCCCTGTGTCCCTCGCAATAGACTCACATGTGACGGAATACTTTGTGGTTTTAATCAGTTCAATGCCAACATACCACGTCACTGTGAGCGGCGGTGAAGTAATGCTGCAGAACTGTATGGAGCCCCCACGTGTTCATTTTTAATTATTGTAAGATAATCATATTACTTTGGTTTCAAGAACTTTTAACAGTTTCAGCTTTATCAAAACCAGACGATCGCACTGTCAATGTTGCCATTGAGACATCGTTTCAGTTTGAGCCGGAGGACATTAATAATGAAAAAGGTATTGTGACCAACTTAAAGTCGTTCATAGATAAAATCTACCGCTCACTCGAACCGGCGGCGTCGCTAACCTTCCGCCAAACTCCTGACAAAATAACATTATCAAATTTCTTAACGGATTTCGGAAACAGCGTTCTTAATTTAACAGACGAAAATGTTCAAAATGTTGTCAAAATATTAAACAAACAATTACAAGAGTACAAAGCCTCTGGATCGTTCCGCAGTATTTTCTCTGATTCTGATTTAAAAAAAGACCTAACGAAAACAGTTCACAATTGGTCGAATACAGACGCTAAGAAACTTAAAAAGAAATTGCAGAAATTAATGAGAGATGGCAACCCTGAGTTACAGAAGGTCACAAGCCAGCTTAATACGTTGTATAATAAGCAAGATTTGAATACTTTCTATAATTTTAAGAAAAAGCTAAATAAGTATTTACGCAAAAATAAAAATGTAGATAACTTAATAAAAGATTGGTTGGATTTTAGCATTTTTGAACGGTACAATAAATTGAACGCCAGCTCCAAGGTGACAGTAATGGACAGTGTGAGATCGTTGTCAGATTATTTTACTGGCGACAACAGATTAAAAACGCAAGATGACAGCAACGGTTCTCTATGGTCTGAGCATGAAGAAGACGTGTCAGGGAGTGCCGGAGACGGCGTACATAAGCGTCGTGAACACTCGCATATCTTGATTTCAAAAAGAAACTCTGACATAAATAATGAAAAGGACGATGACAATAAAACAACAAATACTTTACATTTAATTGAGAAATTATTAAATAACGATGTGTTCGGCAACTTGAAGTTATATTTAACTAATGAAAATAAAACTAAATAGTGATGATTGTTTTAATTTTTTTTAATATATCTACTTCCACTGTATGTTAATTCAAAATAATATGTGATCTACAGGCACAGAACTTTGTTACTATTATTATTTAAACAGACAGGCAGTTAAAGATAAGAACGGGAAGCAAACTCTGAGCGACGTTCTAGGTATGTTAAATTATATTTATATTTGAATTCCGCGCCAAAGTCAGGCAAAAAAAAACCTAACCATAGTGGTTTTTAATGGTATAGGGATTATAGGGTTACCTGATGGTAAGCGGCTGCCGCCCATGGACAGCAGCAACTCAAGACTCTTAAGTCCTTTCTCAAATTCAGGTGGAGAGGGGGTTTGGCTACGGTAACCGCACTCACTCGGTGAAGACCAGCAAAATGTGGGTTCGCTGGTTTATGTTATTTTCTAATTGACAATAAAAGACATTAAATTAAATAATTTTATTACACAATACAAAAATAAGTCACTTAACGTTTAAGAATTAAAGTGCTTTTTAAATCTCCGAATTCAGGAACCGTTATAGCTTCTCCATGACTGTTCGTTCGTCCGTCGACGTCTTAGCTTAGAAATTGTAGTTAATAATATATGAATCTGTAGTGTCAATTTGTAGGTCTTTGCTTATGCGTTTTATAGCTGTACTCGCATAATAATATCGAATTTAATTTTAAGATCGCCTGGCAGTAGAATATCGACCATTTTGAATGGCTTGATTTATTTCCAAGATCAGTATAACTTGGATATATTCCGTACACCACAGCAATATGTAGCTGTTTTTACACATTTTTTTACTTTACAGCATACAGTGTTTAAAAATCTACATTTAATCGTGTGATACAAGTCAACCGATAATGTTTTAACCGAATTAAAAAATGAGGAGGTTATTAATTAGCATGTTCATCATTTATCCAATGCCCAACATGTTGCAATCTACCAGTTAAATAGGTATTTAGTAGTAGTAGATAGGGACACCCTCCACCTTCCCATGGCCCTACCAACCTTTCGGTTATAACGGGCCGAATCACGGGAGGAACACGCGTTACTTGCTCGGGGCCATTCACGCGTGTCTTTTCTTGACTCCCTACATATTTTTACTCTATTTCCGTCCTTATTTCGTTTGGATACTCACTCCTTTCTGAGGCTTGACGTCACATAACAGCGGACATCGTGTTCGCGCTTTATAGCCGCTAATGTCGTGCGACCCGTGCGCGAAGTCCCGCAGCGATTGCGATGTTTCTCTGCCGCTAGCTCCACCTTGGTCGCGTGGTGTGTGCGCCTAGTCTGCCAGCACGGATGACCTCGAGGTCAGCCGGAAGTACGCCGGCCCTTACCGGGAGGGCAGAACTGCTCGTTGTTCGGTACGCCCTCCTCAGCTCTTCATCCCCGAAGAGGAAGTCTTCCGTGCGATGATGAAAATAGCGAAACGTACTCCGGCGCCGGCGTCTGTAGGATGGGTCGTGCCAGTTGGGTCGTCGAACCGCAAACCACCGATATGTCGCGGGCTGTGCGGCAGGAGCGGGGGAGTATTCTAGTACCACGGAAGTCCGGTTCCCGCCTCTCCTGGAATTCTTAAACGCCATCCTGACTTCGGAAAGGCGTAATTAAACGTCTGCCCTGTGTCCTGTCCGCCATTGGCAGCGACTGCACCTACCGCCGCCATACTCCTACACGCCGCGTTTGCTTTGGCGAGCAACTCGAGCGCGGACAGCTCTCAGCTCTTCGTCCCTGAGGAGGAAGTCCTCGTCCGTGACCCGAATTCGGTAGCCGGTGTTTGCACCACGGGAGGTGCGAGCAAGTCAGACGGGCCGCTTACCACCGACAAGTCGCGGGCGGTGCCACGCTTTGGTTCCGTCTCCGCTTGCAGCCGCCGCGCGTAATCGCTCAATGGGCGCCAAAGACACTGGATCCTCAACCGGGGTGGGAGAAAAGGTCGGAGTTTTTGGGGTGCCTTGCCGCGGGTATCACCGAGTCAAATGGCGCTTGAGCTATCTCCAGCACCTGACCTGGGGTGGTGTCCTTTTGGACCGCACCTAACGTTACTATCGTAATCAACTAGTTTTACACTGACCGACCAGTGTTATTTAAAAATAAGGCGTAACAGTATCAAAAAAACGACGGGTTGCACACCGGGAGTGCCGGCTGAAGTCAAAACTTGAATATTAACGTTGTGCATGACAATTTATATTACATTAAAAAGTTTATCTCTCAGAAAAACGAACATTCGCGCAAGCGCCCTGCGCCGCTTAAACGAAACAGCAGGCGCAGGCATACATTTTCGCCGCGCCGTAGAAAGAGAGGGGGATACTTCCTCTCCTACGCCGCGCCGGCTGTCTACTCTCCATCCGTCTTACGAATTTTCGATCAGGGTCACGTGTCCTGACGCGAGTTTAACATTTTTTACCCATTACAAAAAGTGTACAACGCTGCTAAAGAAGTTTTCACTTCAATAATAAATTAATAAGGCGTTCAGAGCGGAGCACACCACGCAACACGTACGTCCTACACTACACCGAGTCACTATCTCTTTTACTCCCTGTCTCTAATGGGAGAAGTCCCAAGAGAGAGCAGGAGAGATCGATTTTCGCACCGACCGATCAGTTAAGGCAAAGATTACAAGGAGGCACAGAGCGGATCGCACACATCCGTCCTCGACGAGATCCGAAGACGACTGTTATGTATGTATTTAGAAATATATAAGTATGTTTATCAACAGTCTGGTTACCATAGTACAGGCTCTGCCTAGTTTGGGATCGAACGGCCGTGTGAAGTGTGAAAAAAAACGAAAGCATTATGGTTTTTTTGATATCACAAATCGACAAATTAAAAATGGACTTCCTTTATTTAATAGATCATCTTATTACAACCAATGCCTAGCTTACGTGCTGTGTTTGAGCACTTCTAGCAGTCAAGACACTGAGCCATCCCCTGCACGCCATTGTCATATATATGTGACAACGGATAATCACACCCTATGACTATCGCCTACAATTGCGTTGCCGTCCTTTGAGCCTTCCCCCCCCCCCCCTCTTCCTCCTCCGACAACCAGGAGGAAGCGGAGGTTTGAACTCCAGTGACCTCACTCAGTGAAAAGCAACGAAACACATCGATTTTCTGTGAGGCCGTGGTAATCATTCCACTCGAGCCAGCCCGTTTGTGCAGAAGCATGGCCCTTCCACTTCCCATTTCTGTCACAAATATGTGACAATGGCGTACAAAGCTTTATAAAATAGTTTTTGCTTTTAACGGGCACAAAACCTAATAAATAATGATAGGTGTCCCTTAATGGTTATTTTACATTGCTCAATTAAATAACTTGGGGTTTACAGAACGAACTCCCTTCCAGGAGAATATTGCAGAACTATAGGTCTGTAGGGCTCTTCTATAACAGCTTGGGTGTCTAATACAGGAACTTTGGAGGTCTGGTCGGATTCGTCTTCTTTTCGCTTCTTGCACAGTGGGTACCGTTTCGTTTTGATGTTCAGATGGACCTGGAATAATATTTCGATATAGTACTACTATACAGCTCTACTAAATTAACTGTTAAAAAAGTATTCCCGACTTGAAGTGATGAAGCGTAACAAACTATTCGTTATTTCTTAATTTTTCAACTTGAGGTGTGGAATTTTTTTCTTCAAGTTCGAGTGAGACTATGGGACCAAAAGAGAAGTATTACCTTCCTTAATAAAAAGGAAAGGTTTTGCAATCACTCATAAATGTCTAAGATCTGAGGTGAACAAACATTGAACAAAGTTGAACCGAATTGAGAGCTACCTCCTTTTTTGAATTTGAATTAAAATTGAACAGCTTTGTAATTATAATCAATTAATTTTAATAATCTTTATTCTTTTCTTTTTAATCTTTTAATAGTCCACTGATAGACATAGGTCTCTCCTTAAAAAGGAGGTTCTGGCCTACTATATCACGCAGGGCAGACGGGTTGGTATAGTATTTGTGTCAAGTTTTCTTCTCTTTGCAGTGCTGTCACCCTGCCTAGTTTGCTCCATGTCAGTTTTAGTCCATGTGGTGATAGATAGATAATCTAGAGTGTAACCATGTCTATTCATCCCGGGGGTGTCGTAAGAGCTTTTTAATTTTGTCCATTGTTTTTTTTTTTTATAAATTTGACTGTTGTTTTAGGGTCATACTAAAAGACTTTCCGAAAGAGTGTGGTTAATAAAAGGGTGTGGAACTAACCTGTCGATTGTGCTTGTACAAGTTGCTCTGCTGCGAGAAGGTGGTGGGGCAGAACTCGCAGATGAACGGCCTCTCGCCCGTGTGGGTCCGGATGTGGGACTCCAGCTGCATCTTGGTCTAATGACAAATTCTTATATTTAAACTTATGCATATTTCAAACATAGTCAGGCAACTGCAATATAGTGCTGAGATAAGTTTGTTCTGCGAATATCGACTTGAGGAGCTATAAAGAAACTATAGCCTGATTGATATCATCGATTCAACGCCATTGTTAGTAAACACATAGAAAAAGAAATCCGGACAAGTACGAGTCGGACTTGCCCACAGAAGGTTCCGTATAAATTCGTAGGTACATAATATAAATAGTTCAGGCATCGAGCCTCTCAGTTTTGGTACGACGTTCCTTATCGCGCGTTACACGCTCTGAGCGGATTGGTGCTAGACCGAAAAATGTGTAACAAGACTTTTATCCGACACTTTTTTGCTATAGTATGCTCGCACTTCCTTTTTTTCACCAATAGAGAGAGTGATTCAAGAGGAAGGTTTACATGTATATTATAGTAGTGAAAATTGGAGAATTCCAAAGCGTTGAGCTTTTGATTTTGTGGCTAAAGAGTCGTCATCATCTACACATATATAATTTTTATAAGTATACAAAAATATAAAGTTGTTTTGTGTACGCTTCAAAAACTCAAAAAGTTCTGCATCGATTGAGTTCAAACTTTGACGTGATATACAACAAGCTTCAAAGATGGTTTTTATCTATTTTTTGCTACCACAATGTGCCACAGCGAAGCGTGGCAGGGTATAGCAAGTATTTCATAAAAACTGAATCGCTTCTGATTCCATTTGATCACGGCAAGGGGCAGGCCATTTAAATTTGGATAGGATAGTTGGATCTGGACCTTTTGGTGACAGAAATGTTGCGTCTTAACATAACTCTGGAGCCTATACCCAGTTTCAATACGTGCATCAGACCAGCAGGAATAGCAGTTATTAGCATCAGCAGGAATAACATTTGAAGTTGGTCGCTTGCCGAAGGTTGCGACCTCTCGCGACTTATATGAAGTAGTTCTACCTACTACATACCTATGATTATTTGCACTAAAAACTGTAAAAGAAATAACTTTATAAAAAAAGAAAACCGATTTAAAAATAAACATCAATCAAAAACTCCCTACCTAAAAACACTAAATGGCGAAAAATAAACTGAATTATTTATATGATTAAAGAATGTGCGACTTTTTCTAAGTAATTAAATCAAAAACGTTACCTAGTAACTATAACTTACCTATTCTCAATAAAATTCTTAATGAAAATATAATATGGTATGTGAGACATAATGTCACAAAGCGAAAGGAACTTCCTTCCGACCGGCGGTCCATAGACCCCTCACGCCATTTTCTTAAAGTTCAAATATAAAAATAAATAAGTGAAAAAAAAAGGTTTTTCTTTATGAACTTATTGAAAAAGATTTCCTACTTTTTAGTTTGGCCAGCTACAACAGCGTGTTTCTTTTTTTTAACTCTAATGTTATTTTTAATTTTTTAGTCATTAATGATGATTATTAACTTATTAAGACTAAAGAAGTAGCAAGAAAGTTTATCACATAAGCTTCAGCACACGCCTTAGTATATGACAAAAGACACTACCGTATTTTTAGGTCAGGATAATGGACCAAACTATTTAAATTATGCATTGTCATCCCTCCTTGACAAGCAGCAAAGTTATAATGTAATTCGACGTTTTGAAGTGGGTCAAAATCACGTTCGAAGATTCCGTTATATAGATACATTCATACCAAGCTAATAAAAACGCGTTAAAAACAATTAACTTGTATATACGCTTAATGTCAAACTAGTATAACACAGAGGGTATACTTACGGGAAATCCCCGGCCACAGTAGTGGCACATTTTGTTCTTCGGCCGGCCCATGTGCACGTTGCGGATGTGCTGGTCCAGCCCCACGCGGTTCTTAGACGGCTGCGAAACAATAAGGAATCATTGAAGGCCAGATGGCGTACTGGTTTGCATAACGAACGAACTTTGACTTAAATTGGGACTAATCCCACCCACACGCCCACCACTATAACTCCTGTACACCAGGATCCACAGCAGTGACCCACGAACACACCGAGTTATGACACTCGGGAAGTCCCAGGAAGAAATTAAACTATCTTGGAACCCGCAACGAAATTAATCAGAAGAAAATTGGAGGAGTTGGAAATACAGTAAATCCACTTCCCTCCTTAGCAAAGCGGGAGACAAAATGAAGTAAAATGGGCATACACCCTTTTAAACAGGGAAGCACCACGGCCACAAAATATTACGGGTCCTACGTGAGCTATATTTGATTTCTATAATATGTATGGCAGAATCGCCTAAACTTTGACTCTGGATCTTTCTATGTACTAGCTTTTGCCCGGGGCTCTGCCCGCGTATATGTCGGTTATCGCGGTAAATAGTAACCTATGTTCTTCCTCAAGAATCAAATTATCTGCATACTAAATTTCATCTAAATATGTTCAGCGGTTATTGATTCCCTATACAAACTTCCACCCCCTTTTTTTACCCCCTTAAAAGATGATTGCTGGGATAAAAACTATCCAATGTCCTTTCCCGGGACTCAAACTATCTCCATACAAAATTTCATCAAAATCGATACAGCGGTTTAAGCGTGAAGAGGTGACAAACAAACACTTTCGTATTTATAAGTATATATATATTATTTTTTATAGAATAGGGGGCAAACGAGCAGACGGGTCACCTGATGGAAAGCGACCATGACATGAACGCCTGCAACTTAGGAGTCACAAGTCAAGTCCTTCATAATATTAGTATGGATGTATTTACAAAAAAAATGTAATAAAATATAATAATAATACATATATTTATATCAGTTGTCCAGTGCCCATAGCGCAAGTATTTTCCTTAACCTCCTACGGTTTAGTTTTTTTTGTATGTATAAATATTTCAATAACTTAACTTACGTAGTCATTCCCATGGAGTGTGACGTCACTTTAACATATGTTAATATATATGGCAGAACAACATTTGCCGGATCAGCTAGTAGTCTATAGGATTTTATGTTCTTGTATCAAAATGCACCATTGTAAAGTATCTTACTAATATTACAAAGGAGAAAGTTTGTATGGATGTATGTTACTTTTTCACGCAAAAACGGCTGAACGGATCTGGATGAAATTTGGCACAGAGATAGATTATATATAGCACATAGGCTACTTTTCGTCCCGAAAAAATGTAGTGTTCCCGTGGATGAGCAAGGTACAACAACAACCGCGGGTAACACCACGGGGTGCAACTAGTATTTAATAAACAAAAGGAGTGTGCGGCAGTGGGACATGTAGTTCTCTCCTAAGTCATTCTTCAAACCTCAGCCATCGGTAATTCTAATCCGACAAAACTTTGGTGAGGGCTCGGTAAAGAGGCACCCCCAAGTGATTTTCATGGCATGGGGGGAAAGGGGGGGGGGGGCACGGACGGAGCAGACGGGTTCTGTGCTTGTGTTGGTTGGATTTAGTGAGTGTTACCTTAGAACATATATGACACTGATATGTCTTGTGCAGATGTTTCTCCTCAATATGGTCGCGAAGTTTGGTCTTGTCAGAGAACCGCCGGTTGCAGTGGTCACATATGAACCTGCAACAATTATATTCATCGTCATCTTAGCCCGACGTTCGCTGATGAACAGTTCTCATCAGGAAGCATCCATTGGTCATGGGTTCGACTCCCACCGAGGATAAATAATTGCGTCCCAGGTGCGAATGCACAAATTGCGTACTGGTGTAAGCGGTCGCCACGCCGCTTCCTACTGTACTGAGTGTTGTTGGTTCGATCCCTACATGTGACAACATTGTGATCTACAAATTGCTGTTCTGAGTCGTGGTGTTTGTGTCAGTTTCATGTATGATTGTAAAAGTCCCTCGCGAAACAGTCGGACATTATCCGTAAGAAATATGAACTCGATAGTCGCGGTGACCGCGTTCGACGATTGCAATTGGCCCGCACTGATCTTCACATTCTAACGCGCTCGCTAGACATGTCAATTTTCCCCCTTTTAGTCAAAGCGATTTCACCTGTGATTGTGATTTGGTCGCAGACAAATGCCATAAATACCATTAAAATCATCATCATCATCATCATCAACAGCCTTTAATAGTCCACAGCTGGACATAAGCCTATCCTTAGAAAGGAGGTTTTGGCCTACAATACCACGCTGTCCAGACGGGTTGGTATAGGGTTTGTGTCAAGTTTTCCTTCTCTGTGCAGTGCTGTTGTTCTGTGTAGTTTGCTCCCTTAGTCGGCTCTTACGACACCCACGGGATGAATAGGGATGGTGACACTCTGTATTCTTAATCCGTCACCACACGGACAAAATCAATCAAAATTATTTTTATTAAAGATTACGACCCTTTTTTTTTATTAGGACTTTTGATTTAAGACCTTTCACGAGTCTGGCACAGTCGCAGTGGTTTTGTAAATTGGTCACAGGTGTGACTATATGAATTATGAATCATATCAATCACAGCTGATTGTGATTTTATTCTCGCTCAAAAAAAGTCAACTTACACTAGGACCTCTGAAGGGCTCTGTTAGTGTCAAAAAGTGCCACAAAGGACCATCTTTAGGTACTTACCTGAGCTGGTCTTGGGTAACATGTTTGAGGCTGTTCCTCATGTGGCGTTGGTACGAACATATGGACGAGAAGCTGATATTGCACATCGTACAGAACGGCTCCGCTGGCACGTTCGACTTGTTCTGAAACATTACATAAGATATGGTGTGATGTGTGTAAAACGTTATCCGTGTGGAGACGGATCAAGCATACGGAGTGTCAACACCCCGTCTGGTCGACGTGGTATAGTAAGCCAAAACCTCCTTTCTAAGGACAGGTCTAAGTCCAGTAGTTGACTGTCAAAGGCAGTTGATGATGATGATAAAAGATATGAATCCAGGAGACAGACTGCTTGAATACCGGAGCAATGAGTGCATTACAGAAGATAAAGAGTGAAGCGAGTATCAACTAAACACTTAGTTTCGATTGCACGGATGGCGTAGTGGTCGCCACGACGCTTACTACTACGCTGAGTGTTGTGGGTCCGATTCTCACATGGGACAACATTTTGTGTGATCCCCAAATTGTTGTTCTGAGTCTGGGTGTTTCTTGTGTCCGTTTCATGTATGTTTTTAAAGTCCCCCGCGACACAGGATATATTCCTAATGCGGGAGTCGTCTTTAAAAAAAGTTTAATGTAATTAATTTAGTATTTAAGCTTTGGGGGGGGGGGGGGGTTCAGACGGATTACCTGATTGTTAGTGACTAGTTCCGCCTATAGATACCTACAACTCGAGAGACACAAGTACAATGTCACCCCCTTACAGCGCCCCAATTTAGGGGTGGGGCGGAGGTCTACTGTAACCTCAGTCACTCGGTGAAAAGAAATGAAAGATTTTCTTAACAGTTAGGTTTTGTGTGAGGCCGTAGTATTCGTGGTTCTTGATATACCTTAGCCTCGTGCTTCTGGAGGTGCCTCTTCAAGCTGGTCTTCCACCTGAACACCTTGTCGCAGACCGTGCAAGGAAACGCGTTTTGGAACTCGTGGACTGCACTGAAATGTAACACGTGAGAGATATCACATATCTCCCCTGATAGTGTCCCTACACTTGGACCTTTTTTCCAATTATTTAACTTTTTATCCCTACTGGGAGCGATCAGTAGGGACGCGTGGGAATTGGAAAAAAGCTCCCCCTACCAGTGGAGATATATCAGTAGGGCTAAGGGAGATTTTTTAATAACAAGCGATCCCAGGGTGCTTATGGCTGGTTTTTAATGGCGATTACGTTAGTAATCGCCATTAAAATACCGCCATTTTTTTTATAATTAAAAATATTTTTAAAAATTTACATATAAATATTTTTAAATATTACAATGTACAATTAAAGGGTATTAAAAAACCATTTTTTGCACGGGAAATTTAAAAATTTTTTGTACCCCTTTTTTAAAAAAAAAAATATATCGCTTTATTGTATATGGGTTTTATACAATTATTAACGTTTAATAGGGTTTGAAAAAAAAGGGACGATTAAAAAAAATATGGCGCAAGTACTTTTTGTATTTGGAAATATTCGTTTTTAGGTAAAAGTCATAGGCTAACATTTAAAAACAAAATATGCTGTAAAGTTCAAAATTAGTTTAAAAGTGCTTCATATAATATATAAGGGTCCCGTATAATTTAAACCTGTGTGGTCCAAAAAAATATCTTTAAAAAAAAAATTCCAAAAAAAGGAATTTGAAGCAAGCGATCTACAGTAATTTGAAGCCAGCTTTTGTTTTCGTAGCATTACGATTATTTTTTTAATTTTTTCACTAGAGCATGGTTTCGCGAACATTTACCCAAAACGCAAGTCTCTATGGGCATTTATTTTTTTTAAAAATACTTACAGTCTATGGTTCATAAGTCCGGCTCTATGCCTAAAACTTTTTTCGCATTCTGTGCACTGCACCCCCGGGTTGTGAGATCTTTGTGATGCGTGAGGTTATGAAAGAAATAATTTACAACGTGTTAAATAGTATCACAAAAAATGAAATAAAGATAAAACGGGTTTAATATAGTGGTTTAAAATAAAAAAATAAAAAAAAAGTACGAAAAAAACAGAAATGAAATTTAGAACAAATAAATACAATAAAAAATTCCAAAATTAGAACACCATTGATAACATGAGTCGGTGAATGTACCCACACGGCAGCGTGCAATTCGGGGACATCAAAACGACGCCCCCGCCGGCGCCGCCGCCGCGAGAGCCGGCGAATTTACATTCTTATTACCTACCTACCAATCACTCATTGTTTTAAAAAATCTTTTTATAAAAAAATACGATTTTATTCACGTGTTTTTTTGGGGAAATGTCGACTAGTTTCCGACCCAGCAGTACGCGTAAATCCTTAAAAAAGTAGGTCCCTTTGGGTTTGCTGTAATTTTTGTACCCCCCTTACAAAATTCGGAGTCGTAGGAATACCGATTGATCCATACTGTCCGTAAACAAAAGATGGTTTTGATAGAGTTTTCCATAAATTAAAATCATGAGGATATTTCCCCGGTTTTTGAAGGGCACTCACGGCATTAGGATGTTGATATCGATAACCCAATAAAATTAAAAGACGATAATCACCAGTTTTACACTAACTACACACGAACCTAATAGGTTTTTTAAAAAAAAATTTGCAGGCTCCTTTCATTACAAGCTTGCGCCCCACGATAACATTAATTGTTCACACCATTTGGTTTATTATGACGAAAGCAATAAGACTAAACAATTTTTACCCCAAGAAAAACTTCTTAAACAAATTGTTTTCATAAACAACAAAAAATATTTTATTACGGTTATTTTTGTGAGCGTACTACAAGGAACGGAATAGCATAAAACTCGCCGGTGGCCCAAAGGGCCCCACTGACTGTCCTATGGAGAACTAATTAAAAAAGCGTGTTGCATCGTGATGACGTAATAATCAACATATTTTGTTCGATTGGGTTTAGTAAAAGCGGCAACGTGGATTACCCCCGCCCCGTATACCTACAGCGATCGCCCCCCTGAGGTCAATGTATTATGACTGCATGTAACAGATGTGCAATTTTCGAAAAAAAAAAAAAAAACCTGTTCTAAACCACTAAATATTTTTTGTTCAATTTTGCAAATGCTAGAAAAAAAGTGCAGAATATGTGTTAAAAGCTTTGCGTTAATTATGAAAACAGACTGTAATATTTTAATGATTGAGGTTCTTTTAAAATTTAATGACATTTTTTATTTGAAAACGCCAACCAAGCGGGTACCGAGGGTACCCCTGCAAAAGGGGAGGGGGGGGGTTTGGGGGGGTTTGGCACAGGAAATTTCCCTTTCACCGGTGAAAAGTAACTAAAAATAGCTTAAAACCTTTTCCCCTGTGAGGCCAGTAAAGACTTTTTTCCAAATTTTATATTTAATCACAAATATCGTCCCAAAAACCCCTCAATACTCCCCCCTAAGAGAAGGGACAAAAACCCCAGGGAACTGTGATTTACATTTCGATTTTTGCGTACGTAGGTTAGGGTGTGGTAGGTAGGTTAGACGCATTTTAAGTAAAACAGTATTTTTTAAAATTTTTATGTTTGGGAATGGTAGTACATATAATAAAATAAATTTCTAGATTTACTGTGAATTTGGGGAAATAGGGTCTTTTTGCATCGCCTGAAAAAAAGCTTATGGTACAACGCGTGGTAATAATAACCTAACCCCGTACGAAAAAATCAAAATAAATCACCATCATTACAGTTCACTGTGATTTTGTCCATGTACTACCCCTAAGGTAACAAAATAAGTATTGTGTACTTTATACAACTTACTTAGATATTTTCCCGCATATATTGCATGTGTATTTCTTGAGAGATATTTCGTGGTTCGAATAGTAGTGCTGCTCCATCACCTTCAGATCTGTGGTACGCTTGTGACATATTATACACTCGTACCTGCAATATAAGCATCCAATACTTTGACTAGCGTGGTCTGATGGTGGGTAACCCTGACCGCTATGCTAGACATGCTAGATACAGAGAAAATGATCGTACTCTGTTTTGTCTTAAGTGGGAATCGAACCCACGATCGCTAAACACTAGGCCAAAAGGTGGAGCTCCTCCCCATTTTAACCGACTTCAAAAAGGAGGATGTTTTGTTTTTTATGTATATTCGGTCATAACTCCGTCGTATACTTTTTGGTCGAAAGGGGATTATTTCGAAATGGTCCTATTTATATTTTATGTAGACCTGATGATGAGTTTCGAAAACAGACAACGGAACTTTTAAAAAAAATGACAGCAAATCAACCGCGATTGCTGCTAAGTTTTTAGAGCTCTTTGTTAGTATTGTTTGAAGTCGGTTCAACTTTTTTTTTAAAAGGATTCCTATTTTAATAAAATCAAGTATGCCGTACCTCCTAGTGTGCCTCTTGTAGTGCGCGGTGAAGGAGTCCACCGAAGATATTATTGTTTTACATATTGGACAAATGTATTCTCCCAATGTCTGAAAACGAGACAAAATGATCGATTTTTGTGATTTTTCCGGCTTTTAGGGTTCTGTACAGAACGTATAAAAGTAACCCTAATAAGATGACTCGTGCGTCAGTTCAAATATGCCAAAGCTTAACTCTTCCATGTCCAGTTTCATTTGTAAGAGTGGCGGTAGCCTAGTGGTTAAGGCATTGAACTAGCGATCAAGAGGTCGTGGGCTCGGATCCTCATCAGTACACTACCGACGTGAACCCATTCCTAACACAAGCAATTTAGGTTAGCTGGAGTGGTTAACGGAAATACTAGTAATTCCGCTTGGTAATAAACCTTTGAAAATAAAGTTTCAATCTTCAACTTTAATGTTATATTTGTTCTCGGGATAAATTATTTTAGATACCATAAACAAATATGGATCAAATTAAAAAAAAAACCGACTAGATACATATTTATTGTACGGAACCTTTTCCTTTAAAGTTCAACTCGCACTTGGCTGGTTTTTAATTAAATAAATGGGTTCAAAGCAGATGTTAGCACATCCAGGTAATGTGGGACTCCTCGCTGAATAGAAGTGATGCAGTGTAGCGTTATAAAATTGAGTCACAGGTTTAAATTATAAGTGTTTATTTAACTTGCAATGTTTGTGTGTATGTGTGTGTTTGTGTGTATCTTGGAAACTAAATTAGAACCATTACCCGATGTCCAATTAGGTTCAAATGTACATATGTAACTTCAGTGACAATACAAAAATATGGTGCTATGGAGCTGTTCTGATGATGGAGCCAGAAGACAGCCATAGGAACTTCTTAACTAAACAATATATATCCTTCGAATATGGGCTCAATTGTATACGCTTCAAAAACTCAAAAAGTTCTGCACCAATTGAACTCAAATTTTGACACGATATACAACAAGCTTCAAAGATTGTTTTTGTGTTAGTTTTGTTCTTAAATTATCATCAATGCAACCACAATGTGCCACAGCAAAGCCTGCCAGGGTACAGCTAGTATACATATAAATTAATAGGTAATAAACTTACCGGAGAATGTTTACTTTTCAAATGAGCTTGATAAGTCTTCTTATAATTGAATCCGAGAAGACAGGTCTCACATTTAAATTCCGCCTTCACGTAAGTATCTCTTTTCGAGTCTTTCTCTCTCTCTAATAACATATCATCGTAGGACAATTCTATTGTTACAACTTTCTGAAATATATTTTTAAATTTTGGCTGAAATTGAGAAGAAGATAATATAAGTTTGGCTAGTCTATATAAAAGAATAACTTCACACATCTCACACACGGCCGTCTGATCCCAAACTAGGCAGAGCCTGTACTATGCTAACCTGACTGCTGATAAACATACTTATATATTTCTAAATACATACATATTATAGGTAAAGTACACCCAGATACAGAACAAATGACCATGCTCATCACACAATTATTTGTCCTGGGTGGGAATCGAACCCACGACCTCCGACCGGCTTAGCAGTCATGGCACCTAATCACTAGAGCAACAGTATCTTGTTGAAATAAATTACTCACTTTCTTCTTGTCTATCCTTTTTACAATCTTCTTAGTTCTCTTATTTTTATTTCTTCCAATTTCTTTATCGTCTCCTTTATCTGAGCATAAGACAGTTTCTAGTTTTGTTTTCAATTCATCATTACTATTGTCCCCGGCTTCTGAAAGACAGTCACTGTCGAAGCCGTCTGGTAGACTTTCTTCCTCTTTCATATATTTGGCACTTCGGCTGTCTTCTTTAAATTCATCTGTAAATAATAAATATTGAGAATTTACAACTATAGGAAGGTAAATTGAATCCCATCAAAAAATCCCACATGAAGCCGTGGGAGAGATATAATAATAATAATAATAAAGCCTTTATTTCCGAAATAATTTCATGTTACATATTTTCGTGTCTTAGTAAAAAATTGAAATAAAAGTATTTAAAAAGAGTTTATAAAAGAAAGTAAAACTTATAAACTAAAACTACACTTTCATTATAAGATGTCTCTTGGTTCGGTTTGCCTTACGGCAAAGGCCTCCTCCAAGTCTCTCCATTGCATTCTGTCTGCCGCTACTCTCATCCAAATACTTCGACAGTGGGAGTGGGAGAGATATACTTCGACACAAATGGACCAGCTTAACCAGTGATACCACAGTCAAACAGAAAACTTGTGTTAAGCTCCCAACCCCTCTCCCCCTCCACCATTAGTTCTAGGGGAGTGGAGAATTCAAGGTTCAATTCAGCGGTAGTCACTTACCATCAAGGGACCCGTCTGCTGTTTTGACCCCCATCAAAATTAGTGTACTCCACAAAGTGGCTGGAATGATTTGGATCAAATTTTTATTTACAGTACACACACTACTGTTGTACTGCCACAGAAGTTTGCGGTGGAACGGAACCAACTAAAACCACATGGTGTGCGGAACAGCTGTTATTATGACATACTAGCGGTTGTAGATCGGCACAAACATATCATGGATTTTATATAAGTAAAATTTTTATTAAATTTATTTGACAAAACAGAGATTGTTGCTATTGTGTGTGTGTTGATCTACGACTTTGGAGTCTACATAAAAGACGATTACAAACAATTTAAAAAAATAATGAAATAAAGATATTTTGAATTTGACATCCGGACCCCTCGTAGCACCTGAATACACATCCTACGCAACTAAAATAGGTTACCTTTAATGTCCTCCCAGCAGTTGCTTAATTCATCCTTTACGCTAACAGTGTGTGTCTGATGCTGACCTGCCTCCGGTACAATTATATCGCTGAAGAGACACTTCTTCACATGCTAAAGAACAAGGATTAACAGCTAAAGTAGAAGTACAATTATAGTTATTGGTTATGGCACAATCCTTAAGATCAAATTTTGCCAAATTTCATTAATGTCAGTGGACAGTTAATTTCGCATTTTAATAAAAAAAAAATATTTACGAGTAGGGATTATAAATAAAGTATAATATTCTACAATATAGGGGATATTTTTAGTGCATTAAAGATTTATTCAAAAAATCTCATTTTTTGGTTTTCCAATAATTTCTATAGCAAAAAATAATAATTAGCAAAACTGATTTGTTAATTCAAGTATATTACACCTGAATTAGAAAAATTGTTTTTTTTTTAAATCTATATATTGTTCTAAAGTTGGTATAAGGCATTTACAAATTTTTAATATTACCTAAGTTTTGTGTACATTATGCATTACTGAACAAATGACTCACTTTTTTCTCTTCGAATCTCTTGACATTCTTCTTAGTTCTCTTTGATTTGCTTTTTGCAGGCCTTTTACTTTCTCTGTCTCCTTTTTTATTAGACCATGTATCAGCCTTTACTTTTGTTTTAATTTCTTCATTGCCATAGTCTAATCTGTCAGAGAGACAGTCATCAAAGGCGTCTGGTAGACTGTCTTCTTTCAAGTCATTAGTTCTTCGGCTGCCTTCTCTTAAGTCTTCTGCGAATATCAAAGTTTTTGTAAGTATTGTTAGTTTTTTGAGATGGTTAAAAAAGATGGTAAACTAGAAGCACGATCGATAACACTTACACTGGTAGTGTATTCGACTTCCATGGGTTCGCAAGTTTGAATCCCGCTCAGTGCAAATATTTGTATGCTTGAATAGGTTCTTATAAATTCTAGTTATTTCTGTTGTGTATGGTGCTAACACTAAAAAATGTCTACCAAAGATGTCTACCACATAATGGAGACCTATGTATGGTATGTGGTAGAAAATGGTCCTAGACACCATTTTTATAATTTATAATATTTAATGGGATTTTAATATCTCTCGAGTGAGATGACTTTGTCTAATAATTATTTATTCAGGATTTTCGATAAGTAGTGTACAAAAAAGGATCATTTTAAAAATTTTTTTTTTTAAGACAACTCCCTCACTAGGAATATACCGTGTCGTAGAGGACTTTACAAACCTACATAAAAAGGGAAACAAAGAACACCCAGACTCAGAACAACAATTTTTGGATTACACAAAGTGTCGTCCTATGTTGGGATTTAACCCTTCACACTCAGCGTAGTAGGAAGCGGCGGCCGCTTAAACCACTAAGCCATCCGTGCAGTCATGGTCCTATTTTGAACAAAAAGCTTAATTTTTTGTTTTAAAGACTAGTAGTAGACTAGTAACTAGGAATACATACTGTGTCATACATACTCACACACTCAGAACAACAATTTGAAGATCACACAAAGTGTTGTCCCATGTGGGGATCGAACCCATACCACTTAGTGTAGTAATAAGTCGTACAATCTACACGGATAGCGTAAAAGTCTATAGCGATACAGGAGATATTCCTAGTGCGGAATAGGTCTTTTTCTTAAAGTTTACCTTTTAAGTCAACCAGACCATTATTTGATTCATCCTTCACATCAACAGTTGGTAATAGATTCTGCTCCTGATTTTCTCCAGGATTAATATTGATAGACTCAATCTGCTGTATTTGCAGGTGAGGTGGACGTGAGACATCGCTGAACAAGCACTCCTTGAGATTCTAAGAAAATTTTACAAATATTTGACATTTTGTTAATTTTATTAGTTAATAGTTATCATTAGTTAATGTTTTGAGTCTCTATATAAATATTTGCATGCCTAGTACAGGCAGAACATAGCTTGAACATTATACACCTTTGTAAAATCTGGTACCACCTGTATTCTCTGCAAATAAATGTTTCTTTCTTTCTTTCTCACAAGGAATTAGAAAAATTGGCAATGTATCTATCTATGCATATATATAAAAAAATAACGTTGGTCTGTGTGTGCTTTTAAAACTCAAAAGTTCTGCACCAACTGACCTGCTGCTACAATCTGTCTTGTGATGGATTAAAAATACAGAGTGTCACCATCCCTATTCATCCCATGGGTGTCGTAAGAGACGACTAAGGGAGCAAACTACGTAAGTAAACATCACTCCAAAGAGATGGAAAACTTGTTACAATCCTGATTCGTACAGTGTGGTATAGTAGGCCAAAACCACCTTTTTCTAAGGAGAGGCCTATGTCCAGTAGTGGGACTATTAAAATCTGTTGAAATATAATGTGATACAGCCTGTTCAAAGATTGTTTTTGTGAGACACATTTCTCATCAATTCAACCACCATGTCCCGAAGTACCTACAGCATGACATGGTACAGCTGGTTGATCATGATTTCCATAAAAGATGCGATTAAATATCTCACCTCATTAGTGTATGCTAATAGTATTCTATAGCTATCCTTGGCTTGTTCCCTGAACGACCAGGATTTTTGTAAAATAGCTTTACATTCCCAGCAGACTGTAATGTGGACGAACTGCTTTGACTTGCTTAGCTGAAATAAAAATAGCACTTCTTATTAGTGATTTGGTTTCCCCCACTTATGAAAAGTATCACCATTCATCATCTATTGTAGTTTGTTACTTATTTATTGATGGGCCTTTTGGTCTAGCTGTTAGAGACCCTGGCTTTCTTAGCCGGAAGATGTAGGTTCGATTCCCACCCATGACAAATAATTGTGTGTACGGAATGGAATGCAATGCCTTTTTTAGCGAGATTGATCTCGGACGAAAATAGGGCGAAATCTCGAGAGTTTAACGAGATTGCACTTGAGCATAAAAACGTCTTCTTCGAAGCGCGGTCTGACAGGAATCGCTTGAGCCCCAATCTCGCGAGATTTGCATTCCCTGTGTGTGTTGAGCATGATCATTTATTCTGTGTCTGGGTGTATTTATCTATAATATGCATGTATTTAGAAATATATAAGTATGTTTATCAGCAGTGTGGTTACTATAGCATAGACTCCGCCTAGTTCGGAATCCGACAGCCATGTGTGAGACATGTCAAGTTATTTAATTATTGTGGCTGACTGCCTCCATAGTGCAGTGGTAGTGTATGCGACTGCTGTGATGAGGTCTCGTGTTTGATTCCCAGGTCAGACCATTGTATGATCTGCCAAATATTTGATTCAGAGGTTGGGTTTTTGCTAATATTAGCTTCAGAGTTTGGGTGTTTGCTATGTACAATATGTATTTACAAAAAAAAAAAGTATATAATTATTCTATCAGTCAATCTAGCTTTCAAAGTACAAGCTCTGCTTAGTTTGAAACTAGATGGTGTTGTGTGTCAGATGTCCAAAAATTATGTTATATTATAAAATATTATATTTTTGTGTTGCTTGCTTATGTGTCCACATCACTGCACAAGAATAAATTTCTGGGTGTAAAAGTTCAGGTGTATGTTACAATGGTTTTCTCAGCCCAGTAGATTCTATTATTCCAACCATTTATCAAGTTGATTCTTAGGACAGGACACCAAATGGAGAAGGCGAGAAAATATTATTACGTTAAGAAATTCTACTTGAGAATAATATTCTCTTTGGTGACACTTATAAAACTTGCAGCTCTCAGTTAACCTTTTGTAAATTTTCTGTAAAGGGAGCAAACTACACAGGACAACACTGCAAAGAAAAGAAAAACTTGACAGAAACCCTATACCAATCCATATGGCCAGCGTGGTATAGGAAGCCAAAACTTCCTTTCTAAGGAGAGTGGACAGCAGCAGCAGCAGTGGACTGTTAAATGCTTGTTAATGTGATGATGTGAGATGTAAAATGTTAGGCAGATATAGAAAGTTTTACATCTCACACTATGCGTCTGTAGGCGTAATGCCTACAGACGCATAGTAGGCACATACATTAGGCATATACATTCTATTAACGTATATGATTTACACAGATTATTTATTTAAATAATTGTTTACTTACGGGAATTTCGTCTAGTGCATCCAAATAATATCTTAATAGTTTTTCATTTGTAATTTTGTAAAGATATCTGCCCACGCTCAAACACGAATGGCATAATAGATTATTAAATATGTTTTCTTCCTTTACTTCCATATTGATTAGAAAATATCCTTAATTCTAATATTTTTTTATCAATCTAACATAGTGATTCTTCATCTCAACACTTTCACTCTACTTTACTTACATATAATCAATGAACGAGACTCTTACTTTACTTTCTACGGCTGTAACTTGTTTCAAAAATGGTTTTGCCTGATCATTTAGTAAAGCTTTTATACCCAATAATTAAAATATTCGATTTGCATTGCCAATCACTCGCAGGTCGCAAGAACTCATCCAGCAAAACAATAAACAAATCGCCGCCATGTAATTAGTGGTGCTCTTGTAAAGTTTTACATTTCAATTTCTATGATTTTTATAACCGGTTTTTATTTTGGATCTAGTCACAAACCGTAAATAATGCCATGCAAGCAAAAATATTTTGAACTGTAATTTCATACAGCAACAAAGTTACAAACTATTATCCTAATAATAATAAAATTAAAAGAAATGAGACGTAAAATATCCTGAAAAGCAGAAGCTTAATCTTGAATAGGCTTCGTAATAAAACTCGACCAATAAATTACAATTTTATCTTTGCAACACTTTCATAAAGAAGCCATTTTGTGGTGTCGCAGTGCAGTCAAACGTTCTTCATTAATTTTCGTCTATTTTACATGGGAGTATTACTTTTTGTTGTGATACGAAAATCAATCATAACAAATATTTTGTTTTGAAATAGTGATTGCTTTATTTGAGAGTTTTATATCAAATACAATGGAGCAAGATGTGGACACGAGTTATAGAACTATGTGCAGTACTTGTTTAAGTACAGACAGACACTTATTTCATTTAAATAATTGGCCACAAGTTAATCAAATATTCAAATTACTGATGTACGATTTCGCGGGTGATAGGGTGAGTGAAACACTGACTTCTACTGGGTTGAAACTTTTGAAACTTAAATAAATTACAAATTACGTAAACAAGAATAGGGGCATAGTAAATAATAGAATTTTGTTTTAATGTGCTACATTTAAAAATTTGTTAGTTAAACATCAGCTGCTTTCAGTTTTAAATGAAAATATATACTTAAATGAAAAGTATTAGTACATCATTAAAGGTATTTAAATAGAATTCTAGTAGAACTACTATTATGGAGGTGTGCATTGCTTACACAAAGAACTAATATAATTAAAACTAATAAAATATTTTTAGCATTTATGGCGGTCTTTAATTACTACATTTTTAGAAAAATTAAAGTGTTTTGCTAATGTTAGGCTTTGTTTTCTATTATTATTCTTACCATTTTATTTCTTATTTATTTACTTAATAATTTAAAAGTTAAATTTAGTAGATAGATTGTTGTTGGTCTGTCAAGGGCTTCAACTAGACAGACATTGCCACAGATGTAGGCAATCTTTTAGGGTAATGCACATGCCAAACGAGATAGACTGCTTAACATGCTCTCCGAGGCAGAGAGGAGTCTCAATTTGTTAAAATTATCACCCATCCATAGACTGACCAGGCTAGGATTGCCTTAATTTGCCATGTACTAACCTACTCTGTTACCACATAGCCATGGGCCAAGGAATTACGATTGCCTAGAAAAAGACAATACATTTGAAGCTCTTTATTTCAAATTTGATTTAAAAATATTCTATTTTTTTTACTAGCTAGCAAATTTGAACTACACCACTAAGGCAGTGCTGCCTTAGTTGTGTAGTACTGAACACCTCTGCAGTCCATGAGGCCTCAGGTTTGATTCCCTGACTGGGCAAAATCTTATCGGGTTTTTCTGTGAGGAAACAGTTACTCCTTATATAAACAACTATCTGGTTGGAAAATATTATCAAAATGGGTCCACCCATTTTGAAAATTACCCAGAACAAACAGACAGAGATACAAAAAATATTTAAACTGGTTTTTAGGCATAGCATGAGCATGAGAAACACTATTATTTTGACATTACAAACATACACTTCAATTTCAATTATTTGTATAGAGTATACATATCTATTTGTTTCATTAGTCTAATCAAGAAGTGTTTTGGTGAATTTCAGTTTGGAGACACGCTCCAAGAGTTGGAGCACTATGTGTGTTGGGAGTGCTTGGCTATAATGAAGCGCTTCTACCGATTCAAATGGCAAGTGCAGAGTGCTCAAGAGCACCTGAGGGTTCTGGCTCTAAGTAGATCACAGGAGGTATGTAACTTTATGGACAACTAGCTGGTGCCCGACTTTGTTTGAATTTGAAAATTGCTGGCTTAGTGAGTTTGATGCCCGGACCTGGAAATTTTATAGGGTTTTCTGAGATAAAAAAAAGGCCATAGTTACTCCTTATATACACAGCTACTAGATAGTAAAATATGATCAAAATCGGTCCAGCTGTTTTGAGGATTACCTGGGACATACAGACAGACAAAAAAAACTGACTTTTAGGCTAGGTACCGTGTAAATAACCGTGTCAGCATGAAAGAAACCTATTATTTTGACATTACAAACAGACACTTAAATTTTATTTATTGTATAAAGATTGTATATGCAGTTAAAATGTAAAGTTTTTAATCAAGATTTACTATTTCTTTCTAATATGACATAGATTATAAATTTTTAGAACTTTTTATCTTTTAAATTGTTCTTAGTAACGTACACCCATGCAATCGAGTTTTTCTTGGGTTTCATTATATATGAATGCACCAATTCTTACACTAAATGGGCTTGATTTATTTTAATTAATCATACCAATTACAACAATATGCATTAACTTCAATTTATAATGATATTCTTCATCGCATTTGTTTACTGCCCATATCTTAGACAGACATATAGACATACTTCTTATAGACAGTTCTTAAAGGTTAGTGACCTCTTCTGATCTGCTTCATCATCATGATCAACAGACTATAAAAGTCCACTGTAGGACATACGCCTCTCCTTAGCAAGGTGGTTTTAGCTTACTACACCACGCTGGCCAAATGGGTTAGTATGGGATTTATGTCAAGTTTGCCTTCTCTTTGCAGTGGCTCTCACAACAACCACGGGATGAATATGGTTCACTGGCTACTCCATATTCTCTATCCGTCACCGCACGTAAAAATTATGTGGCTTACTTAAATTATCACATTTTCTTTTACAGAGCATGGACCACACATATATGTCACAGTCCCTCTCTGCTCTCGGCACAGAGACAAAGTTGGATTATGATAAAATATATTTTGACTTCTCGAGCGCTCCAGAAGAGCAGCAGTATATAACCATAACAACAGCTGAGTGCATTAAAAATGAGCATTACGATGTGGCGCAGGTTGTGCGCGATAACATCACTCTGGATATCGATGACAATATTCTAGAAGGTAAGAATTAATCTCTTTTTTTAAGACAACCCTTGAAAACCCCCCCACGTCCTGCATCGCGAGGGACTTTACAAATATACATTGAACAGACAAAAAGAATACCCAGACCACAACAATTTGTGGATTACACAAATTGTTGTGGTCTTGGTATTCTTCGTCGACAACACTTCGTGTCGAACCCACAATACTCAGCGCAATAGCAAGCGGCGACTGCTTAAACCTCTTCTTCTTATTTCGTGTATTTAATGACCTAGGAATGTTCCTTTTATAGTTAAATTTTAAAAAGAGAGCATTATAGTAGTGGCATATGATGTGTAACAAATGACATCCTACCTACCATCTGAGGGCCAACTCTAACAGCGCACGGTTCCCCGTCTTCCTGAAGACCAACCGAAAATCGGAATCGAACCCTAGTGGACTGCGCTCGCGTACCGTCCTACACCACTAAGGCACGGCTTTTCATGTAAAAAAGCTTCCTAAATTGCTTAATATCAATAAAAATCTCTTCCTACCTTCCACATCTTCAGTATAATCATAAATTTATTACCTGTTTCAGTACCAGAGATAGTGTTAAAAAATCCCGTGACGGGTGTGATGTCTCACATAGTGGTTGGAGCTGACTCTCTAGTCGCGTCCACTGAAACGATCCCCACCCGCGCGGGAGAAATGCCACGTCTTACTATAGAGTGAGTAAAGATGTTCACTTTTTGTATGGACGTTAGTTTATTTATTCTGAGTAAAATCCATTATGGCTCAAATTATACTGATATAATAATATAGCAGCTAAAATTTATTTTGGGGTTTATTCCGTTTTAAAATAATTCTAATTTTGAAGTGACTCACTAAACTGAAACAAATTGCAATCATTTTTTGTGAGTTTGTTATTAGGTCTACCTAATAACAAACTCACAAAAAATATTATTACAACCACGTAAGAGTAAATAGTTGAACCGCCATCTGTAAATTACATTTAGAACTAAAAACGTAACGAGGTTATTCGATCACAAAATTTTACCCATCAAATTTTTTTCATACCTTATATGAAAATCGATTTTTCCAAAAAACTTATAAATCAAAAAAAAAAAATTAAATCTATTTTGTTTAGCTAAGTCTTGTTTGTTGTCGATAAGAATAGTTATAACACCACCCCAAGGTACACTGGCAAAGAATGCCTATGGCATTTTTTGCATAAAGCAATAAATAAATAAACACTTACTTAAATACCAACTGTTTTTCTTTTCAGGCCCCTGCAGGCTCCAAAGTTGGAGACGGTGATAATTTGTCAAGACAAAAAAGACAAAGGCGAACCAAAAGCAACCTTTGTGACTGAATACATGAGTGATGCTGATATGTTGGCTTCGAGGTCTTTTTTTTTGTTATAATCTTAATATTTAATAATCTTCATTTTATCTACGAAATAAGACAGAGGACTTTTTTACGGTGTCTGTTGTGGGTGGGGGCAGTCCGCACTGCGATGCTGTCCTTGGAGTGCTCTGTTGTAGTAGTGAAGCTGTGGCGGCGGTCACCCGCGCCTACACACACTGTACGTACTTGGACTAAGTAGGCACAAGTGCTCGCGGCCGGCCCCAAGGGCAGCCCTATAGAGGGCTATATACGGGACAGTAGTAGTAGTAGTACCCTGGGGACGGAGACCGCCCACCTGCCTGGGAAATTTTCAGTCCGTATCCAGGTCGCGCGGAGGCTTCTTAACGGTTGATATTGGGAATTTGTAATTATATACAAATCGACGTGAGAACTATCATTGCGCGATTCAGGATTAGCAATTACTTTTAGCAGACACAACTACGTAGTACAGTAGTATTTTCGTTAGATGTTACTGATGTATGTTACTGTTTCGATAAATAAAAGACCTCTTTCTTAGCGTTTCCTGGATTCACCGTGCTGGTGCCGGGTCCATCGCTTGATAGATGCGAGACTTGGGCAAGGCATGCCACTTCGACAGCGCCGTGGAATTGAATTGAATAGGTATAGGGAGTACTCCTTGCGAGGCGTCAGCGCTCACCACCACTTTCTGCTGTGTTACCCCCTCTACCTAACCACATTTGATACGAGTCTAGCAATGCCGCTTTGGATACTCATTCAAGAAAAAGAGCTTATTGAAGATCTTGGCAATTCAAGGTCTTTAAGTAGGTGATAGAGGGATTTAGCTGGTATACCCCTTGCACCCACTTCCAAGGAGTACAACGCAACAAAATAACCATTTTTTGTTATTTCGTTGGTTGAGTCTTTGTACTTATTTCTTTTTAAAGCCTTTAGGGATTTTCGTTTTAGCAGACACTAAACTACGTAGTACCGTCTTCGTTAGATGTTATTGATGTATGTTACGGTTTCGAAAATAGAACAGGCTAGCCATTACTTCTAAATAACCGTTCATCCCTTATTTTACCCCCTTAGGGGTGAAATTTCCAAAAAACCTTTTTAGTTTGTTCTACCAACATAAAAGTACCAGCTGTTAAAATTTCAAGTTGGTAGCCTCAGCGGTTTAGACTGAGTTGATGAATTATTCAGTTAGGACTGTTTTTTTTAATGTATGGAGATATAGGAACCCCATTTATTGTACCTTACCTCATTTTACTCAATTTGTTCACGTAACTCAACATTCTAATAATAAAAAAAAAAAATCAAGTCTAGATTTACATAATTTCTTGAACAATGATAGCTACACTAGGCTAAGCCTGTATCGAGGCTATCAATACAAAAGCGATGACACATTTGGACAGTAGTAATAATAGTATTTGAATTATAAATCTGACATAAAATAATTGATAGAGATCACAGTTTACTAAAATCTATATTTATTTAATTGATTAAGTTTAAGTTAGAACTATGTGTGTGTGTGAGTGTTGGTGGTGTGTGTGTGCGGACTTGCGTGCGTGTGTGTTTTCATAAACTACGTGCGTGCGTCTTGTTTCTCAAAATCTTTTTCTCTGCTCTTCTTCCAGAGAGGTGGCTAAAAGTAAAGTGCAATACGCCGGTTCTGCGTACAAGTGTGAGTTGTGCATTATTGGATTCTACACTCAACAGCAAGTTGAAGACCATTTCGAGTCGGCTCACAGAGCGGTAAGTAACAATTAACATGTGTTAAGAACATCTTGGAGGATCTTCGAGGATCTTGAGAAAGAACTGAGCGCGATTAAACATACGACTGAAGGACACGATACATTTTATATTTTATGTTATCATCATTTCTGCCAAAAGACGTCCCACTCTTGGATACAGGCCTTCCCCAAAGTTCGCCACAACAACCGGTCCTGTGCTGCCCGTTTTCAATAGGCTAGTTGACACAATTTGAAAACTTGGTTAATTATATACTTTAATATCTATTTTATCCCGAAAACCCTATATTTTAAAGAAAAAGCAATATTTACATTATGTATTTTGTATTTAAAAAATAATAATTTTAATCTCCCTTGAAAACGCTGAATAGTGTTATGGCATCTTGAATGACGTCACAGTCTGCAATATAAAACTGTTTACATTTGTGTCCAGTGTCAACTTTTATAAAACATACTAGCTGACCCGGCAAACGTTGTATTGCAAAACAAAAAAAATTAGGGATAGGTCACCCTTACCATTTAGGGGTATGAAAAATAGATGTTGGCCGATTCTCAGACCTACCCGATGTGCATACAAAATTTCATGAGAATCGGTCTAGCCGTTTCGGAGGAGTACGGGAACGAACATTGTGACACGAGAATTTTATATATAATATGAACACGTCAACAACAACAATGATGTTTTGATCGGTGTTCGCTGTTACGTGACTTAATGCCTGTTTTGTACGAATTTATTGTTTAAAAATATTAATAATCTTTAACTTTTTTGAGAAATAGACTGTTTTTTATCTATGTCCCTTAATTTATAATTTGAAACTATAAACCGAGCAATATGTTATTAGTGGACACTGGCCTATTATCGGACTACTATACTATCTCACTGCGACCGCCGACCCGCATGCGATTAGTGCAAATAGTCTATATACCTCTCCTTATTTTTTTTCTATTACGGATATAGGATTTTTCGTTTTCGGATATTCGCGGATACAGATGTCTAGCACATCGTCAACGCGTACAAAAAAGTAACCAGTCGACCGGACATTCCGTCGAATCGAAATTTTACCCATCGATCTCTCTAAATTTTCTGCCGTAAATACTTTATCCGGTCCGGCGTTCTTAAGTGAGCGGTGATGGTGCAGAAACCGGGGCAAGCGGCGTGCAAGGTGTGCTACTGCTACGTGAGCGAGAGCAAGCTGGGCGCGCACACGGACGGGCACTACCTGCGCTACTCGTGCAAGCTGTGCGCGCACGTGGAGCACGCCCTGCGCCCCGCGCAGCACCACGCGCGCGCGCACCTCGCGCCCGCGCTGCCCAGCTCCGTCTACAACATCGGAGACCTGCCGCCCGCCGCCGGGAAGGTACCCCCTGTACTATAGTAACCAGACTGCTGATAAACATACATTTTTATTATTCTTAGACTATTTTTAAAATATGAACAAATTCGATTCAGTAGTTTAGCCGTAGGTCAAAATAAATTGAATCTAAAGAAACTAATTAGAACACTCTTATAAATATTACATTAAAAAATTAATTGTACCTACGTCATCGGTCATCGTAGAAACGCTCTCGTAGGTACTTTGTTCATGGAAGAGAGGGCAAACGAGAAACTCCTTACGAAAGAACAAAATCGCTTGCACCAATATTTCGATATCACTTATCTTTGTGTTCTAAATTATTTAACTAATTTTTAACAACTTCCCCGAGTTACCGTTACACACTTCCGTCCCCTTTCACACCATCACTCACACATACGCAGGAAGACGAGATGAAAGACGTTACACATAAAAAAATAAAAATATTGTGTAAACCATTTCTCAGAGTAAAAAGAAGAAGGATAAAGAATCTCAGCCGATACCTGCAAAACCTGGAGATCTTCGAAAACTGTTATCGAAGACCACCATCGAAGGGTACCAGTGCCTTGAGTGTTATATGTTCTTTAAGTAAGTTTAACGACTCCTGGGTTCTATCATTTCCAGTCCATCACTGCCTACAGCCCTCTAACGTCATTTTGAAGAAATAATGAGTATAAAATCACTGAAAATAATCAGCGTAAGAGAGAGTCGTAGAGTCGCCTGCACATGGCGACGCGTTGCCACACCGCATTATATATTCATAGCTATCATATTCTATCATATATTATCATGCAATTATGCAGGACAACAGCACTGCAATGAGAAGGAAAACTTGACACAAACCCTATACCAACCCGTCTGGACAGCGTGGTGTAGTAGGCCAAAACCTTTCTAAAGAGAGACCTATGTCCAGCAGTGTACTTTTAAGGCTGATATTGATATTATGCTTCCGTGTGTCATATTTGTTTCAAAATTAAACACAGAAAATATTGTTAACATGTTAATTTAACTAAGTTATTGTAATAATAGTTGTGTTGTAGGAACTCTCGCGCGCGCAAGAACCACGTGGACCGCTATCACCGCGAGGGGCTGCAGTGTGACCACTGTAAGAAGAGATTCGTCAACAAGACCACGCTCACCACACATCTCAAGTAACATTTGTCCAGTTTTTTATCTTATCTGTGCGTGCACTTATCTTTATGGATGGCGTAGTGGTTTAAGCGGTCGCCACGCCGCTTCCTATTACGCCGAAACCTCGTGTAACCTCGTAGATAGCCGAAGGAGAAAATGTCATTGTGTCTGGTATTGGTATTCATTGGTACATTATTGCGGAGCTCGCATAAATATTTTTCAGTATTTATATTAATGAAATTCCAAATTTATTTTACTAAAATGAAATATGTACAATAATAAACCTCTTTTCTAAGGAGAGGCCTATGTCCAGCAGTGGACTAATTAAGGCTGTTGATGATGATGATGATGAAATATGTAAGTGTACAATGTAGAGTTACTAATATTTTCATAAATAATTAAAGGTAATTTTTGACTATCTTTAAAATGAAGCTAAACTTCAAATCTTTGTAATGTGGCACTCACGTTTTTATCTGTGAAGGGGTAAACAGAGCCGTATTAAAACGCCCACATTTTGTCCACTAATTTTAATGCTATTTACGTAATAGCTATTTAATTAAATAATATTTAAATTACAAATACATAAAATCTCAATTAATTAAAAAAAACATGTTCTCCCATTACAGACTCCACGAGGGTCCACTACCCCGAGAAGAATGTCCTATCTGCCACAAAATGGTGCGCATTATTCAACTTAAATATCACATACAGAGGCACGAAAATAAGAAACGTATCGAATGCGTCGATTGTAACAAGATATTCTCACATTTGGCCACCTATCAAGCGCATCTCAAGTACTCCAGGGCTCACGCTTCCGACCAGGTGTTCAAGTAAGTAACAATAGGCTAGTTGACTCAATTTGAAAACTTGGTCAATTATATACGTTAATATCTATTTTATCCCAAAAAACCTATATTTTAAAGAGAAAGTAATATTTACATTACGTATTTTGTATTTAAAAAAAAAAACAATTTAATTATCCTTCGAAAACGCTGAATAGTGTCATGGCGTCTTGAATGACGTCACAGTCTGCGTAACAAAACTATTTACATATGTGTCCAGTGTCAACTGTTTTCTAAAAATGAATAAGGAGTAACCTGCTCTGTTGTATGAAAACGTCAACAACAACACTTGGTGACACTTTCTGATTGGTGTTCGCTGTCACGTGACTTAATTCCTATTTTGTACCAATTTTTTTTTTTAAATATTAATAATATTTAACTTTTATCGGAAATAGACTGTTTTTTTCTTATCTATGTCTCTTCATTTATAATTTGATACTATAAGCCAAGCATTTTGTTATTAGTGAACACAAGCCTAGTCTCTAAAGATTAGTGGGGTCCTATTAAATATTGGTGGGTCCCCATAATCTGCTAGTCCTAGTAATACTTCACTATTTTACTATGAAAATACTTTTTTTGTCAGACGCTTGATTGACAGAGATGATCAGAACTGAATTGTAACCGAACTTTTATTACGAGAATTGGCCTTCTGGACAAATAATATTGTGTTTAAATAGTATTGATGATCACGAGCATTTGTTCTGGGTCGGGATGTAATTCATTTACTTCTAAACCTTTCTGTCTCTATCTATTAAGAAATATCTATGTTTGTCAACAGTATAAATGCAACTGAATTTGTCTTTTACAGATTCCCATGTCCAATGTGCAATAAAGGTTACCCCACTAAGGAGGCAATGCAGGATCACTTCAATTATCAGCACCTGGGCAAGACCTCGCACAAGTGTCCCGTCTGTGATAAGGTAACATTATATATTATATAAAAAATTATATATATCGATGTTTAAGTTACAAAGACTGATTCAGCACTCAAGATTTTCTTCAGAGAGACTTCTCAATAGTCAGAGATAAAAAAAATATCATCATCATCATCATCAGCCATCGCAGTCCACTGCTGGACATAGGCCATTGCACGCCACTTGGGCTTTGGACTCGATTTTGGGCTTCTCGCATCCAGCTCCTGCCAGCCATCTTGCTCAAATAGTGACTCCACCTGTGGGCGTCCTACACTACGGTCTCCTATCAAAAACTCGTTTTCCCCAATGGTTGTCCAGTAGGCTATGTCGGTGACCTAGGTTCTCTGCCGGATTACTTCATTCCTGATGCGATCCCTTAGAGAAACTCCGAGCATAGCCCTTTCCATAGCACCTTGTTGGTGGAAAAAATTATATACGCGTTCAATTATAATAATGCGATCTAAAATGTCACAAGGCCTTTGATAAGTTTTTTTATACATTTTTTCTTAGTGCAAAAGTTATTTATATCGACTTGATTTGTTTGAAGTAACTTTATGTTATATCACCAATTTATAGAAAAAGAGATATTTTTCTCAGCAAACCATTTTTATTAATTCCTTGTATTTAAAAAAAGTATCTCTGTATTTCAAGTTCAAGCATTATTCGGTTCGGTACATGTACTCTCCTTTCTCTTTCTCCATCTCCTGTGTTATTAGTTAATCACATTGCTACGTTACAGCCGATAGCGTCGCGAGCGAACGTAGAGAAACACATGATGCGTGTTCACGGCGAGAAGAAGGAGAAGCCGAGGAACCACGTGTGCCAAGTGTGCGGGAAGGGATTCACGGTGAGTGTCTACACGTGGATATGATAGTGGGACTCATCGACACCCCCTAACACTGGACATAGGAATCTCGTTACAATGGAGGTTTTGGCCTACTTCGAACTGCCTATTGCCAAGTAGACTGAGCTCTCTAACTAATCAACATCATCATTAACAGCCTTTACTAGTCCACTGCTGGACATAGGCCTCTTCTCAGAAAGGAGGTTTGTTGGTTTGTTGGTTGTTCATAGATATTATGATAAACTAGCTTTGCCCGCGGCTCCGCTTGTGTGTATGTCGGTTATCGCTGTAAAAAGTAGCCTATATTCTTTACCAAGAATCAAATTATCTCCATACCAAAATCGGTTTAACGGTTATTGATTTCCCATGGAAACTTCAACCCGCTTTTCACCCCCTTAAACGATGATTACGTACGTATTTTTCTTTAATGTTGAATGGGACCAAACTGGAAATAAAATATTTTTCATATAATTTTCCAAATAGGTTCATGCGTGACGAAGCTTTGAAGTAACTAACAATAAAAAAAAAAAAAAACAAGTGAAGCTCTATTTTTTTATGGAAGTCGGTTAGAAGTTTTGAGTTATTAGAAGTTAGACCAGACAAGACTATGTATCTATCTCTATCACCAATCTTATTGTGATACTTAAAGACTAGCGGGCCCGACAGACTTTGAAAATTTCAAACTTATGAAAGAAACATTTTGTAGTGGACCGAATTATGAATCTAAACGAATCCACTTGAACACACACAAAAAAAAACATCAAAATCGGTCCAGCCGTTTAGGAGGAGTTCAGTCTCAACCACACAGAATTATATACATAAATAAGGATATACTCCGAATATAGATATATTTTAATTCCAGGACAGAAAAGCGTTAACCCAACACGAGGTCATCCACTCCGGGGAGAGGCCCCTAGCTTGCGACATTTGCGCGCAGACGTTCAAGCAAAAAGCGTCCCTCTACACGCACAAGAAGAGGGTCCACAAAGTGTTCCCGGCCAAGCGACTCGTCGAGTATATGGACACTAAGCCTTAACAGCAGGCTGGGTTTAGAATGCCTTGACATTGTGCATTAACATTACTTGGAACGACTGATGTAGTCCCCCCCCCCCCCCCCTCCCCCCACTGTGTGGAGTGGTGTCAGTAATCATGGTGCAGAGAAGTCTTAACATGTTTTTGGATTTTTTTATTTTATTGAAAAGCCTCGAAATTCTCGAAAGCCTTGAAAAGTGTAATTTGTATGGAATAGTTGTAGGTTTCTTTTTTTTTATTGGCCTGTTGGTCTTAGTGACCCTGACTACTAAGCCGGAGGTCGCGGGTTCGATTCCCAGCCAGGACATTTGCTTCTACCTACATTTGCTTCTAATATACTCTTAATTTGCCCATCAAATTCAATTCATCAAAAAAACACTTTGTGTGATTCACAAATTGTTGTTCTGAGTCTGGGTGTACATTGTGTCCGTTTCATTTATGTTTGTAAAGTCCCCCGCGACACAGGATTTATTCCTAGTGCGGGAGATGTCTTTTAAAAACAAAAAGAAAAAAAGTCAGTTACTTTAGTGACACGTTTGTTCTTTAGACCTCCATTCCACAAAAATAAAACGTAAGTGCCAAATATAAAAGAAATGATTTCAATTGATTTTTTTTTTGGGGGTTTTCAATATTATTTTATGGAATTTAATACAAATGTATTTATAGTACTTTTAGTGTTTATTAACGAAAATATTTTAACTCATATGTTTTTAAAGAATTGCAATATGTAAACTTTATACAATGTAGCTACCTAGGACGGGTTCCATACAACACTGACTACATTTCGGACGAGTCATCAGGTCGGGGGGCGTCCTACACTACGTTTGCCGAGACGTGGTCCACTCGAGAACTCGTTTATCCCAACGGTTGTCGGTTCTGCGGCTAATACGGCCAGCCCTTTGCCATCAGTGGTGATGATTACATTGAAATCATTTTATTAGATTCTGCAATAGTCCTCCTCTTACAGTAAAACATTTTTTTAATCGAACTTCGTGTTAGTATTGGATAATAGATACGAAATGCTGGCATATTATAAATATGTGTTTTTTTTTGCTGTATATACGTGATGTAAAATTAAAAAAAAAAAATTAGGATATAAAATGTAAGTTATGACGAATTGTATTTTATTATTTTGTCTACTTCCGCCTAATGTGGAACCGAAATGGAGTCAGTCTTTTACTGAACCCGTCCTAAGTAGGCAGAAGGGATGACTGCACAGTGGTCGCCACGCCGCTTCCTACTACGCCGAGTGTTGTGGGTTCAAATCCCACATGGGACGACACTTTGTGCGATCCACAAATTGTTGTTCTGAGTCTGGGTGTTCTTTGTGTACGTTTCATGTATGTTTGTAAAGTCCCCCGCGACTCAGGAAAATATTCCTAATGCAAGCGATATCTTTTTTAAAAGGAAAGGAAAAGGAAGGAGGTGAAGCGTTATACAATAATAATATTTTTAGTAAATAGTTACATACGGCTGGAAATGGTTAACAGAATATTAAAAAAAAAAACATTTCGAATCTCAAACAGTGTGTGCCTTGCAAGAGCTAGGTCTCTTAAGATTTCTTTTTTAATTTCTATATATCACATATTTTCTGTAAAAATATGCTGAGGTGTTTTCAAGGGTCATCCATAAATTATGTCACACTCGCGCCCTGCGGCCAACACATGTTCTATTTATTTAAAAAAACTGCTAAAACCACACGGATATATATTTTTCTGTAAAGAACTAACCTCTCCTCCCCCACGACACAGGATTTATTCCTAGTGCGGGAGCCGTCTTTATACTGCTGCAACGAACACGACGTGTTTTGTAGCTGTAGTTATGGATAAAAAAAATAACCGTGCTTTATTAGCACTGGAAAAAGGTTTAACTTGTTTGCCGAAGGGAAATAGGAAGGAGATACGTTATGTTGTGTGACATAGTGTCAGAGTCACAGACTACAACGGGATTTTTTAATGTGTTACATGTTTTCTCTCGCCTTTTTGTACTCTATGGGAGTGATTTAATGAAAAGGGACGGAAATGTGTAACACAAAAGTCGGAGATGGATAATTTGACCAATGAGCGTGCGCGGCGCTAGTTTATGTCAGTCAAATGGCAGGTGAGATTTAACATGTTACACATCATATGCGAGTACTGTAAAACTCGCTCGATTTTTTAAATAAAGATTCACAAATGAATACGTTCTAACGTTAAGAGCCAAAACCAGAACTTTCAATGAAAATAATATGAACTTTAGTACAATTGTAAATTTATTAAGTTTGTTCTGTGTTTATGTTTATTTTGTATGTATTCTAACGTGTATGTGTGTACATGATTATCTGTCTGGTTACCATATTACAGGTATCAGACGACTGCGTGTGAGATGTATCAAGCTATTGTTATTAATGTGAAATTTGAGTAAATTATGGCAGTAAAGACGAAGGGAGTAATCAATAATCACGTGTGACGTATGATATGGATGGCTCTTTAACATTATGCAAGAATGAATGTCCTATAATAGCAGCCTCGTCATTGTATTTCTTATTTTAAGTAAAGATTGCTTCATGTATTCGGGATGTTTGAATCGTTTTTAACCGTATTTTTTATTGTGCGTACATTATGAAGTGGAAAATACCCTGAGAGCATGTGCACTTAAATTAAATCCGTATTTAAATGATAAGTAGGTTTATAATATAATAGTGAAACAAGTGCAACTTATGACAATGTAATAATGAGATATATTTTATTTACAAATAAATGAATTATGATATGGTTGTGTTTTATTTTTATATGACTTAACACATACTTGAAACTTTTCAACAATTTCATATAATTTTGAGTAAAATTGAATAGATAAATAATATTTTAGGTGTAACATAGAAATTCGATATTTTTTTTATGAATTAACGTCCTAATTCAAGAATGTTTCTAAGGACTTGCCGCGTGTATCACGCGATTCTAACCTAAAAAATAAATAATAGTTTAAAAAAACTAAAATTAAAAACACGCTTTTATAGAAAATCCAACTAAAAAACAGAAAATAAAGTTTAATAAATTTGGATTAAGAATAGTGTAAATTTGATTAAGTTTGATTAAGTACAGTGTAAAAAAAAAAATGAATGTACATTACAGTAAAAAAAGCGTGGGGTGCATCTGAAGTGCTTTTTATGATATTATCAAAGTGATGATTTTTCTACTCATCTGACAATAAATGTTTATAACTATTGACACTATGCACCCCACGCTTTTTTACAATAATGTACATTCATTTTTTTTTTACACTGTACTTAATCAAATTTACACTATTCTTAATCCAAATTTATTAAACTTTATTTTCTGTTTTTTAGTTGGATTTTCTATAAAAGTGTGTTTTTAATTTTAGTTTTTTTAAACTATTATTTATTTTTCATTTTTTAGTTAAATTTTAGTAAAGTCTATAGAAGCGTGTTTTTAATTTTAGTAGTTTAGTAAAATTTTCTATAAATCCCGGTTATAAATATATTATGGATATTATAAAATGATAATAGAATGCGTATTAGATTTGTCGGGACATATATGTAAGTATAAGGAACAAGACGCAACTACCATATTAGTTTTTATAAGGTTGTGCTGAACTGAGTGCCCGAAAGAGCAAGTCTGGAACTGCACGCATGCGTAGTTCGCGCACTAGCTCTGTCTCTCTTACTCGCATGCAAAGGATGCGGAAAGAAATTAATTAATCCTGGCGAATCTAATTAGGATAATCGGATATTTTGATCGGATTATTGCATTGTCATCGACCTTTGACAGGTGTGCAAAGTTTGAATCAAATCTGATCGTTCAAAGTAGGGCAAAATCGAGCTCAAAGGAGTCGGTTACATACAAACAAACAAACATACAGGTGAAGCTAATAAAAGCGTGTCTGTTGGGTAATTACGGACGATTTCAGTGGGGTAACCCCGACCGTTCGTAATTACCCCTGAACAATTAAATTATTGTTTTTTATTTTATAATTTATGGCTAGCAGTCGACTGCATTGCGTTGATGATAATAATGATGAATTTTGATGAAATACATTTGAGGAAGTTTGTTTTTATGTTTCTCTGCTTTCAGCGCTGTACCTTCACGAGCTTATTTATAGATGCCACGAAATTACCAAAGAAAGACGGAGACCAAATACAAATTAGAAGACTTAGAAAGAGCCATTCGGGTTGTTAAGAACAAAAAACTTTCACTAGGAAAAGCAGCTGCTACTTATTCTATTCCAAAAAGTTAGTACTTTTTGGAATAGAATAAGTAGCAGCTGCTTTTCCTAGTATATAACTTCCTTTTTGAGATGGTCGTATATAGTTATACGACCATCTCAAAAAGGAAGTTATAAAAGAACCAAAAACTGAGGTGGGTGGACCATGGAAGGCCACGCTCCTTTGAAGGCCAACTATTAAAAAGTCGTAGTTATTGACATGTAAAGACATATTCCTTTTACTACACACTACAATCCATCAAACTGAAGACCACAGACGCGGCTGCGAGTCGCTCGCGCCGCTATTGTGGCAGTGCGATCTCACACTTCATAGACTTCGGTCGTCGACGTTACAATTGTTATTCGCGCGCACAGCAAAACGTAAGTTTTTAGTTAAATAACCTATTGTTTCCTTATATTTTTTACTGTGAATTGTCGTGTAAGGATATTTTTATGGAACTCAAGAAAAAAAAAAAGAAATTGCCTCGATTTAAGTGAAAATATTGGGAGTGTTCCTAGGAAAGCCGGTGGTTCTTTATAAGGCCAATCAAAAATTTGACGGTTGGCCTTGCTAGGGAACATGGGCCTTACATCTATAAACCATGAACATATGAACACTTATTATGTGGTTATAAATACGTACCGTTAAAGTTAAAACAATGTTTTATATTTAAATTTTTTTTGTAAGGGTTTTCTAACTTTTAAACTCAGATTGAATAGACATTTTTTTCAAAATTATTTTAGTTTCAGTATATATTTAAATTTATTTTATGTCTATGAAGAGGTTATGTCTGGAAATAA